TGCACTCCGCTTGTTAATAATTATAATAATATTATTATTATTAATTTTATCGGTTACCCATCGCGATGAAGCTGTTATCGATATCCGTTTTTTTTGTTACCATACAAATTTTAATAATACAATTTAAACCTATTATAATAACTGGAGATCATCAATCGCCGCCTAATAATATTGCACTCACTATATTTTTTAGTAACCAAAAACCTATCTATATATTTTATATAAGACTTATTTAACCCATCCCCATATGGTAACCAGATATGGCATCAGCTAAAGGGCCTATCGTAGTGCCAGGAGTCACAATATTACATCATAGTATTATAGAGATGTAATCGACGTTGGCAATATAGTCTGTATCTAAATTCTAACATCCTTAGAGTATTGGAAATTAAAGATAAAATGTTTACTCCTAGAACCTATAAGAGGGCAAGTCGAGTTTAATATATAAACAGCTGCAAAAAATATTTTAACGTTATACATAGGTACTTATATGTAATACAGAGTTTATAATTATTTAAACCCGATAACCATTTTCCACCCTTACTTTAATTAAATTTAGTCATATAACACTCACAAAACGAAAAAAGTATGCTACGCCGACAACATAAGACTATAAAAATTTATTCTGAACAAAATATTTTAAACTAGTTTTCGTTTGTAAGCTTGTCGGGCAGAAAAAGTAATTTAGTTGAAAAGGACAAAGGTCAAAAAAATAGGTTTCCGGAAAAGGATATAATAAAATTATGAAATGATTTGTGTAGATGATAGTATTATGCGTATAGGTCTTTTTTGATGGCATTATAATGTTATGCAGTTAAATAAATAAAATAAAACAAAAATTATTTTGAATAATTATTACTGGCATAATATTTTATGACGTATGTTTTTTAAATCATATCACTTAAAAAGTATCCGAGTATTTCTTACTCGTTTTTACTTATTCTCAAACTTAACGTCTAATCGCAAATTCATAATTTAATTTTAAGACAAAAAAAAATATGTCACAATTTTTAATATTGGGAGTTAATTTTTTTTTTTAAATCCGTTTGTTCTCCGATGATTTTCAAATCTTCCGTTGCGATCAAAACATATTTTACTGAGACTTGTGAAATTTAGCATTTATTAACATTAAGTGTACTTCAGCCTAACGATATGGTTAAAAGTAAACATTTTTTGAATAATTATTCTGATATTATATATATATCAGTATTCAGTTCTGAATTATAATATCAAAGTATAAGTATTGCACCTATAATTTCCTTAACACTATATTGGAGGCGCTTTGCACTTCTTGTCTTATATGTTGTTAAATATTGATTAATGCATACGCCAGTTTACTGTTTGTGCAGGGTATGCCGGCTTATTCCCAAAGGTTATAATTAAACCTCCTGAAACGGGTATAAGTTCTCGGTAAGAATAAAAAAAACAATTGCATATTTTAATAATAACACTACTGTAATTATATTAGTAGTGTAATAAATAATGATTATGCAAATTTGGTATACTGTGAGTATAACATAATATTATCGCATTCTTGTATTTTCGAGCTAAGTGGTATTTTGCCTTAAGTAGGCACCCGTCCATAACATAATAACATTAATAGCATTCTCGCTTGAGTATCGTTTGTTTTGGGATTTTTTTTTCAACGTTCTTACTTATTATTATGAAATTATAATTTTATCGGCATCGTTTGTAGACGGATAACAAATACGTATTATTTTCACTGTTACACGTTGGAAATACAAAGAAACAGTTAAAATAATTAATTTAGGCTAGAATTACATTATTAAATAATTATACATATTATAATGATATGCGATGAGTGATGACTTTCGAACCCACAGATATATATTATAATAAACATTAAACTAGATTGCTAAATGTACATGTCGCCAATGGAGATAATTGAAGTTGCCATCTTGTGGGAATTAGAACCTTATCACATGAAAATATGTGTATAACAATTATAAGTTGAGTTAATATACAGAATCACAGAATTGAATACTTACACACATAAATTCCACAAAAATGGCGGACGTCGACTTCCATTCTTATCACTAGTTAGCAATCTAGTTTATTATATTAAATATATCTGTGGTCAAACCTGACTGATACCGAATACGTCTTGGGGATTGTATTTAAAAAAAAAAAATAACCATTTAAATCCAACATAGTATTAGACACGGTCCACTGCGGTAAAAAAAATAATTGAACCGATTAGACGTGGACGACAAAACAGACGAACCCGCATATTATTATTTACTATATTATTGTACACTCAAGTTGATTCAACAATAGCAGAAGTGACTCAACGACCAAACAATATTATTGTATAATTTTGTAATACTCGTATTAATAATAATAACCCGGTATGTACTTATGTGACCACGCAATTCGGACATTAGGTACAAGTAAAACGATTTTTTTTTTTTGTGTTATTTAATAACTTTATTATCCGACTGCCGTTGTTAATAATATATTCAGCGTTTGTGTATAATCTTTACTTCCTCGTCCACAGTATGGCCACGCGACAGCCCACGATAAGCCACTAATTACTAATTAGGTCGTTAGGCGTAAAAGTAGGTAGGTATACGTCTTTTTTGTTACATTTTATGCAGTATAATATAATAATATACAGTCAAGTGTAATTATGTGTATACATGATAAAAAAATCATGTTTTTTTTATAAATCAAATGTGGCCTAATGAATTTTCTCGGATTCGACTTGTATATAGACAGGTCATAGGTACAGCTATAAACATTATATTGAATAAGTCAACATATTTTAGAAACGACCAACGTCTAATTGTAAAATAAAAATCGAGACGCTATATTATTACAATAATAATATAATATCCATCGGTTATTATTCAAAACATACCTACCAAGTGCAGCTCATCGATTACACGACCCTCTAGATGAGCATCACAAATTCTTTGGATACGATTTTCTTGGATTTTACGCTGGCTTTGATCGGAATACTTATTGACTTACTTATTTGTACGGTATTACGACTTCGAAACTATTTATTGGAACAGTATGTTCAGGTGGTCAAAATATACGGCTATATCAAATCTAATATTAAAAGTCAATTCTCTCCAGCGTGCTTCACCGTCTAGTCGTCTTTCGCTTCTCTTCTCCTAGGAATCTTCTTAAACGTCGGTAAAGCTGTTTTAGCCCTGTCAATTTCTGATGACCTTACCGAAAAGCTGTCTAATAATGTTTTATATTCCCGATAGATAAACATAAATAATAATAACTTTGTTGTGTCAAAAAAAGGTATAAAAATTTAAAAACAATTTGAAAAATGCAAATTTATTTTAGAAAAACTAATATTTTGAATAACATAATTTCTAAGAGGATTTTGCTAAAAAATATCGTAGATTAATTTCTGTTTGTTTACATAATTATTTTATGAAAAAACAGGAAACGGCCATTATTATTCTTCTTAGAAAGGAAAAAATATATATACTTGTCTTCCCCAGTGGAATGTGACCCCATTTAGAGTGACATACAATCACAACACATCCTGTATATTATATAGAGCTTACCCAATATCATATTATACGCTTAGTATTCTTTGCTAAATAAAATTTAATAAAATATAGTTCTTGATTCCAATGATATCTAAAACGACATCTAGTGGATAAATAATACTGTGATATTTTCTACAGATAAAAGCCTATTCAACATTTGTCAATATTCAATAACAACATAATTTATTCAGTATATAACATAAAAATAATTAACTAATTTATATATTATATAACATAATACTTAAATTAGCGGGCACCGAAAAATAAATGGATATCCAAATTTTTAATCAAACAGTAAACACACTGACAATCTAATAATGTGTTTTGTGTTGTGTCTGGATACACGTCTGCCTGCAAATTGAGCTGAAAGCTGTTCTAGAGTTCTATAAAATGATAACGTAATTTCTAACATTTGTAACAGATTTTTTATCGAGGAAAAATAAACACACTATTATTACTAATTAATACTAATGTTTGATACTATTTCCATCTAGTTCTCACCAAAGTATTTTTCTTAGCGATTTAGTAAAAAAAAATGTCCTCTCTTTATAAGACTTTGGCCTACTTAAGTATTTTACCTAATGGGTACGATTTTTCATCAATAGAAAGAAACTCGGTCCAGACAGCAGCAGCTGCAGTTGTTACAAAAGTTATCTTGAGACTTGGGTTACATAAAAAAAAAAGAACATATCATTGTAAAACCAATACCTTTCCAGCTATGCATCAAAGCTAAGCACATAATATTAAGTCTTAATCAGCTTCAATATAGCAGCTAACAACAAAATTTGAATTTACATTCAAATAAAAAGTCTGTTGAGGTGATTGCATGTTGTCTGTTTTTTTTATGACGTTTTAGACCAAAAATCCAGATAAAATTTCAACTACTCAGTATGGGCCAATTTCAATTTTGTAAAGATATACGAGTTCTTTGGCATCTTAACTAGGTTATGTAGGAAATATATTTTTTCTCTTTTTTTGTTAAAAATGTACCTGGGTTTTAATATTGAAAAAAAATAATTTATTTAATTAAAAAAAACGAAATTTTAAAATATCTTTCATACGTTTAGTTAGTTAAGAACTCGAATCTTTTTACAGAATTGAAATTGGAAAGTCTTATATAGTAGACATTTTTTCTAGCTTTTTTATTTAAAAAAAAAGCCAAAATGAATTTTACTTATAGAAAAATATATGTAAATTTAAAATAATACCTTGAAGCTTATACAAATTAACCGGAAAATAAATTAACATGGATCATAAACCAATTTTTTTTTAAATATTGCCTATACAAAACTCCTTAATAACAGACCACATGCAATCCCCTGAAGTGTTATCACTTTTTAGTTTTTTTATTTATCAAATCAATTTTATAAATACAATTTTTAAACCTAACCTTAAACTATTTATTATCACATATATTTACTTTGGTTTTGATAAGAAATATGATAATACAAATTCAAAACAAAATCAACAACTGATCCGACAATGTTACTCAGAACGTTAAATACGTTGAAACACGTATGCAAATTGAGGTAAATAAGATATAAGATGTTTGTGTAGTTTAAAAGGTACATTTATTAAATTGCATTTAAATACCGTCCCAACTATGGACAGAAATTCGACCATTTGTTTATTTGATGTGGACGGGACCGTCACAGATCCGAGACAGGCGAGTTGTAAATTTTATAAATTAAGTATTTAGCTACTAAATATAATTTTTGTTGTTTAATATTGAATCATCATTTTAGCCTATCGATCCGTCTGTAAGGTCGTATCTCATTAATGATCTCAAGAAAGTATCAAATATCGGTCTCGTAAGCGGTTCGGATATATCCAAAATCAGTGAACAAATTGGAGGCTCCGAATGTAAAAAAAAAAAACAGTTGAGCAAAAAATTTATTTTTTGATTTAAATAACTTTGTTTCTACGGTTTTAGTTGTGTCTCAGTTTGATTATGTCTTTGCAGAAAATGGATTAGTGGCATTTAAGAATGGCACAGAGTTTAAAAAACAAGTATGTATCTATTATAATCTTCATTAAAAAACCTATGTGGAATTAATATGTGTTTACGTTAGACAATTGTCGACTATCTCGGTGAAGAAAAACTTCAAAAGTTTATTAATTTCGCATTGGGTTACATGTCCAAAATCGAACTTCCATTTAAACGTGGTACATTTGTTGAGTTTCGTACGGGCATGATTAATATTAGTCCAGTTGGTCGGTCGTGTACCAAGACGGAAAGAGATGAATTTGAACAATACGATAAAATTCACAACATAAGAAAAAAATTTATAGAGAGCATAAAAGAACAATTGCCAGACATTGGTCTTACTTACAGTATTGGTAAGTATCTTTTGTAAAATAATTTACATTAACGCTCATTGTCTGGCGAAGTTTACCGTTTAGGAAAATATAGTGTTGTCCATTATGTCTATCAATTTATTGTTCTTTTTTTTTTTAGTGGCTGTTATTGAGAATAGTATAAATTCACAATTTTATAATACTATAAAAAATTAATTTTTTTTTTGGTGTTTATTTTTAGTGGGCTTTAATTTATTGTGTAAAAAAAAATGTATGTATAACTTTTAAGTATTTATTATCTCAAATAAGATAAAATATATATACCTTTTAAGTTCTGAGGATTCTTTGTTAAATTTTATTAGAAAATCAAAATCTTTTTTAACCAATTTTTAATAAGTATTAAAAGGTATCGAAGAAGGTTAAAAACTGTATGTAACCCTAGGCATAATTAATAATATTATTATTGTATTTTTCATTAATAATCTTAAGTCAGGGTTGGGTGTTATTCGATCAATAAAAATAATAGTTTATTCCCTTAACTTAAATAAACCATTAATAATTTTATTTTTAGTTTTATCATCTTAAGTTAGTTAGTTATCATATCATAATTTTAAGCAATTAAAAAAAAAAGTATTTGTGTTAATTATTTTATTTTAATAATTCAAATAATTTTTTATTCAGGTAAATAAGAAATAAAATTATTTAAATAATTTGTAAATAAAAAATGGTTTGAATAATCAAAATACAATAAATAAATTACCTAATTATTTTTTTAGTTGAAATAACTTTTTTTCGAATAACATTTGTAATTTATTTTAGTGTACATTTTTAACTATTGAATAAAGAATTAATGTTTTATTTCAATAAATATGTTATTGAATTAGTTTTAGTTGTTATTCATCGTTTAATTTAATTTTTCTCAACTTTAATACATTTTTATTTTTAGGAGGTCAAATAAGTTTCGACTGTTTTCCTGTTGGTTGGGACAAGCGGTTTTGCCTTCGTTACTTAGAAAGCGAATTTGAGGGCAACATACATTTCTTCGGAGACAAAACATTCACGGGAGGAAATGATTATGAAATTTTTAATGACTCTAGAGTTGTTGGACACACGGTTACTAATCCAAAAGACACCGTTTCACAATTAAACAATTTGTTTAATATTACAATATAAAAAAGCATTGTACAAATATATTTTATATATATAATATACATGTTAACTCAAATATGAGCAAATAATAAATTAAAAATAATTATCACAACTGAAATACAAAACCTAAGTTGAGTAAATACAAAATTTTATACAAATTTAACAAGTTGGTTGTTAAATTCATTCATGAATACAAATAGCTGAGAGAATGTGGGCCTTTCATTTGGAGCCAATGCCCAGCAACATGCCATCACAGTGAACAATTCGTCCGGGCAGTTGACCGGCTGATTAAGTCTAAAACCGTCTTGCAGATAAGCTGACATTTCAAATGGATCAATGTCTGCATAAGGTTGTTGGCACAGTGTCAAGAGTTCCCAAAGCAAAACACCAAAAGACCAAATGTCCGACGCGGTGCTAAATTTCTTGTGCTCCAGACTTTCGATGGACATCCATTTAATCGGCCTGTTCTTGTTGTCACCCAGACAATGGTAGTCACCAGGAAACAAGTCTCGAGAAAGAGCGTTGTCTGCAATCAGTATCTTGAGTTCTTGATTAACTAGGCAATTTCTGGCGGCGATGTCTTTATGAAGATGTCTGTTTTTATGCAAATATTGCATGCCGTTAATAATCTGCAATGTCATGTCGATAATTTCTCTGGTGGTCAACGTACAAGATAAATTTTCTGTGGTTTTACATGTTTGTAAGAATTTCTTTAAATTTTTATTATTACAATTATTGGGGTACAATAAAAACGGTTCCACGTGTTGCTCAACGCACACTCCTTGTATCATCAGAATATTCTTGTGATTAAGCCCATACATACTTAGTCCTTCGTGTAAGAGCACTGATATTTGTATAGCACTGGCTTGATCGGTAACGGTTTTCACAAAGATATCTTCGTCCTTCCCATTGGTATCAGTATACGAACCTTTATAAACCCGTCCAAAAGTTCCTTCCAATTCAATGTTTTGCAATCTAACGCGATGCCGTTGAACACTGAGTTCTACAATGCACTCGTGTAAATCTTTCACGTTAGTTTTAGATCCTGGCAAAGACTTTTGGTTAAACTTGCTACTAGAATTTAAAGCAGATTTTAAAAACATGTTAACTTCGTTGTTTTGAAAGCCTTTTATTATCATTAGATCTCGCGCATTGTCACGATGGTAAGCAGAAGTTAGACAACAAATAACGGCAAACGCTATTAGCGTAGAGGCACCGGCTATCATATGATAGAAAAATGCTTGTTCGTAATACGGCAGTAACGTTTCATCCATTTCAGTTGTAGTCGTTGTTTCGTTTGGATGTTCATCGACACAATGTTTTTTAAACGTAAGACTGATATCGGTGGAATCACTTAGCCAATTTTCAGATATTTTAATCAATACCTTTATATTGGCACTTTTAGATTTTAAAACGCATGGCAACAACAGAGTGAACGTAGAATACGTATCCGGCACTGTGCCCTCTGTGAGTATATTCAGCTTGGGTACTACCACATCTCTATCAGACTGAACGACGATCTTATAAAATAATGTACTTTTTGAAATCCACGTCAAGTTCAGAGTGTTGATAAACGATGGCACTTCGCAGGTATATTGTATGGCATTGACGTTGAGCTGGTTGTTTCGGACATAGTACAGGCGAGCTGCCAGGCCCATAAGCGATTCGACATCGCCAGAGTCGAGGAACAAGTCAAACTGGCCACATTTAACGACGGCCAGTAGTAGTGATAATATGAAATATATTTTCATTTTCGAGACCATAGAAGTGTCATATATGAATAGGTAATATATGTGTATATATTTTTTAGGAACTATTGTAATTTACCTTATTGGGGCGTGTAGTGACGCCCATTAGTTTGTTCATGATGATAATATTTACACTTTTAGGTTTTCATCCGAAAAATTAATAACAATTCCGTTTCCATCTTACGAATAAACGAAATGAGCAATGAAGTTGAATAAATAAAACATAACTTTTAAGCATACACTGTTCTAACTACTATATTATAGTGCCTATGAATCTATGTCCTATAATTTCTGTATAAACACAAACAAATAATAATGTGGAATATGGAAATGATAATGCGTTTGCAGGCGCACCAACTGTAATGAAAAAAAAACAATTATTATCACACTGATTAAATATAATAATATTATCAAGGTGGATTGATCTTATCTAATATTTATCATACATTTAAATAGTTATGAACTCTGAAATATGTTTTACAATGTATAAATACAAAATAGTAATAATACAAATACATATTCAAATATTTTTATAGTTTAAAATGATCGTTATTAAGTTTTCATTGGTTATAAGCTGTTATATTTCGTTAGGATACAATTCAGAGCATTAAAAGGAATAAGGTTTTTTTTTTTTTTTATTACAATTGTGAGTAATTTTCTTCTTACAGCTTTTACTTTTATTTGTGTATTTTATAAGACAGTCATTGTCAATTAATATGAACATTAAAATTAAAAATACTTACTCGGCATGCCTAGGCAAAAGTACCACTGAAATTTATTTTTTCATTTGTAGATGAAATGGACAAATTTAGGTCATACAATAAGAAGATATTCAAAGAATGCCAACAGCTTTCATGTTGGCATTGTGGGAGCGGGCCCGGCCGGCTTCTATTGTGCACAACAATTACTCAAAGTAATTTAATTTTGATATAATATTTATCTGTATAGTTCCCTACTGTTATATCATTTCAATTTACTTTCAGATAATTCCCGGTTGTCGGATCGATATTTATGAAAAGTTGCCTGTTCCATTTGGACTTGTGAGATATGGGGTAGCTCCAGATCACCAAGAGGTTAAAAACGTTATTAATACATTTTCCAAAACTGCGTCAAATCCAAATGTTCGGTTTATTGGTAACGTTACACTTGGACAGCATATTAGTTTGAATCAATTGAAATGTTCGTATAATGCTGTAGTTCTAGTGAGTTGTTTAAAGTTTGTTTAGTGGATTAATTTTATTGTTTTAATACATTTGAAACGTGATTCTATATCTAGGCTTACGGCGCTGAAGAAGACAGAAAATTAAATATTCCTGGTGAACATTTATCTAATGTCGTGTCAGCTACCAAATTTATTGGATGGTATAACGGATTGCCAACCAATAAGAGTTTTCACGTGAATTTGGACATAGAAGATGCTATCATTATTGGCCAAGGAAACGTTGCATTGGACGTTGCTAGAATACTGCTGACACCCATTGATAATCTACGAGTCGGTACAGTCGATGTGATCAATTTATGCTAGCGATTCATTATTAAATAATTTTCTTGTTTTGCAGAAAACCGATATTACAGAATATAGCTTGGAAGCCTTATCGAAGAGTAAAGTAAAAAGAGTTACTATTATAGGACGTCGAGGCCCTTTGCAAGTAGCATTCACAATTAAAGAATTTCGTGAAATGTTAAAACTACCTCAAGTTAGCACTGATTTCTTTGAGCACCAAATGGACGGCATTGATAAAATAATAAACGGTAATTGGTTTTTAGTTTGTTGAAAACAAACAATATGTAGTACTAAATAAGAGAAAGGATTTAAAATGCTTTTACATAGATTTTCCGAGAGAAAATTCCAGACTAAATATTATAGTTGTCATTCGATAACTAATGTAGCTATAACAATTAAGTTATAAATATTAGAGAATTTACATTTACAAAAGATTAAGAATTTTCTGAAGTCACATATACTAAACACTGGGTTTAACATTAATTTTTCAAGTTCAAAAATTTGAATATAAAAATCTACTAACTATTCAATACTTCAACAATCAGTGATGCACTAATCCAATGCCGACGATAGAAAACAGAAAATAATTCTAAACATAATTTTCTATTTAATTTGCTGAATTAAAATTTTTTTCATCACTGATACTAAAAACATGTCTTTAAATCTTTACAATTTTAATCTAGTGTATTCTATATGTTACTATCTTTTATATATATATATATATATATATATATATATAACTTTTTTAATTAAATTTATCATTGATCACTGATTTTCTATTTTTATATTCTAGACTTACCAAGGCCTCGTAAACGCCTTATACAACTAATGTATGATGCCTCACGAGAAGTTACGAGTAAGACGAAGAAAAAAATATTTAGTCTTTTGTTTCTTAGAACGCCACTCTCGATATTGGGCATGGACAGTGTAGAAGGAGTTGAATTAGCAGAAAATATTTTAGAAGGTATATATTTTTGATAAAAAAAAAACTGTGATTGATTATAAGTGGGTACCTATTTTAGGAGAAAAAGCCAAAATAACAAATGAAAAAAGTTTATTAAAATGTGACCTTCTCTTTCGAAGTATTGGTTATCGAAGTGTCCAAGTAGATCCTGATGTACCATTCGATACACAGTCAAGCACAGTTCCACAAAATATCGGTAACATTTTTATTTTTGCTAATTTTTTTCTTTTTTAAGAAAATTTAAGTAAATTAAATATTTTATTATTTATGTAAGGTGTTTACAGTGTCGGTTGGCTATCGTCTGGACCGGTCGGTGTGATCATATCTACAATGAGTCATGCTTTTGAGGTTGCTGCTCTCATTGGTAAACATTTCGATGAAGGTTTGTTGAACGAAAAAAAACCGGGATATGATGATATTTCCAAAGTGCTCAAAGACAAAGGTTGGTGTGGCTTAATTAATATATTGAATTTACCTTTTACGTGGTGTTTCCAATTTATTTGGTTACAGGTGTAATAACCGTCGGTTGGAATGGCTGGGCTGAAATTGACAAAACGGAAATTGAGAGAGGCGTAAAATTACATAAACCAAGGGAAAAAATTGTCGACATTGATGAAATGATACAATTAGGTGGAAGGATCTAAGGACATAAATTCTAATTTATTTTATAATTTTTGTTGAAAATTTTACAATTTAGCATTATGTTATTTTATATTAGAATAAAAAGAAAAACCTTTTTTCTAATCCATTTGCTAATTGAAAACTGTAATCAGTGTTTCATCTATTATTTATTAAAAATTAATTCTAATTTTAGCTGAAAATTAAACTGTAATTAAAATATGTTTAGTTACCGACTTTTAAATTGATTAATACCCAAGATCATAGTTAAAAGCAAATTTATGATAACTGCTTATGAGATTAAATTTAACGTTAAGAAACTTTAAATTTATTCTCATAAACATAAACATGTTATTAACATAACATGCAAGATATATTTTTATACTTTACTAATTATTAAAAAAAAACAATGTACAATTATTTAATTTTGTAATATTTAAGATTTTACTATACATTTTTTACAATACTTATTGAACACAAAAATAGTTATTAAAATGTTATGTTTTACAAATTGAATTGATAAAGTAAACAATAATCATTACTTTTATGACATCTCAAACAATTTTTTTCTAATAAGGTTTAGGGATTTCTTTAGAAATTTCATATTTATTTTTAATTTTTGTTTATTGCGACATTTTGAATGCTTAAAATTGACCTAAAGGATTACGTTTAGACAATAGAATTTTTGAAACTGATAGCTGTCAAAAAAACATTTGTCGAGCAATTTGAATGTATCATTGTATTGTAATTTAGTACAAAATAGGATAATATTCAGTAATAAACACATAAAACCATCTAATTTTCTTTAATACAAAATCAAGTGTACAACAATAATTTTACTAACATTTAATTTAATTTTTTATTTCTAAACTATTTTTTGTCTGAAGTGTTTGAACTTCAATAACCAAATTTTATTACATAAATGCATTAATATTTTAATACATATGGCAAATACATACTTCGCTTATTTACTCGCCTACTTGCAGCTGTATTGATTAGTCATGTGTAAGATTTTTACAATGTTATTGTAAAAACAATTTTAAAACTGTGCCACAGTCCACAATTGATATCTTGCTAATGTTTTGAAGAATCCAAAATGTTTTTCAAATCCTATATCGGATTATTATTCAGAATATTTTGTTCGAAGTAGAAATATAAACACTAAAAAGTGTTGAGTAGAAATACTTGCACCGAATTGATGTTTGCTGATATTTTAACAAGTGTCAAAGAAATTATTTGTACCGAGGCCAAACTAATAGTAAACGTGCGTAACGTTGTTTTTGTATATTTTATTGTTGCACTGGATTAAAACTTCAGTTCAATCGAATGTGGTTTCTGAGTAAAATCAAAACAACTCTATAGACTATAGTCATGAAAATGTCGTTTAAATTCATTTTTATAACAGCCATTATGGCTAACTACAGTGTAAAAATGGCGTCTACCACTAAAAGCGACGAAGACCGTAGAAAGGAAAAAGACGATTTGGAGTCGACTATACCAAAATTCCAGTCGGATTTACGTATTGGCGATACAGCAGATTTGAAGACACAGATATACAGGGCATACATGGATACATATGAATGTAGCTACATGTTCAGTGGTCAAATTTACATGCGGCTGATCGAGGGATTGCTGGTTAATAAAGGGCATTTGGCGAATGTTGCTCAACACGTAGATCTATCGTTTACCAAGGAAGCTGCTCAAATGATAGCGACCTTGTATAATGTGGAAGCGATGCGGAATAATTTCACGAAGAATGTAATGTGGATAGTCTTGATGTTTGCCGAGAGAGTACTGGTGTACATGAAAGGCACCCGGGCCAAACGCAAGACTGTCGTGTCCATTCACAAATCCGTAAGCTTGTTTCTCGAACACTACATGGCGTCTGACGACTGCGTGGATTATAGTAAGTACAACAAGTTGAACGTCGAAGTCACGGGCAATTTAGACGACTTGCCAGGTCTACTATCCACTCTTGCGTCCAAGAAAACAATTATCATGCAGCGACTGGACACAAACGCCAAGAAACGCAATATTAGCACCGCCGGGTACGAACAGTTCAATTTGAACACGTTGGGCTTGAACGGACTGCTGTCAGACACCGCAGTGACGAAACGAGAATCTATCTACGAAATCGTAAAAACAACAGCTGGAGTAGAGGTCAATTGGTACGGAGTGTTGCTGCCTTTAAAAAAACAGTATGATCTGGGAACGCAAGCCAACGGTATTACGTTGAGTCAACAGATAAATGCATTGAAAACATTTAACGACAAGTTTATTTTGATGGTAAAAGTATTCATAACTCGTCTGATGCTGAAGTACGTAATGTATGTAAATTGTAACACGTGCGAGACTAAAATGGTAGATGATATTGTCGAGTTGGAGAACTATTTGGACATACAAGATGACGGTGATATGCAGTACGTAAAGTCCTTGATTGAAAACGTGTCCTTAGACGCGAATAAAACTATTATCGAAATAAAAAAATATCTTAACCATTTTGCTTTGCAATTATTACATGATGCTGAGACTTGGCGCTCGTATTTTTATGTCGACATAGATACAAAGGATTCAATTGAAACATCGTGTAAACGTATTCAACAAGACACAAAACGTTTCGTCAAGTCTTTAAAAGATGCTTTAGCTAAAATAAACTTTGGTGTAATTAAGAAATTTAAACAACTAATAAATACACGCGAGTACAAAAAATTAGTTGATATTGAAAATGGATTGTTTAAAATACAATAATTATATCTAACTAATGGCCATAGGTATGTCGTAAAATTATTCTAAAAAAAACAATTCATATTGTCCTTCACTAAATAATTCTTTACTGTACTGTTTTTTTTATTGTATAAATAAATATCTATAAACATTGTTATATGTTTATTGTACATTAGTTAAAACATAATAAAGTATACAATTGAAGGGCTCCGGGGAAAAAAGATCAATGTCAATTTTTTTTTTGAAATGAGATTTTGGTATCAAATTATTTGTATTGATGTATTGTATGCGCTCGAACCAGGAAAAAAAATAGATTAGTCGAGAGTAACGACCGCCGGAAGTTTAGGCATACAAGCAAAATGTATTACGTTTTGAAATTAAAAACATGATTTTCTCAGAATGTTAAAAAACTGACAATGATCTTTTTCCTTGCAGCTCTTCAATTGTGAAAATACGTACATTTTTCTTGTTCCTTTTTTTTTTTTGACAGATTAAAGAACCCTACTCTTTTCTTTTGCAATCTTAGGTTCAATCATGATTACTTTTAGTATCACAATAAACTTGTCATTAAATATTTTTAATGCTTTTATCTGTTCTCTCAAAATGATACCATTGGCTTGCATTCCTAGAGCATACTCTTTTTTTCTAGTGTTATTAATTAGTTTGTTTATTACGAACAGTTATAGATTAAAAAAATAAAACCAATTTCTTTTCAGCTCCGCGCTGAAGTTAAACAAAACTCAAATACATTTTATATTAACAGAGAAACTAGTTGTGTATTTTATAATATATACTTAGTTTAGAATTATAAAATGTATCTAATATACAGCACGGGAAGTACGGTCAACATTAATCGTATTCACCCTAATCCTAAAAATACATTTTTAAGCTTATTATTTTGTCCATTCAAATTTACCTATTATGCGATTTAAATAAAAAAGTCTATAATAATGGTTAATTGATTAATATACTAATATATCATTATAATAAAATCGTATCATTTAATGGTCTCTACCATTAAATAATCATTTGTAATTCCATATTAATGTTGCACATGTAATGTTCCTTTTTTTTCTTAAACAATTAATCTCGACTACCAATGCCAATGAATTAAGCTCGTCTGAATTCAGTAGCTGATTACCGTTCCCTAGTGTAGTCATTACTTCATTAATGATCTCTCACGTAAAAATACCAATTTTTTTGTCATTAGTTGATATGCGCACTACTCTGTCTATATAACAATGAGTATAGGTATCACAGTTACATTTTTACAAGTGTTATTATAATTTTCATCTTCGCACCGAAGCTAAAAATATGAGTTTTATAATTAGAATTTGTTACATCATTGCCTTAATGGCGACCAATGCTTGGTCTAGGGTAAATTTTTGGTTAAATATAATTAATATAATATGACATCATACAATAAGAAATTGTTCCCTGTGCAGGATTCGTTCTCTTTACTTCAACCTGTACAACACGAACCTCGTTTTACAAAATTTGAGCTATCAGTGAACCAATCCTATGGAAAAGTATTGGAATCTTCAATCAAACAGTATTATGGCAAACAAGCTTTAAATGTACACTTTATATTCCACGAAGAAGTAACGCTACATCATGCAAGTCCATAATATTTATATTTTTTCTAAAGTGGTGCTACAACTTATTATACGATTTTTTTTAAGAATCAGAGGTGAAACTTTTTTTTTATTAAGGAAAAAAATGGGGAAATGATACTTTGACTGAAGGGGGATCTAGTGTGGGACTATAACATAAACATTTCTATCAAAAATCTGTAAGCAAACTTTTTTTTCGTAATAGAAACCCTTAAAAAAAGGGGGGGAGGTAGTTGACCGGTACTCGTTGACCGCAGTAAATTTCCAGGTTACAATATGTATGAGTGAAACGACAGCCAATAGATATTTCAAAATATTTTCATTATATAATTTTTAATAACAATGGAACTAACGATGCCGCCCTAATACGACAAAAAAAACACATTTTTGCTTTCATAAGGCTTTTTTATTTAGAATAATTGTCATAAACGTGTTCAACAAAATATGTATTATAAGCTAAATATAATATTATTTCATGTTGTAAAGTATATCCCGCGTGTTATCTAAAGCAAAATTTAAGTACAATTATAAGTAAAACAATTGTTGTACGGTATTGCTACCGGATAGTATAATTTTAAAAATATTTAACGACAGAAATTTGGCACGCTAAGTTTTGAATACTATAAGTTTGTGTTTCAGATGAATTTCGAGCTGAATAAATGCCAAGAACATTACATCGATTGCGTTAATGTTAGAACTTTTGATTTTGCCAATCTGTGTGGCAATGAAAAAGCAGTTAGAATTTTTTATACCATAGGGTACAAAAACCGAGAGCTGTCATGTGAACTGCAAGTAAGACATAACGAATTGTACAAATACCGGGTTTTTTTACACTAACACTAATCGCGGCAATTACAGTTTGTACGTATTTTAATAAGGACCTTATTATAAGGTTACGTTGGATAATTTTAAACGAGTTGGGCAAAAGTAAATCCAATTTTTTTTTCAATAAAGAGAACCAATAATAATATTTAAATTTGTATTTTATTTAATAATTTAGTATATTAACTTTTTTTAGTTATAATTTATAAGTAGTAAGTTAATATTGAAAATTGCCAATCGCTAGACTAAACTAAAAGACATAAAGTACATATTTTTAGTGTAAGTTCGTGGAAAGGATAGGATATTGTATTAGATCTAGAAAAAATATGAAAGCTAATAAAAATATAGTTGTGTTAATATAGACACTGATATGTGATTAGGTTAAAAGTGTTGAAGTGCAACATTTTTGGATAGCCGAACTGGTCGACTCCGAATTGTTGAAAGTATTCCCAAGAAGAAACACCAATGTATTGATTTCGAATGATTCTTGATTTTTTTTTTCTAGTTAGATAATTAATTTTCTAGTTCCAACGACATAATAATTTTACTAACACACTATTTTTTATACTATAAGTTTATCTTTTAACAGAGCGAATACATTTTGAAAAACATTACCATCAGACAGGAAATAGCTCCAATGTTTTTCACACTAACCGAAAAATGGTGGGAATTATCATTCAAATGGAGGATTTCATTTTATAACAAAGAAAACAATTTCATACTGAAAGTACTTGGCGATATGGAAATTATCACATACAGAATGCGAAATCGTAAACCGTCAATGACTTGATTGGGAAATTTTCTTATTATTATTTTTTATCTAACTCATTTGGTGTACACAATTAACTTATTTAAGGATTACTTATTTATCCTAAGACACAAACAAGGTAGTTTTAAACATTTTTAAAGCATTGTTTATTTAGTATTTTCCGAAGCGCTTTAACTTTTTATACTTAAATAAGACCGTATATTAATTCACTTTTTTAGAGCAAAAAAATTTGCATATAATGTTGACTGGTCGACAACCACTTTTAAATTACTATTTTCAAAATGATTAAAGTTTAAAGTTTAGGAGGGAAAGTAATACTTCAATTACATTAAAAGTAATTATTCAAAACTGGTTATCGAACAGTCAAAGTTTTCAAAAAAGTTATTCTTAGCTTGCTAACATACGTTGCTATTTAAGTTTCAAAAAATGATAGTGCTGTGGAAAATACGAAAAAAGGTAAATATTTAATAATTTTATAATATTGTAGAATAACATGAATAAAAATGTTAAATAAATAAAAAAGAATAACTAAAAAATTGTATTTATTTTCCAAGAAAATGAGTGTCTTAAATGAATCACCCGCTACAAAAGGAACAGAGGTTTAAACGTAATTAGTAGTTTTATGTACTAAAGATTTTGGAAAAATAAACACTATTTGATGTTATTATAATATTATGGGAATTAAAACATCTTTTTTTCTGCACTGATTTTAACTGAAAATATGACTGATGACATAATTTATCTTTTACTAAATCTGTCCAAACAAAAAAAGCATACAATATATGTAAAATTGAAGCCAAAATAATAATTGTATGACAATAACGTTTGGGAAAAAATAAATCTGTTCAAACGTATAATGTTATCGCGCGGGTCCAGGTCATAAAAAAAAATGAACGAATAATAACACAAAATACATATGTATTGAGTATGTAATTACAATTTACACGCAGTTGTGTACCTTTCCGCAAAATTATTTCTTAGGAAATCGCCGTTACTGACAATAAAAGCAGTTTTATCGTTAAATGTTTTAATAGACGAATTAATTATGCATAGTTTATATGACATTTTTAGTATTTACACACGGAAATGCGCTATAATAAACAAAAAAAAAGGTGTAAACAACACACAGTTAGTAATATTTTTGTTTGCGTCTTATTTGCCTTAAATTCATGTGCCACATTCATTTTTATTTTTAAAAATGTTTCTGTAAATATAGTAATATAGCAAAAATGCTGTAATATAGTAAAAAGTATTAAGGATCTGTTTAAATCTACACAAAAGCAACAAATTTGATTTTAATCGTGAGTAAAACTGTTTATTATGAAATACATTAAACTAATTGACAGCAATATTGGTACAATATGAAAATATGATTTCAATAAAATAACAATATTATTATGTAATTTTAAAAGAGTTTTGCCATTGATTGATCTAAATTATGGTCCGAATGGTTTTAATAATAGTTCCTTAAGTGGTTGTATTGTAATGTGTATGTTAGATAAGCTTATTTGACCCCATATGTGTCCATTTTTTCTGTATTTCATGTTTTTACTTCCATTCCATAGGGTACAAGTATTATCAATGTCGTCAACACGAAGACTTTTTATGTATGATGTGGGAAATCGTGCACTCATGTATACTGCTAACAAACGACACATCTGTGATAAAGATGTACGTAAAATCCCAGCTAAAAAATAATTTTTTTTTTTTAATTTTCTAAAATTTGTGAATAGAATAGTTGCTACTACTCTTTATAGTGTAGGACACAACTATCTTTTTTGTTAAAATAAAGTCATAAAAAATAATAAAATATGCATGGTTTCCGTATTGTAGAGCCATGCTATTTATATTACAAGAAATTATGTGTTGGTAGTCATAACTTATTTGGTTAATGTTAAAAATCAAAATTAGCTGTAATCTTGTTATATTGTGTGGTGAATTATTCCTATCGTATAAAAAAAATTTATAATATACAGGGTGATTCTTTTATCATTAAAATATAATCACTCAATATCTCATAGGGTTTAATAAGAAATTAAATTTGTTTTAAATTGTATTGAAGTTTCAAGTTTAGGGCAGAGGAAGTATCCCAGATGAAGTGAAGTATTATTTTTATCTGCGCGCATTTCCCAACCGCACTTCCCTTCCCATCCTATTTTTTAAACTCTTATCACTTTAAAAATAGTTGTCCAAAACTGGTATCAACTAGGGTTGGGCCTATCCGGATATTCGGATATCCGAATTATCCGGATAATTCGGATACGAATATCCGAAACTATCCGGATAGTTAAAAATTATCCGGATAGTTTCGGATATTCATTTCATTTTTATAAGACAAATATACCTTAATAATATACAGTGTTTTTAAACATACTGAATAATAAAATAATGACACCTAATTAAATTTTACTATCACATGAATGATTTTTAGATATATCCGTGTCAGTGGTTGTTAACCGACTATTCGGACTCTTTGCGGAGTCCATCCTCAGGGTTGTCACGACTGTTCCGCTGCCGGTTAATAACCACTGACACGGATATATCTGAAAATCATCCACGTGAAAGTTTCAAAAAATACATAAATTTGAGTACTCAAAAAAATATATTTGGCTGGTTAAAAATTAACTGAATATCCGAAACTATCAGGATAATTTTTAACTATTCGGATAGTTTTGGTTCTACGGATAATTGAAATATTATTTGATATCCGAAACTATCCGGATTTCGGATATCCGTATCCGAATTATCCGGATATCAAATAATCCGGATAACCGCAAAATCCGAATTTTAGTCCCAACCCTAGTATCAACCAGTCAATTTTTTTAGTACATTATTTTAAATTTAAGCAAATTATGAAATATCTACGTTACCATATAAGTTTCTAAGGTTGCTATCAAAAAAACTAAGCTGAGTGGAGGGTAAAAACAAATTGTGAAAAATTAAGATCATATTGTATAAAAACATGAAAAAAAAATTAAATTTTTATTGAGTGGCCCATGATAAAAGAATCACCCTGTATATACAGGTGTCCCCATCTGATGTAAGACATTCATTTTCTCGGAAAATATAAATATTTTGAAAATAATTTTTTTCCTATACTAGTAGGTATATACTACATATTTTATTATATTTTTCAATACTAATTATATATATATATATATTAATAGTTCAAAACCCATACAACTCCATATTAATATTTACCTAATACATGTCTGATTATATTTTCTAAAGCTGGAATAACTTGACTTCTTCTAAGATCTGCAAGGGCTTTCAACTTAAAGTGTGCAAAACCTGAGAAAATTATTAAATGAACGTGTTGTGAAGAAATAATAAAAGTAAAAAATATAGTTGCTCGTGATAACATTATTGCATTACATATTAAATAATTGTGATGTAACTAATTATTTGTACAAACTACAACCAGTCATTAGTATTACAACTCAACGACTGTGTTCTTTTTATACATGAAATCCCAAAAAAATGTATTACACATTCATGTTGTTGTCAAATTTAAGTTGATGAGGAATTGAAACTATTCAGGGTGTATTCCTACCTCCTGAATTAGAGCACCTGACACTAAACAACAATAAGAAAAAAATCTATACCCTTGTCGTAATACAATTCCAGGTTGTTTATTATGGATATATATAGTTTGTTCTTTCTATTGCGAAGTAGTATAAATTAGTTAACAAACAAAACGTTCAAAACCTCACCGTAAATGGTTACAAGTCTCTCTCTATCTCTCCTCAGCAGCAAAAAGTTTATTTTATTAAAATTTATGTTTGACATAAAATATTAAATAAGTAACAATTAAACAAATTTCAACTCTAAAATAAGCTTTAAAGGCTATTTACGACTATCGAATAATTCGTAATTACTTTGGAATGGTTCATTAGTTCTAGGTGTTTCAATTCCTGTAACATAAATACATAAAATCATTATACAGTCACTCTAAAACTAATATTAATTAGACCAATGCATAGTACAATTGTTTACATGTTAAATGATTTCTAATAGAAATATTTAAATATACGATTGGAATGAATGATTATCAAAAGTTTAAACATAAAAAAATATATAGCTTAAAATCGATTTTTATAAAGTTTTTCTTTTAAAAATATGTAGAATTATCATTTTTTTAAGTTTTATATTTACCTAATGTAATTGCTATTTCTACTCGCATCATATGCTGGTAATGCATGGATACTAAATTTAAAAACAAATTATATTTTAATGTACCTACACATTTAGTATGATTGAAACTAGTATGTCATATTGGTATTTGTCAATAAGTAGGTACGATTATTATATAAGAGTAGGTGTAATTGAATTGTAAATTTCGAAAAGGGTCCATCTCGAGTTTTGATCACAATTGATTTTTCCGCGTTTTTTAAATTTACACATATAGACCGATATTTTATGAGCAAAAAGGGCCCAAATCTGTATTCTATTGTGATGAAAAAAACTATAAATAAAATTCATAAAAATAAAAAGACATGTAAAAGAAAATCAGTTTTTTGAGTTTCCTGAAAAATTTTAATTTTCCGATATGAGCCCTTTTCGAAATTCCCAATTCAATTATTTTCAAAGTTTTTTTAATTATGAAATATAAAAATGTGGTTACTTTCCATTTCGTTAAGGTATACCGCATCTGAAATTAAAACAAAATTCTTGTGTTTATTAAGAATAAACAAACAACTGTGTGGAAACACTTCCATAATGTGCAGTAAAAATAATTACACGGTATTCCTATGACAATTTTCGTATACTCTGAAATTAACATTACATAATTTAATGATATTGCAACAGTAAAACAAATCTCAAGAAAGTAGAAAAAAAACATGTTTATTAGTAACTCTAAGAAATAAATATGCTCCACTTTTAAATACGACGGGAATCTCTTTACAAAATTTAATAGGAATGAAATGTTTTAATTAAATTCAATTACCTGGTACAGCGATCATAAAATTAATTTTGTCTGAAATTGACATTACATACATTAATGATATTGAATTTGATTTGCTATTACAAATTATTACATTATATAATATTATAAATTAGAAGACGAAGGTCAAAGTAGAAAAAAAACTATAATGAATAACCTGAATCTTTATGATAATATATAATGGCTGAATTGAAGCAGTTGTGACGATGAGAATAACACAACATATTAATCAGACGACGGTGACAGAGCTAACATCAGTATTTTTTCATAAAGATTCCATTTAGATTTCGGAGAAAATTTAATATTTATATAAATTGCATAAAGTTAAATTTTAGTTGTAATTTTTATATTATATTCAAGTATTTCTTTCTACTTTTATATTTATTTTTTTTTATTATTATTATTATTATTATAACTTTGACTACCGAAACACTCGTAATCAGGATCATCATCAGCATAGATCATTTTTTTAATTACAAGCTCCAATCCATCTAGAATAAATAAATAAAGATTTGGTATATGTTAGCATATTAATTTAAAATATAACTAACTTGCTCCAGCATGACGTCCTTCAGTTATCTTATTATTAATATAGACAATGGCTGCATCTGTAATACATAATTTAGAAAATATGTATAAAGATAGTAAATTAAAAAACTCAATAAACATTTTTTTATAAAACAAAAATGTTACTGACTGGTAGTGTAAAATTCCTTCCTATATTTCGCTGTAAAAAAGTAAAATAATAATAATTTTATTCAAATTTTAACAACCTTAAAGTTGGTAATTATGAAAATAAAATAATTACCTTGATCCTCTTCCGGAACATTTGAAAAGTCAAATGATATTAAAAATACAGAAAAGTTATATTTATTATCTGCCAAAAATAATAAACCTAAAAGCAATTTCTAATAAAATAATTACCTTGGTCGCCAGCCAAAGCATTTGCAAATACAAATAATATTAAAAAACAGAAAAGTTTCATTTTATCTGCAAATAATAATAAACATAAAAGAAATTTATATTAGTCGCTGGTGCAGAGATGAGAAGGTTTTGGTAATGGAATTTTATATTTGGCGATTACAAACAAATGTTAAAAATAAAATTTTACATGTCCATTATACAGAATTTCATTTCTTACACATTTTTTTTTTGTCATTTTTGTAGTTTTGAAACATTTTGAGTTATGATGGAATTCTAAATCATGTTGCTGAATATTGTTTTTTTGTCTTGGGACGGCGGAATATTTTTTTTTACACTAGGTTTGTACACACTAAGACGCTACTTTTGTGAGGTATTATTAAAAAGATTTCAAAATTCCTTTTTTTATTACACTTTATCCTACACATTAAGCCAAATAATAAATAATTTAAAAATCTATTATAGATTATATTATATTAGATTTATTATAGAATTCTCTCCAAAATATGAATTTTATAAAACGCTGTTAAGAAAAAAAAATAGCAAAAAAAATTCTTATTACTGTTTGTGTACAGTAGAACTTTTGGCTCATTAGGCCGATGCCTTTTTAGTTTTAGTATAATTACAATTTTTAGAGTTTGTTAGAAATGCTTACTTCAATTGTTGAATTGATAGAAATTCTTGGACAATAATCGACTTGATCAGCTTTTAAAACTAAATGTTTTCTAGCGACTTATGAATCAGAATCAGAATCTAAATGTGTTTTTGCAGTGTAACTATATGTTCAAGTATTTACATAGTTAGTTCATTTGTTTAAGAGTATAATCGTGTACATACATTACTTTGACGCTTGAAGTTTAGATTACTTGAAGTTTAGACTGTATTCTTCTTTGTTATAGGTTTTACAATTGTCCAAATATCTAATATTAACATTAGAGGAATGCAATTGAAATTTAATGTGTATTTTCTCAACACTATTGACTATGCTGAAGTTTTGAAACGAAAAATATTTAAAAAAATAAAATGTATTATTGGACGGAATAGCGGTTTTCTTTTTTAGCTGTTTATCATGAATTTACAAAAAATCAAAAAAAGTCAATCGAAAGTTTTGTTTTTTTTAAAACGTAGGTATGTAAAAGAAATATATTTCCAATAATTATTATAATATTTGCTGTTGAATATAACACATGCGTATCGATATTGGGTATTTTTATCATAATTAAAAAGATAAAAAAAATATTCAAATACCAATTTATTACACTGTCGAGAATATAAACTTTGTAAAAATCAATATAGTTAAGACTTTTTTTACTCATATTAATATTTCTTAAACATATATATTTGATTATAATTAAAACAAAAAGATACCAAAGTGAGGGATGCATAGTTGGTCAAAATTTTAAAAGTTCACCCTTACTCCCTTAAAAACGAGAAATCGCCTTAGTAAAAGCATAATAGATTAAAATTTACTATTTTTTATATGGCTTATGGTTTTATTATTATTGATTTTATAAAATAAAAATTCAGTAGTTGTAAAAAAAAAAAAATTGTGCTATGTACACAAATTCTCTAGTCGCCTGTTTTGAAAAAGTGTCAACATATAGCCTATGGCACAAACAAAATGTTATCGCAATGATTTCACTAACTGAAAACGCTATAAAGATATTTATTTAAAAAAAAAAATAGAAATTTAAATTTTGACTATTTTGTGCATTTTTTTAAATCGAACCAACGTAATAAATGTAATATCCTACAATATATGTATTTCTATATTAATATATGTAATATATTTGTTTATTTCAAAAAAATTATCAATTTTTGGTATGATATAACTTTTGAATTTTTAATATAAAAGTTTCTTTAATAATTGCACAGACAATAGAAAAAAAATTGGAGGGTGATGATTTTACAAAACGTAAAGGTATAATTAATTTTAATTAAGCAACAGAAGTTCGAACACTAGCAAATTCGTACAGTCTTATAACGTTGGATCAAAACGTAGGAATTAATTATAAATGGTGTGGAAGAAAATATATCAAGTCTTGTTTTAAAATCGTGCAGTAAAATCGTTTGCACTGAGTTCAGTGTTTTGGCATCTTCGAGCATGATATAAGTAGGTATAGAACTTAAGATGTGTCAGACAACACATTTTTGCAATAACCGCAACGAGTGGCCAAAAGTAGGCTTGAAATTGAATCCGATTGGTCTAGAAGTTTGTTCTTGTCTTGAAAAAACATATTTATACTATGTAACACAATAAATCACAATACGATTATAATACGCAATCAAAAAAAAAAATGCCACGTGTAGAAGGTCGCAAAACTAACTATATAAATGCTTCTTAAGCATTAACAGTATTAGTGTTTTTTTGTATGGTTCTATGCCAATCAAACATAATAAAGTAAGTACAATTTAAAATTAATTTTTAAAATAATTTTTGTTGCTAACATAGAGCCATTACAACTGAAATTAACATAATAAAGTAAAATTTAACTTTTAGTTTTTTTTAATTGTAAATAAATAACCTATAAAACTGAAGTTAAAACACACAAATATATATATATATATAAATCTGACAACTAAAAATATCGACTTCTAACTCACTAAAGACATTGTATCGTTTAGGTATAAAAATCAGAAGTCCTCTGTACAAATCAGCAATTATGACGATATCTGTTCAAATTTTTCTCTTTTCAAGTTTACTGCTATCAGTATTTTTTGGTAATACTCATTAGTTACCAATTTTTCATTTTATAATATGAGTTAGATAGTACTTAAGTACTAAGTAGTTAAGTAAGAATTTTAATAAAAATTAATAAAGCGTTAGGCAATTCATTTTACAGGTACTAGCGATTGTGAAATTGTTTTAGAGATAGGTGACATTGCTGTTTTTTTTTGCGATGAACGTGGTAAATATTTTACAAATCAAGTATTTACATTATTATACTTTTACAAAAACTGATAATATCTTTTTTTTAAATTTAATACTTACGAAATTAATAGCTTCAAAAGTTATTGGTAAAAAATTAATGTATATTTAATTTTTGATATTTAACTCATTTTTTATTATTTATTTTAGTCGTGGCAAACTGTGTGAAGTACAACGGTATACAATTGTCATATTATTATTAAATTAGCTTTTTATTTACTATTTTTACACTAAGAGCTATTTTATATGTTTTTGCAGGAAATAATTACGATCTCGGGGGTATGTTTTTTTATGTTACAAGAGTCAATACTTTATTTATAGATTAATACATACCAATACACGTGTAAAATAATATTTAATTTTGCAACATCTGGGCATAATTATATTTCCTAGCTATACAAATTACAATCAATAATGTTAATTACAAACACTATAGTCAGCATAAATTTTCTTGTTACTTATAGTGGGCGTATTGATTAGAAAAATGTCAACGAAGTAAGTATTTATATTTTTAAATATTATACAACAATAGTCAATACTAGTAATAATAATAATATTAATAATATAACTATAATAATTATAGCCGTATTACTAAAATATTATGTTGCTAAATCTTTTTGTTTATTACTACTAACTTTATTTTAAATTATACATTTTCAAATCTATCATTTTCAATGGTGTACTGTTAGAGGCCATATTATATACACATATAATTACTTGATAACACAGAATTGATCAATATTGAATTATAATAACAAATGTATTACTAGGTAAATGATAAGCAGTTAATTATTAGAATATTAAGTACAAACGATCTAAGAAATATCAAATGTATTTCAGGCACCGGAGGTACAAAGATTTTGTAAATAATGCCGATGACGAAGGAAGGTATAGTCTTGAAGACTCAGAAAAAATACATGACATTATTGAATTGGACACTTGTTTTCCATTTTTGAATATATTAAGGTAATATTATCCAAATTTTGTTATCATACAATTCATTACTATATTATATGCAATTGAATTCCAATATTCTACACACATTTAACTATAAATTATTTATTATAGTATTTTATGTAGTTAAAACCAATAAACCATAATTAATATACTATTATCGAAGATTATATTGTTTTTGTATTATCCTAAATAATATTATTTAATAAAACAATACGTTACTTGTACAATGTCGATTCGTCAACATTTTATCTCCATCCAACACAATATAACTGATTACACATTGGTCCGAACGAATACAAGACATTGTTGAGTTTTGACAGTGTTGTTTTGTAATTCATTAAAATTAAATAATAATGGCTAACGTCTCATGTTTGAGTACATAATAGTACTACATTCGACAGTGTTGAGTATTCAAAAGTAGAAATGTATATTGTGTGTCCCCAAACGAATCACCGTACAATGGCAAATCAATTGGAAATACCTTTTAGAGAACGACCATCCGGAAATGTACGAATATTTAAAAAACGCTATTCTTAAATATGTTTTATTATTATTATTTTTAATTTCACTCTACCTTGAAATTGTATTATATATTGTCGATTATCGCAGAAAGACATTGTATACTCATGTATGTATAGTATGTATGTATATATATATATATATATAATTAGGATAAGAAAAATATGAATGTTACAATAACAACAAAATTATAAATTTGGGTACCTGTTTAAAGTTGTTTAATTTGTATGTAAGTTAGGTTATCTATCATTTCTTTTCAGGTGCATTTCTGATATTTCCATTTATACCTTTTGTTTTCTCGTTGTCGTTTTTACATTGAATATTTTTTTTTTAGTTCATAACGAATTATTTTTTAAAAAATGAATATCACTTTTTTTTCTTGTATTTTTTAGTTTAATGTAATCTCTACATGTACTATATGTTAGGACTCTAAAAGTATTTAAATCAGTCTAAAATAGCTGTATAACTAAAAGTGATCTACACATTTTAAACACATGTGGTTATGAAATTGCTTAAGATTTTCTAATTTTAAATACAGCTCGCTTTAACATTTAGATAAATACAACAATATAATGTCAAGAACTAAGTAGTCGTAATTAAGGCACCTTTGTCACATTAACCTTTTTACAAATGTACCTATTGCTATATATTAAAGTTGCTGAAAGATAAGTTGGCCCAGTTGTTGAAATCCAGGTTAGAAAATTGAACTGAAGTTCAAGACTAGTGTTTATACCAATATTTTTACTTTTCGTTAAATTAAAAAATACAATAACTTAATTATAATAACAATAATTAATATATTAACATTTACTTTAGAAAAAATTAGAATAAAAAAAATTACTAAAAACAACTTGTCTAAAACTAAACTAAACTAAACGTGCTTGTATATAAGACGTAGGTATGCTTTTTTATTATTACTTTACTTGTTTTTTTCTTTTAAAGAAAATTAATATGAATGTGTGTGATATAAATATGGTGTCACCCGCACCTGATAGAAAACCCAAGCATTGTCAAAATATGATATATTATAACCTTGGAATATTCACAAAACAAGCTCACTATAATAATCTCTACGTATATACAAGTGTTTTGTTTTTTGGAGTATATTATTAAGTTTGAATTAAAAAATTACAGGCACGTGCCAACGATTAAAAAAACCAATAATTAATAACATAAACTGTATTATTTATAAATAACAAGTAGTCTGACTTCCATACCTCACATTGTGTGTTCTTGGGTATAGTCAAAAGTGGTCAATATATATATTAACTACAACGAGAAAAGCATTCCGAGAGTGAATTGGATACTTTTATTTCTTTCATTTAAAAAAAAATCATTAAATTATTAGCAAATGTAATAATTAAATTATTGTATAACGGTAATTACCAGACTCATTTTTATGGTGTTCGTGTATTACACACGCAACCGTGTTCACAGAATTTATAAACTAATGTATGCATTATATTTTATCTCATCGTTACATTATTTTACATATTAAATAAATAAAAGAAAAAATAAACGATCGCATTCTTGGTAAATATTTAGGGGAAAACATCACTGGACAAATGTAGGGATCGTTTCAACCCTAATGGTTATGTTAATACACGGGTAAACCCCAAGAAAATGACATAAAATTGTGTACGAAAAGAAATGTTATTTTTAATTCTTCTTCTTTGGAACTAGTTTTCGGACATCAGGTCTGAAATTAGACTAGTGTTGACCAATTTTTTTTTTCAATAGATCTCAAAACATCATAATTGTACTCAATTTTAAACTTTTATTCACTGAACAATTATTCCCAAACTATTTTAAACTTCAATTATTTGAACCAATACATTGTTCTATAGTATAAAAATATTTAATACAAAACGAGGTTTATATAGATTAAGGGATTTAGTTTAACATAAAAAACTCTACATAGTAGTAACTGTCCATCGCACACAACTCTTTTTCGTACAAACCCCAACCCTCGCATAAATATAATAAAGATAACAATTGTATTTGTTATCCATACAACATAATTATGTACGACGAGAATGACCTTATATTCTATTTTAATAATCGGTTTATTTGCAGTCGAGTTGGGAAAGGGTAGATAGAAAGAGAGTTATGGAAAATACGAATACTGTTGCGTTTCATGGAAAGCCATAAGGGCACCTCTGAAATACACTGGATACTGTTGAGTTATTGTAGTGAAGTATCTACAAGTAGAACTTATTCACATAGTCATCCAGGAGTAGAATGATAATCAAGTCATTAAGGCCTGTAGCTATGTGTGGGAGATAAGGTGAATAAGTATACTTGTTAGGTGAGTTGTTGTGTAGTCCTCCACCCTTGGCCCTTTTTCACTGTTAGGTTTTTGTTGGAGATGTTAGTATTTTTAATCTTAAGTACTCGTATACTAAAAGCGTTGCTTAAGTAAAAATAATAAATATTTCGCGAGAACACGAAATATAAGATTCTTATTATATTTAATATCCAATACCAACCAAACTGTTAAAAATACTATAAAAGAAATTTTAATTTTTGTGTTATAAATTATGTTTTACAAATACTGTTGTTGCTTATATTTCTGTAATTTATTGTATTCGAATAATAATATTATTATTATCTATTTTACTTTGAAAATTAATTTTTATTAATACAAATATTACACTGAATAAAACGTGTGTTTCAAAATTTTTATTTTTATTTTAGGCATTTATTTATGTCCCTATAGCCTATAGGTATTAATTTATTGTAAGCTAATGGAACAAATATTTTGGGTCTCCATTGGAATTTTGGCGCTGAGGCTTTAAATGGTCTTGAGAAAAAAAAAGAAAAAGGCTACAAAAGTATGTATTTTTCTTTTTTCAATTCAGGTCTATACAAAGTGAACATCGTTTGCACTGAGTGGTTTCAGCCACTACGGGCGAGGTATGAGTAGGTATATAACTTTAGGTGACGTTCGGTTACTACACACACATACAATGGTTTTTTTATTACGTGTGTGTCTAATATCGCAATGAAGAAATGAAAAAAAATCGGTGCTCGAATCACACACTGATGTAGTGCGTTAACTTCGCTTACGATGACATATTTTTGCAAAAACCGCGTTAACCTAACCACACCAAACAGTGAAAAGTAAGGCGTAGAATTGAATCCTATTCAATGCATATTTCCTTATGTAATCACAATAAAACACACAAAAAGCAATACACACAATTTAAGAAAATTCGACGAGTGGAGGGTCGCAAACTATAGAGAGGCACAATCTGAGCATTAACAGTATTAGTGTTCTTTTGAGTTTCTATGCTTTAACATTGTCAAAATAAAAAGAGTAAGTAAAATTTAAAATTGTTCTCCGTGAAAAAAACTAATAAGTTTTTTTTAAAGGTTTTTATAGTTATTATTTTTTTTTCTCGATCTTATACCTTTACAGCTAAAGTTAACATATTTATAAAATATTTATTTTAGAAAAAAAAATTTAATTTTGTATTTTTCTTATAAAAGAAATTATTGTTTATGTTTTTAAGATAATTTTTTAAGTTTCCTAAACTTTTCCCACTTTTTTTTAAGCGCATTCAACTTTAAACCTTAATAGAATCATACATATTTTATTCAAATTTTAAATGAAAAATTATTTATTGATAATTTTGACTGATCTATAACTATTTTTAAAGAATAACTAATCGAATTATTAAGTATAAAATATTTTAGCAAAAGAGGTTTTATTATGATAGGGGGCATGATGCTTTATTTTTCAGCACGATATACTCAACGAAAATTTCCCCACTCGTCATAACATAATTAATTTTAAAAGTAATAAAAGTTATACGAGTTTAAAAGTTATGATGGGAGGGAAAGTTTGGTTGGGAAATGCACGCAGATATAAATAAAAATACACTCCACCTTTCCCCCTGCCCTTAACTTGAAACTTCAATAACTTCAAAAATAGTTATTCGGAACTGGTTATAGACCAGGCAAAATTTAAGGTACATTATTCTCAATTTAAAAAATTTAATAAAATATATACGTTACCATTAAAGTTCCAAAAGTTGCTATCAAAAAAACCAAGTTGGAAGGGGGGTAAAACAAAAAAAAATGAGAAAAATTGATATCACGTTTTATAAATACATTATAAAAAAAAAATCAATTATTAATTAAACAGAGTGAGATAATGACTGGTTCATGATAAAAGAATCACCCTGTATTGAATTAAATTGGAAATGTATTATTTTCAAGAACTAAAAATAATACATTTGAATACTTTTACAAATAGTCGTTTTCCAGTCATAACAGTTACATATGGCTCACTCGCACTTTTTAAAGCGCGTACTCTATTTAAATGAAGAAGTATGATTTTTTACTTATCTAACAGGAATAAACACGATTTAAGAACATAAATTATATACACCTAAATAATTGGTATTATTTAAGTTTTTTATGTACATAAGTAAAACATTCCGCAATTACTATAAAGGTATCAACATTCTAACTCACTAAAGACATTTTATTGTTTAGGCATTAAAATCTGAAGTCCTCTGCACAAATCAGATATTATAATGATATCCGTTCAAGTTCTTTTCGTTTCGAGTTTATTGCTATCGACAGTTTTTGGTAACACGTATTACAATTCTATATTTTATAATATGAGTTCACAAAGTAGTAATGTAAGCCTTTCGCTTAAAATTAATGACGTGTTATGCAATTTATTTTACAGGTACCAAGACAAATCAAATTACTTTAGATTTAAATGACATTGGTGTTTTTACTAAAATTGTTCGTGGAGGCGGCAATTGTAAGTATTTTACATTTTAACTATTATCTAGTATCGTGTAAATATTACACAACCAAAAATGTGTAAAACTTTTTATAAGTTATACCTATAAAACTTACTTTATTTTATGATATATTATTTTTATAAGAACTAAAAATATCTTTTTTTAAGTTTAATATTTTCGAAATTGAGTTTTAAAAATTATTACTAACAAATTAATGTAGTTTTATACTTTTATGTTAAACTTATTTTGTTTTTATTTATTTTAGTTGATTTCTTAAAGATATGCGTGAAGTTACAAAGTATTTAATTTTTTTATTATTAATAAATAGGCATTGTGTTTACTATAACAGTTATAGTCCAGCTCACGAAAACTGAACGTTCGAGGCCGATGGATGGCTGCCAAATATTGTCGATGCCAGTGGTTCTCCGTAGAGTCTGCTGTTATGTTAAAATATACATACTAAACATATTTTTATTAATGGTTTTTAATTACTATATTCTTAACACGTAATGTAGTGCGTGAGACAAAATAATAAAATATGTACATTTCAACATTACAAAAAGCCCGCCAATTATTTTGATACCCACTAATGACAATTTGCCACTGGTAGCGCTGATGTCAGCGTTCAGTTTTCGTGAGCCGGACTAATCAATATAATATGTATACAATCAATAATTTTACTAAAACAATTAGTTTTTTTACAGGAAATAATGAGGGCCTTATTGGTATGTTTTTTTTTTCATAAAGTCTTGTAAACTATATCTATTCTTTAAGATACTACATAATTTCATTAAATAATATTTTCTTTTAAATTCCACTTAATTCTGGTAGGAGTATGGTTTAAATTGTTTGATAATAGCGCATAAACTATTAAGAAATGCATTTTATGTTGTATGGTTAATAAATACAAGTGTTATCTTTATTATATTTATGAGAGGGTTGAGTTTTATATGTGAAAAGAGTTGTGTACGATGGAGAGCTACTACACGAATAATGTGAAGCGATTTGTAAAAAAATATTAATTGTTATATATTCTGTGTTCATTAGTTAAGCTTCTTATGTTGAATTAAATCTATTAAAAATAAATAATTCTCGTTATATATTATATATTTTCCTTCGATAACACTGTATAATATGTGCGTAGTAATTATTGGGTTAAAATAAGATTTAAGATCGTTTTGGAATTGTCAATGGTGTTAAAATTATTGAAATATCAAAGACAATAATGAATAAAAAATTATATATATTATGTAGGATACCCATTATTTGCTCGTACTTTAAGAGGTATAAGTATTATAAAATTGTTGGATTTTTTGAATTTGTAACTTGTGTATTAATTTGGGGAAATGATTAACCTGCTATGTCAATTCATATGTTGTAAAATAATATTTAATTTTGTAACATCGGTGTATAATTTATATAATCAATATAATATATATATATACAATCAATAATTTTACTAAAACAGTTAGTTTTTTTACAGGAAATAATGAAAGCCTTATTGGTATGTTTTTTTTTCATAAAGTCTTGTAAACTATATCTATTCTTTAAGATACTATATAATTTCATTATATAATAATTTCTTTTAAATTCCATTTAATTCTGGTAGGAGTATGGTTAGCGTAAAAACTATTAAGAAATGCATTTTATGTTGTATAATAATCAATATAATATGTATAAAATCAATAATTTTAATTATAAACAATAAAGTCGACATATATTTTTTAGCTTTGATGCAGAGAAGCAAAGGTATTGGTTTTACTCTGATGTGTGTTTTTTTTTATCTGTATACACTGTAACTTTTTTATTTGTTACTTATAGGGTGGAAATTGAGTAATAAGATGCCAACGACGTAAGTACTTATATTATATATAACAATATTTAATATAAGTGTACAGGGTATATTAATATTTTCAACAATATTTTTTTCCAAGATTTTTTGGTACACATATTGTACTATATTTTTCAATGTTTTGAAAATTTTTGTCACCAATCCTTGAAGGCCAAAAAGGGGGATTTTAGTTTTTTTTAAATGGCAACATATGTTTTGTACATGTATGCTTTAATTACATACATTTGTAAAAATAAAATAAAAAATATATTTTAGCGTTTGAATTTTAAATTTTCATTTATTTGTTCATTTGTTATGACTTTATAAAGATTTAATTTTTTTACTATATTTCTGAATATTTTCAATCGTTACTACAAAGACGAGTAGTTTTATTATATGCATAAAAATAATTTGATAAAGTTGGTTTGTAAAACTAACCTGTGTTGGAATAGGTAATCTGTAGATAAGAACCGTTTGTCTATCATTATTTCAAAGTCTTTTATACTAGTGACTTTTTTTTGTTAGAGTGTTATCGCCAAATGGACAATGCGAACATAAGTATGAACTTTATGTGCTACCGGTTTTGGAAAACCGAAGAAACATGATAATTATTAAGAGAAAATGTAGTATCTTAACAAAGTCATAACTAATGAACAAATAATGAAAATTCAAAATTCAAACGCTAAAATATTTTGTCTACAAATTTATGTAATTAAAAACATACGTTGCCATTTAAAAAAACTAAAATCCCCCTTTTTGGCCATCAAGGATTGGAGATAAAAATTTTCAAAATATTGAAAAATATAGTACAATGTGTACCAAAAAATCTTGGAAAAAAATATTAATATATTCCGAGAAAATTACTGTCTTTTCCTTAATGAATCAACCTGTATTACATACCATACGTAATATACACACTGAACTCAATATATTGAGTTCAGTAAATAAAGATCTTAGGTAGTATCTAAATATGAAAATATTAAGATATAAGATGAAAATTATGAACGATGGGAATGACGTTAAAATAAACGTTATTCTATTACAAAATAGTCTATTGAGTTAGAAAATCGTATAGTCCATTTATATGTGTTTACTGTAGCCTAGTTAATATATTATGTTTCTAAATCTCTTTGTACATTACTACAAACTCTATTTCAATATACCTCATTAAATACATCTTTTGCAATTTTTATATTGTTTAACTCTAAGATCATTTGTATTATCTTTCTTTGTAAAAACAGACGCATTACCAAGTTATTAATTTATGATAAGAAAATAAATTATAAGAAAACTTAAAACAAAATATCTAAGTATTTTTACATTATGTTTCAGGCACCCAAAGTACTCCCACTATGAGGGCAAAGCCGATCAATATGGAGTGTATTCTCGGGAACACTCAGATGCCATTTATGACATTGTTACAGCGGATTTTTTTAATGAACTTGATAAATTAGAAAAAATAGAAAACGCATATTATACAGATGACTCTTTATCAGATTAAGAGACCATAATTTTATTATATGTACTTCAATTGCGATATTCTACATAAATTTTAATTTATATACATTATTGTATTTTATGTAAGCCACAATTATTATAATATCATTAAAGATCATATACTTTGTTGTATTATCTTACTTAATATTATCTAATAAAACAATACGTACAAAGAATTAATTAAATAAAACATACATTATAATAAATACGATCATATTATAGGTAATTTAAGTACTAAAACTTTTAAATAATAAGTGTACTCGTTTGAATTAAAAGTATATTGTTAAAATATATTCAGAAGGTATCGGACTCTTATGAAAAATATATGATGAGCAAATAACTAAAACAGGAAAACTTGTTTTGTTTACAAATTTTGGCCGGTAATATTTTTACAATATAATTTAAGTTAAACCTTAGCATTCTCAAATTACGATCAACTGGGTTAATATTTAAATTATTAGTCGCCACTCGCCTATAACTTATAGCTATAAGTAAACCGAGGCTATATGTCCGTAGGCTTTACGTATGAGAGTCCTAAATTGTCAATTTTTTTGAAAAAATAATTTCACGTTTGAGTACATGGCAATACTGTCATTTCCTAAATATTACATTTTTTGGTGATTGTATATGTGTTGATCCACCGTCTAAAAGAAAGTACGAATTTGTCAATATGTCGAAAGAGTTTTCAGTTCATAAAACGTATAACTTGTTAAATTAAAAAACTAAAGGTTATACGAAATGGTATGTTGACGATTTTGACTTAACAGATATATTACTAAAAGCTTGAGTAGTACATAGTTGTTTTGATATATTTTTGTTCGACTGCTGTCAATGAGTATTCATGAATATAAACATTAAATTTGGATAAGAACATAACGTCGATCCAACCACAAAACAGTGTACGACCATGACTTGTTGTATCGAAAATTCGAAGGTCATAATAAGTTCTATCATATACATATGTTGTACAGCAATAATAATTTGTATCAAAGTGTACAAAATATAATCTATAAAAATGTGTATGTGTTACAAATTTTAACATTTGTGGTTATATACATATTTGCAGTGACCGATGGGATTAATTTAGGGGGGAAAAAAGTACTCTCATAGAAGTCGAAATAGCTCTACTTCTAATCGATGGAGAAATTGCGTCCTTGGTCTCATTCTGATGCGGGTGATATACTCGAACATTTTTGGGGATCGTTTTGCTGTTACTGAATATTTGTAATTTTTTGGCGGCTTCACAAACTTTATTAAAAAAAAACAGCATATCACCCCTGAAACAGAACGAGACCAAGAACGTGAAAATCTTTCGATTAGAAGTGGAGTTATTTCAAGATTAAGCAAGCTTCGAAAGTCGTACAACTTGTCTACAAAGTGTAAAAACTCACACTTACAATAACCATAATGACTTTTTCGACCCATCCATATGTTCCCGCAACCCAGAGAACAAAATATTTAAAAAAAAATCGAAAATTTCAAGTTTTTTGATAGATTTTTAACGACACATCATCTTTGCTTATGGCTATTGCACTATTATCCTGTATATTCACAATATTCGTCAATTTGTTGATATGTGAATGTATAATTTTAAGTCACATTACAATTTCTAAAATAATTTTTCAGCAAAATATCTAAAATAACTAACTTTTTGTTTACATTAATAATGTATTTTTAAAAGGAAAAAACAAACATAATCTAAAAACTGCAAAAGGTAATAAATGCTTATTTTGGTTGAATAATTCAATAATGATAACATCAAACGAAGATATTCTTAGTATTAGGTGGCCTTTTTTTTTATTTAATGTATATTAATACAACAGAGATACTTTAATGCTGGAGAGTGCGATTTGTAGGATATGAATATTGTACTAATTCTCCCATAAAACCATGTATAAAAAACAATTTTTAAATCCCAGATGCAAATGTCAAATAGGGAGTATCGCCATTGATAAATAATTATAGAGTATAGGATAACACGTAACAAATTAAACTATTAACTACAATTTTAATTATATAGTTTAAAAATAAATAATTTTTGCAAACAAATGAAACTAAAATTAGTATAATTATCAATTCAACAGAATGTTTCGTTTAAAGATTAATATCAAATCTATGATTCATAATCCACCTCTCACGTCTTGTACAAACAAGTTGACGATAAAACGTATATGTCTTTTAACCTCTTCGAGACCTCCTGCAAACAAATCGTTCGCCGCCTGTTCTGTGCAAAGTTCTGGGTCATCGATAATTTTTTCTTTTATTGAACTGTATAAAGATACACGTCCCCCTTCAATATCTCCAGCTTGTATTGTAATTCTTGCGGTATGAGCCGCTTCAGCCAACTCTGATTTTAAATTATCTAAATATTCCTCTGACAAAAATAACATATTAAAACAGTTAAAATAGATAATTATATTACAAAGTATAAGTAAACGGTATGATTTAAGATTTCAGGGTATCATTTCTTAATGTCATACATTAAACATTATTGAGATTTAAATAAAGAACTTCTTTTGTTCTACTGTATTCTAAGGAATATCAGTTAATGTAGTCAGCATTTTCTTTCTTGTAAACCGATCAAAACATTATATAATGACTTACAATTGGTAAGTAAAATAATATTGTATTATCTAATAAAAAGAGTTAAACGTGAGACATGTGCTGATTAATGTCAATATAATCTAATATTATACAATATTTTCTTTCTATTATATTCTTCTAAAAGCCTAAAAGCCCAAATAAAAAATCAGTGGTCTATACCGAATGAAAATGGATCTTTTTCAGTGATCATTTTTCCTCTTTGCTTATTTAACAAAAAATGTGTTTTTAATACTCACCGTTTGTCATAAGCTCTGTTCTTAAACACTTTACTAAAGTAGACAAATAAAAATGTTTGTGAAGGTTTAGTATAGATTGAGGCACGAATTCTATACCGGAACGTATGCCAGAAATCTGCAAGACACACATAATATTAGTACTAATGCAAAAATGTAAAAAAAAAACAATATTTTTAATGTATAAAAATACATTGCATGTATAAAATACCCACCGTAATTTATCCACGAAAAATGGTTTTTCGGGGGACAAGAATGTGAGGGCGGTATTTAGAGTAGTCGTATACAATTTTTACAATGGATAGAGAAACTTTATCTACGAGGTAGCGGTTTTAGTTTTTTGATAAACTGAAGCACAATCAAAATTATTCATTCGTAATTATTCATTTTTTTTTTCGTTTTCATTTTTTTTATAAACAAATATTAAGTATAGATATCGAAAAATTAAAATGCTACACCATGGATAAAGTTGTTCTCTCTACATCGTGATAATTTGGTAAATTTACTACCTATTAATACTGGCCTCACATATTTGTCCCGCGCAAAGCACTTTAGATTGTAATTTATCCTATAGAAATGACTGTGATAGTCTGACCAAAAAAAATGACAATCAATAAAGTATATTCATTACTGTATTAATAAGTATACATTATAGTTCAAGCTGTAATTTAAGATTTTTCGAAAAATTGCGTATACTTTACTTCTTAGAAATGACCTAGGTAGCGTCCTCTTAATAATGAAAATAATAGTTGAAATTTAATCCAAAATCTATATTTACTTACATGAAGACCGAAAAAATACACTGCAAACAACACAAGATTGATGTTTGATTTCATCGTAAATACCTAAAATAATAAAAACCGCCTAATAATTATAATTAGTAGTGTCATCAAACATATTATGTTAATTTCAGGTGTAATGGTTCTGTGTTGGCAATACAAACAAATTGTTATAAACACTTAATTTTAAATTGTACTTACTTTTTTATGTTTCATAAACTTAACGCATAGAAACTCAAATAAAACACTGATACTGTTAATGATTAAGTTGCCTTTTTATAGTTTGTTTTGTTTGTTCGTGTGGGCAAAAAATTAACCTTCGAATCATACCTAAATCATCGAGTTAGCAAATTTATCGAAGCGCACATACTATTTTGATATTTGTGCACATTGTTTTTTTCACAGTTTCTGTTTTTATTAATACATAAAAAAAAATAAATTTTGATAAAAACACTTGTACGAACGATTACAGACAATGACTACGAGTACTAAAATCATGAAAACGCGACAATTTTCTATTTTCAACCAAAGTTATATGTTTGAAAATAATATCTTTATAGAATTTCCTGTATGTAAAATTATCGCGTTCAAATTTTGTTTTCGATGAATATTTATAAAACAAAAATCCTTTACAGTGGCTTAGAGGGACGGAGAATATTGGCGCAGGGAGGTTAAATCACTTTAAACAAAGACCTTCAGGTTGATTGTTTGTCTATAATTTGTTGCCGTTGTTACCCACATAATTAACAATATAACCCATAATCAACAATAATTGACAATGCAAATTTATTTCAAATAAATGTTGACTGTGTATTCATTGACGTATAACAACTTAGAAACATAAAACGGTCAAGGTGTAATTCTGCACTTATTTGTAGTTTCTTTTATAAAAAAAAATTTGCCTATACTTTTTTAATATACATTTGACTATACTTTATTATATACATAATAAAGCTATGCGTATGTTAGGCTTTATGAAGAGGCAGTGTTGGAATTTTAACGACATCCATTGTTTAAAGGTTTTATATTGCTCTCTTATTCGTTCAGGACTGGTATTCAGACGGCTCTATAGTTTGGAATCCTTCCGCGATGGGTCTGTTTAACCGGTTAAATTGCGTTCAGTCTTGCTTTTTAAGAAACCTTAGACGCAAATTTGGTTTTCAGTGTTTAACATTGGAACTTCGGTCCGATTTGGGTCTCCACTCACTTAGTGTTAGGCGTGAGTATAATGATGTATCTTTCATACATAAATTAGTTAATAACAAAATAAATTGCCCTGACCTTTTAAAATTAGTGGGTTGGCATGTCCCAACATTCTCCACCAGACCACTTTCCATGTTCAGTTCCACTCAACATCTTATGGGTTGAACAGGCCCCTGAGTAGGATGAACTCGAATTTGATTTCAATCACGACAGTGAGTCCAAATTTCGGTGTTTATGTTTACAAATTAATAATGTAGACTAGATTATAAAAAAATTATTATTATACTATTATTATTTTTCATGTATCTATATATATATATTTTTGGTCCCGGGGCTTAAGTCAATTTAATCAACTTTTCAAAACAGTTGTTTGAAAGTTTAAAAATACATACACGTTTTAGTATTGTTCGATAATATGAGTAATATTCGTCGCTGACTTATGCCAATTGAACCAAAAAAATCAGAAAAAATAAATCTTTAAATCTACGGAAAACATTTTTTTGTGAAAAATTGACTAAGCCCTTTCTCCCCGGGACCAAAGATATATATGTTTGTATTTACTTATTTAGATTTCTTGTTCTGCACTTTATTGCCCTTAATGGGTGTAAATAAACATTATTTTATTAAAGAAAATGTAAACGTTATAGTTCAACCCTTAGCTCTAAAAGTACACCTAATAGCAAAATAAAATATTATATATATATATATATATATATATATATATATATATATATATATATATATGTATATGAAAGTACAGTTTTATCGATATTTATCTTTATAATACAGAAACCCAAATAAATCCTAATACATACTTTAACGCTCAGGTTGCCTTTTCATAGCTGTTAATTGCGACATGTTTCATTTTCACAACTTCCGTATTTCACTAGTTTTTTATTGTATTGATATAATATAGTAAAATTGATAAAAATAGCCAAGAAAAGTTGGTCTTAGTTGTGGTAAAAAATAAAATACCGTTATCCACGATATTCTCTGCAAAAAAATATTTTAAATTCTTAGTGAAATTACTTTTTTAAATATTCGGTCACATATTTTTTTTGTTAATTCGGTTTTTCGGCTTATAAACAATGTAGTTTACCTATACAACAACGTATAAAACAAATTATAACCTAATTCAATATGCAAAGTACCATAATATAAAATGTGTCGATGAATACCAATGTAGAACTAAACGAATAATACGTCATAATAAATAAAAAAATGAACAACAGTTTTAAATATGATTATAGTTTATTCGTAAAATACATATTAGAAATTCAGCTAAATGAAAAAAAAATCATACAACATAAAAATCATCATAATTTTCATAATCATCAAATTTTTCCGCTAATTCGCTTTCCACTTCTCTTGCAAACATTTCAACGACGCTGTTTATACTTTCTATTATGTTATTCGGATCTCGACCAAAACGCTCCCTTATCACCTGTTCTGTGTACAGTTCTGGATTATCGATAGTTTTCAATTCTAATGACCTGAATAAAAATGCACGACCCGCTTCAGCACCGGTATTTTTAAATAATTCTATTGCATGTAGACCGGCTGTCACATAATATGGCCATTCGCCTAAATCGGCTCCTGTAACAAATAATATTTTAAAAACTATTACCTATAATACTTTATAATATATATTAGGGTGGTCCGTATTGTTTTTTGAATTCCACGTTAGATAGTTATCAACCGGCTCTAAATATTCCAAAATTTCTTTAATTTTTTATAGAAGATAAAAGAAAAAATAAACATAAAAGGGGAATCTAAGAGTGGATTGTGGGGAAACTGAGGAATAATAGGTTGGGATGGTTCAATCGTATTATGAGGAGAGATGAGGCAGAGGCAGACAATGTGAGTTGTTATTAAGATGAACGTAGAGGAAAAGAGGAAGACCGAAGATAAGATAGATAGACGGAATAGAGAGTGGGGCTGGGGTGATTAAAAGAGATGTAGGAGATCGAGCTCTACGGGAGGCGTAGTTCTAGGGTGGTCTGATTCCATGCAGTTGGGAGTGTAAGGCGAAGATGAAGAAGTAGTTGATTACAATATTTGGAGCTGGATGACGCCATCCAACGCTATGTCTCATTTAAAGTCCACCCTAATACATATGTATATTATTGATTAACATAAATTAAATTAAAACATGAATGTTTGATTAAATGTCCCATTAAAATATTTGGCTCGTTTCACCGATTTAAATATGACCAGACTCGTAATTGTATTAATTCTAAAGAAATCCGGATAGTCGCTGGTTTTACTTTAATCGGCTGAGATTTTGAATTTAATTTTCAAGCTGGCTAAAGAGGTTTTCCTTATATACATTTCAGACAAGATACAGACATAATATTTCAGGAAAACATACAATTATTGATACCATGACAAAATGTATAAAATCACAATGTACCTAATAATGATGGAATTTTATTTAATTAATAATAGTTGACTACATATTTTTGAATGTATTTATCTAAATTTAAATTTCTTGGTGTAACGTAAACATTTTAAATCTACTATTTGACATATTTTTAGATCCTTAATATATTATCCAGAAGATTGGTTGACCTTCGAAAAATATCTTCGCTTTTTCTAGGTACAACTGAGAACAAAAATAAGTATAGGATTCCTAAAAATTCCAATAAAATAATTGTGATTTCTACAAAGTAAAAAATCGGATCTTTCAATCTAACCTATCATTCTCTTTACTTATTAGATACAAATGAACTAAAATATTGTTTTAAATACTCACTTTCTTTTACTAAGTTCGGTTCCATTAAACCTAGTTCTAAACCAAAATTAGTAATATTTTCTCCAAGGTTTATTACAGCTAAGGGCACGAAATTATGACGGTCATCACGATGAAAGCTGGATTGCTTAACGTTACGGAGACTATGAGCGTCCAAAAAAATCTAAAACAGAACCGTAATAGAGTTTTTACCAATTGTGGTCAAATACTATTTGTGTACTTAAGTATAAAAGTTTTGAATCTACTGTGAAGATAGGTCAAAGAAAAATTTTTATCAACTTATAATCAGGGAAATAGTGGTTGTCTGATTTTTTGAGGGATCTAAATAGCTTGTATGATATAAATATTGAAGTAAAATAAAATTATTCTTAAAACATTGTAAAATTGTGTTTTTGCTATTTAAAAAAAAAAAAATTCAAAAAATATTTGTATACACTATACATCTGATGTCTGTAAATATTACAATATTAGTAATTGTTTTGGGTTAGAATCTATGATTTATGTATAGAGATTACATTATTGAGATCATCAAACAATATGTTTTAATGTATAAATATATCGAAAGCAGAGGATTAAATGTAACTCTTATTATAAAATAGTCAAAAATCTATGTTTACTTACAATTAGACCGAAAAAATACACAGCAATTAACACAAGACTCGTCTTGGATATCATCGTAAATTACTAAAACACATACAATTTTTAATTAAAAAAGTAATTACCGTTTATGAATGAATAAATATTATAGTAATAAGAACGTGACCTATTTATATATTTGTTAATGAGTTGATAAAATGAAAGGAATTTTCTGAAAATATTCGACGCAGTAATATACACATTTATTATTTAATCGGAAAAAGAGAAACCCATTTTGTATTTTGACATTTTTTCTATCCTTTCAACGCAACTTATTTAAGTGTAGTCAAAATTTTGTCTAGGGAAATACACGTGTCCGATGAAGAAATGAGCAGTACTATCAAAAAAATACAAATTTAAATAGAATCTTTTCCATAAAGTACTATGTGCCAAGTGTTCTATTAAGAATCAAGAGATATTTATTTCCAAAGTGATCATTTTATGGTGAACCACCATATGAGATTTTGTTGATAGGGTTTAATAAGATATTTTATTTGTTGATAATAATGTACATAAAATGTCAACCGGTCGATAACCAGGTTAGAACAACTATTTTTAAAGTCATAAGAGTTTAAAAATTAGGACGGGAGGGGCAGATAAAAATTATACTACACTTCATCTTTCCTCCTGTCCTAAACTTGAAACTTCAATAATTTTAAAATTAGTTATTTAAAACGGGTCATCGACCAATCAACATTATTTTCAGTACATTATTCTCAATTGAAAAAGTTAATGAAATATATGCGTTACCATTTAATTTTTTAAAAATTGCTATCTAAAAAGCTAAGTTGGGAGGGGGTAAAACAAAAAAAAATTGTAAAAATTTGAGATCACATTGTATAAAAAAATTATAGGAATAAAATTTAATTTCTTATTAAACCCTATGAGATATTAAGTGGTTCACTATAAAATCGTACCCCTCTAGTACAAACGGCATAACTAAAAAAACGTCCATTTTGGGTTGGCTCCACTACTGGCAACACGAGAAAGATATCTACCATATTTTGCACTAATCAGTTTTTTCCTACTATATGATTTAACTGCTAGATAGCGCAAAGTGCCATTTCAGGCACCGTCTAAGTTCGTTACCTACTAAAACCTTAAATTATTTTTTCCTAAGAATGATATTTTTGTATTTATACCATTTGTATTCCAGGGGTGCACAAATGATCACAATTTAAAGTTTTACCTTTCTTTTGGTATTTTTAGAGCTATCTACTTTTTTAACCTAATAAAAATGTCTTCAACAAGAAAAATAGCAAATTTTAATTATTTACCGAGAAATAATATATTAATAATTTATAATACATTGACAATACAAAAAAAAAATATTACAAACATGTAATGATAAACATTTGATTATCTTACGAACAATAATTATTTAAAATTTTACTTACTTTTTTATGTTTAATATACTTAACGCACAGAAACTCAATAGTAAATGAATACGGTTAATGCTCGGGTTATGTTAGAATTTTTTTTTAAACTGCTGCCTTCGACATCTAAAAACGAATACTAAATTCGTATTTGTACATATATTGTACCAACGCGACGTCAAAATGATGGACGAATTAGTCAGCATTAGAATTTCTGCTATTTTTTTGAAAAAATAATGTCTTTACAGTGTTATTTTCAGTTTGTAAAATTATCGCGTTGAAATTTTGGTTTTTGCGCAAACGCTCAATATCACTTTATAATATTTCAAATTAAAATTCCTTATTAAATGTTTGGTATCAATTTCGACAAGATTAAACTATTTTTCCCGAAGTAATTGCAAGTCAATGTTAAAAGTAGAATAATTGAAAAAAAAAATGTTTTGACTTTAATAAAAACGATCAACATTTTTAGTTTTTACCGTAATACCACAAAAAAACAATACAGGATTAAGGGGGCTCCATACAGACTATTTTTTCAGTCAAAACACATCATTTTCATTCAATCGTACAGGCCTAACCAGTAATTCTATAAGCAATCTAAAAACAGATTTGAATTTTTCATGAAGTTTATTTAGGATCGGTCGAGGTACTTTTTTCAATTTTTAATTTTAACCCTTTCTAAATTTTATTTTAAAATGTTGAAATCGTATAAAATGTTCAAACGTGTTTTATAAATAGTAAGAATAAGATATCAAAAAAGTACGTCGACCGATCTCAAGTAAATTCCATGACGAATTCAAATCTGTTTTCATATTACTTATCGGATGACTGGTTGAGCCTGTGCGATGGAACAAAAAATGTGTGTTGTATTAACTAAAATGGCTTTTACTCATAGATAAAATGATTTAAATTAAAAATAATACCTTGAAGCTTATACAAATTAACCGGTAAATTTATTGACATGGTCGAAATTTATTTAAACCAATTTTTTCTTAAATATTGCCTATACAAAACTCCTTAAAAATGGTCTGTATGGAGCCCCCTTAAAACATTTTAATAATAATTTCTAAATAATAATTGTAATATAATTTTAAAGAAATATTTTTAAATCATTTCTGTTGACAATATTGAATATAAAATAAATTAAATTTTGATTTTCTCCAAAAATATGACTCCAAAGTAATATTAGAATTTAGGACCTGAATATATTAGACTGTTGATAGGTGTGACCTTTTTTATTTAAATATTAATAAAATGAAACGCACTAATAAAAACGAATTGATTATTACATATTATTTAATAAATAAATAATAATAAATGTAACATACAAGCAAGGTAGCATATTAGAACGGTCGGACAACCATGTAAAACTAATTGTTTTTAGAAATATTTAATACATTCATGTTAATACATAAAGAATCATTATAATCTGTTTACCTGTATTTTGCAGTGTAAATTAATTCAATATTTTAAAATATAGTGTTTATTAGTAAAATACACATTAGAAATTCAACCAAAGGAATAAAAATTATACGACTTACAAATCAGCATTTTTTAAAATTTAATTTGAAAATTTATTTTGAATTTATGATTCCGCTAATTCGCTTTCCACGTCTATTACGAATAAGTCAACGACGGAATTTATACTTTCTATTATGTTATTCGGATCTCCACCAAAACGCTCCCTTATCACCTGTTCCGTGTACAGTTCTGGATTATCGATAGTTTTTAATTCTAATGATCTGAATAAAAATGTACGACCCGCTTCAGCACCGGTATTTTTAAATAAGTCTATTGCATTTAGACCGGCTGCCACATAATATGGCAATTCGTCTAAATCGGCACCTGTAACAAAAAACATTTTAAAAACCGTTGTAAAACTATATAATGTATACATTTATTTGTATATTAAGTTATAGGTATAATATGTTACTTTTATACTGTAAGAGTATTACTATAAAAAAAGATGTCATAACTAAGAAAGAGTTAAGAGCAGAAATACAAATATTAAATCTACTGTCATATTGTCTGATCATCAATATAATATCCAGAAGTTTGGTTGACCTACCAAAAATATCTTCGCTTTTTTTAGGGGCATCTGAGTATAATAAAATAAAGGATTCTTTAAAATTTCAATAAAAAAATTGTGATTTCTACAGAGTAAAAAATCGGATCTTTTAATCTATCCTTTTATTCCCTTTGCTTATTAGATACAAATTAACCAACATATTGTTTTAAAGACTCACTTTCTTCTATTAAATACGGTTCCGTTAAACCTAATTCTAAACCAAAATCAGAAATATTTCTTTTAAGGTTTACTACAGATTGAGGCACGAAATTGTGACGATCATGACGACCAAAGACGAATCTCCCCAAGTTACGAAGACCAACAGCATCTAATGAAATCTGAAAGACACATGTAAAACAATCTTTAATGTATAAAAATATTGAAATGAGTGGACCAATTCCAACATTCATAATAAAATAGTTAAAATTAAGTCCATAATTCTTATTTACTTACAATAAGACCGAAAAAATACACTGCAAGTAGCACAAGACTCGTGTTTGATTTCATCGTAAATACCTAAAACATATACAATTTTTAATTTTTAAAAGTAATTGATGTATATCCTAATGAGTAATGGATGAATAAAAACACAGAAACAACCTATTTATATATTTGTTAATAAGTTGAAAAAATTAAAGTAATTTTTTTACAAATTTTTACTCATTTAAATATTAAATATGATTTACTCGGAATAAATAAATAAATCAAATTTTAATTATTTACCGAGAAATCATATATATTATTAATCTATAATTACATTGATAATACCAAAAACAATTTGTATACAATTATAACGAAAAATATTAAATTTTTTTACGAAGTATAGTTTTTTTTAATTTTACTTACTTTTTTGCTTTTAATAGACTTAACGCGTTGAAACTCAAAAGCCCATTAATACTGTTAATGCTCGGGTTGCTTTTTTATAGCTAGATTTGAGACCCTCCACACGTCACATTGTCTTAAATTGTGTGCAATACTCTTTTTAAGATTTATTGTGTTTACATGGGGTACAAATTATACTTAATTCAAGATGTGAAGGAACTTCTAGACCAATCGGATTCAAGTATTCATACTTCAATTTCTTCTACTAAGCCTGGTTAGTCTAATGCCATTTTCCCCAAAATATGACACACCTAATGCTCATATATGTACATTACATCGCAGCCGTCGTACCGCGCACCATTCAGATCTAACGATGTTCACTTTGGATATAGTATAGACTGTAGACTTTAGTTGAAATAAAAAAAAAAACCTGACAATTGTTTTGGGGTTTTCCCGATTTGGCTGAATTTTATACTTCCAGAAATCGATTGTGTGATTAGTTAAAAATTCGGTCGAGTTTATTATCAGATTTTTACATATGATAATAATTTACACCAAATAAGAATTTTAACAAAAAAATTAATATATTTTGCTGTTACTTACATAAAATTAATATCTTTATACACGTTTCATTTTATAAAAATATCGCCCTCGAATTTTGTTTTTTGTGTAAGCACTCATTAATATAAGTTGTATATTAATAATTCCAAGATTATAACAAATAACAAGTCCACAGTATACTCGAAACAGACGAACTGCTTTAAAATTCGTAAACATAAAATATATTCTATATATTCAAAGACTACTATTAAAGTTTATGTCTCAAGCATTTCTTTGGTATTCACTTATTTAATCCACTGGATACCGACCGTTTTTTCAGCCAAAACACATTATTTTTTGTCCATTGCACAGGCTGAACCAGTGATCCGATAAGCAATATAAAATCAGATGTGAATGAAGTTTACTTGACATCGGTCAAAGTATTTTTTTCAATTTTTAATTTTAACCCTTCCTGAATTTTATTTTAAAATGTTGAAATCGTATAAAATGTTCAAACATGTTTTATACATAGTAAGAATAAGATATCAAAAAACTACGTCGGCCGATCTCAAGTAAATTTCATGACAAATTCAAATCTGTTTTCATATTACTTATGGGATGACTGGTTGAGCCTGTGCAATGGAACAAAAAATGTGTGTTGTATTAACTAAAATGGCTTTTACTCATAGACATAATTATTTAAATTAAAAATAATACCTTGAAGCTTATACAAATTAACTGGTAAATTTATTGACATGGTCGAAATTTATTTAAACCAATTTTTTCTTAAATATTGCCTATACAAAACTCCTTAAAAATGGTCTGTATTCAGGGGCCTTAATGCAAGTTGTTCTCTACAACTGAATATTTCTAGCCCTATAGTTATTCCGAAAACGGCTACAGATTTTGAATACATGCTTGAAGCAACGATAGATGCTTTGTAAATGTTATGTAGAATTCACATTTTTATTAAAACTTAACTTGGGAGTATTCTCAGGAACATCAAGGAACTCAAGTAAAATTATTTTGTAACTTTGCCCGGCCCCATTTTACCCTGTTTGTCATATTTAGTTAATTGTACGTTCCGCGTCAAAATAATGTGCAAATTTTATATTTATAAAATTTATATTTTTTGTATTTTTTAAACTGTTTACACATCCTGTGGTTACTCTCACTCCTACACAAGTATAACAAGATTAACATGTGTTAATAGTGTAAATACAATACTCTAACCAAGATTAAATAATGTATTTTTGTGTGTGCAAATATTAATATGAATCATTTATTCATATTATTTAAATTTATTCATTTACTAAAATTCGAAGGTTATCGAAGGGTATTTTAAGATTTGGGCACATAGATTTTTTCTATGATTGCTGCTATTATTAATTCTCAAAACAAATAGTCAATTTTAATAACAACTTGTGCGAACGATTCTTGGTTCGTCGTTGAACTATCATTGTTAGTCAATTGCAGCAATGTTTTACTTTACTTGGTTATTAGAACTATTCTCGGAGACGTATCGAAGCCTTTGATTGTGATATGAAATACATTTTAGATTTAATAACTGTTTTGACCCATCTTCGCTAACTTTTTACTGTACTTGGCTTAGACAGTGCATGGTTTTATTATATTATGTAAAAAATAATTGCAGACGGTTATTGTTTAGACATTTTTAAGAAATAATTATATTTTGTTTGATGAACAATTATGAATTTTGTTATATTATAAATATGTTTTGACTTCAAGTGTATTATAATATTTTTGATTTTCTGTTCATAGTTAATTTTAAATCGCAGACACGAGGAATTATTTAAATAATACAATAAATTATAAATTACATTATAAATAAAACAAAGCACTGTATAAAAAAACACCTGATTATACACTGACTATATTGTGATACACACGATAATACTATGCTTGTTTTTTTGAATATCGTCATTTATTTCTTATATTAATATATTTAAACAATATCACATTAACAGCATAAGTAAAAAAAAAAATCGAATGTTTTAAACCATCAGTTGACAATATTTTCGAAACAGGCGTGTTACTGTTTTAGATTTTGTCCACGCAGAATTTTTTTTTTGCTACTGCTTTTGTACCTATATTTTTAGAACACTAATTACATTTGAATAATAAAAAAAATAATAACACAAAATGTATGAAATTTATTATTTATTTGTTATTGGTGAAAACGTTATTCTATATCTATATTACACAATAAATGTACAAACAATTTAATCTGTTATGGTCCGTAAGACGTTATTTAGAACTGAATAAATCTTATCTTATGAACATTTTTTAATTTTGTATCCTAATTATGAATACTTTTTATAATATACATAATTTATAATTACACGATTTTCCTTTTTTATTTCAGTGATTTTTGTTTTATTTTATCAAAATAAATACAACAATTTAAACTTAGAAATTATTTAACTAATTGTATTACTCATAGTTATTTATTTAATTGCTAGCACGAGACCGTAAAACATGGTTAAATTGTTGTAGGTATAATAATGTTGACATTTATACTTGCTACCTATATTATCGTTCATTGTATTTCTTTTGATTTAGTTTTTATTTTTTTAAACTGAAAAAAATATCTGTTGTCAACATTTTATTTTCGATCTTTTTATAAAATCTGTCGATCTATTTACATCATAATCCATTTTGGACGTCTTCTATGAATTGTAGGACGATCACGTTAATTAGTACTGTAACATTATCAAGATAAGGAGATTCGTCGGTATATTTATCAAACTTGTGGATAGTTCTAGCTTTTGTTATGTTGAACAAAGCAATACGTCCATTCCTAATGTCACCCTTTTGTATTAAGCTTCTTGCTCTCGAAACTTCTTCAATATAATCTGGGTCTAGTTTTAATGCGCTACCTGTACATAAATATCATTTTAAGTACGGTCTCATAAATTTATTAAATTTCAAGGAAAAAATCCGCTTTTCTTTAATTGGTAATGATTTCGAGTACAATATTTTCAAGCCAGCTTGGCGTCTCTTTGTTACAGGAATTTAAAAGTAACAGGTATCGAAAAAAAACATAGGATAAAAGTTTGCCTACAATACACTGTTCTAAATTAAAATTGTTATGTATATAATCTAAATCGACTTTCTAATGCATACTCTCTCGGCTTAGTACAACTAAAATTAAATTAAAAATAAGTTCCCTAGATAATCCAATAAAAAAAGCTGTAATTTCTACAGTAATGTCATTGGATCATGTTGAGTACTCTTATTGTATTATGGCCTATTAGAGATAATTTTTTTTTTAATACTCACAGTTTACTAAACACACTTTTTCTAAACCCAGTTTTAAATCAAGGTGATAAATATTTGTTTGGAGGTTTAATATAGATTTGGGTGGAGGTTCTGAATTAAGGCAAGGTGTTAAATTCTTAAATATATTCATCATGGGCGAAGCATTCAATGAAATCTAAAAAACAAATATGATCTTTAAGTAGTATTAGTAATATTTTAGAATTCTCATCACGTGTGACATTTAAAAAAATGTCTTAATATATTAGGAAACCTAAATAGTTTGCATGTTATCAATATACACTGTAGTCATTTTCAGTAATATTATACCCCAGAGAAAAAGTAAAATATTAATATTATTGAAACATTGCATCCATCTGCGAGAAACCATAATAATGACTTCGAAGGATGAGTACTGTATTTTATTTAAATTTATACCAAAACCTATGTTGACTTACAATGAGGCCGAAGATATACTTTGCCAATATTACAAGATTCATGTCTGATTTCACCGTAAATTTGCTAAAACATAATACCATATTAAATATTTTATAACAAAATACATATATATATATATATATATATATATATATGTAATGGGGGCATTCTGAGTAAAAGCAAGTGGTCATCGACTCGACCTCATACATTTTTTTAAATTTCTCTTGGTCTTATATAAGAACTTTATTATTTTTTTTTTTATCACTCGTTTTGAAATATAAAATAGTGTTTTGTTAAAATTATTTTAACAACGATTTCAACTAGTTTTTAATTTCTAAAATTTTTATCATTTAATCAGCGACTCAAATTAGTCATTTTTATATAATTACGGGCATAGGCCGAAATTAATTTCAATTTTTTTTCTTCAAAATTAAAAAAAAAAAAATGATATAATTTAGTTATTTTTATAAAAAAATATGTTAAATAACGTTTATTAAAAAAATGTTAACGTACAGTCTTATCTCCACCTGACTTTACTTAGAAACTTCGACGGTATCAACACACCGGTATTGACAACTTTATCAGTAAAATATATGTTAAACAATGTTTCTAATTAAAATCAGTACGCTACCTAGTAATAATGAAATAAATAATTAAGAGTATAATATTTAATCCACTAGAGTGGACTACATATATAATAACGCAATATTATAGACGGATAAAATTTAGTTTTGTTATAAGAGTAACTACGTCTCTGAGCTAGGTAGGTTATACAGATATAATAATAATAAAAAAAAGTAAAAGAAATTCGAGTATTGATAAATTTGTACGTACTTTTAACGTTGGATGCACAATGTATGTTCAATAATACTTAAGAATTTAATATTTTTTCCTATGACAGTCAAAGACAGCAGCGCAAAAAAAAATATTAAAAATTGTCAACTTATGATTTATTATAACCATTGAATTTTTAATATAAAATGTTATAGTATGATATTGGGTGCTTGAACAATTACAAAATTTCAACGCAATGATTTTATAAACTGAAAAGACATTTTTTTTTCAAATAAGTAACAAAAATTCGAAAGCTGAAAAATTCGTACATTCTTTTGAAGTTGGTTCTATGTATGTAAAAATAAGAATTTAGTATTTGTTTTAAGACAGTCGAAGACGCTAGTAAAAAAAAAAAAAATTTGTGTGCAAAAATGCACAAAATGGTGGAAAGCACCCTGTATACAATTGAATCCGATTGGTCTGTTACCTTCATATCTTGAAGAAAGCATATTATATTTGGCTCCAAGTAAACACAATAAAGAATTTTACACGCAAGTAAAAAAAATGTGACGTGTCTTAAAAGTCATAAATCTCGCTTTTAAATGGTAAACTGGGCACAAACTGTATTAGTGTTTTTTTGGGTGTCTATGTGTTAAATTTATCAAACGTTAAATAAGTAAGTAACATTTAAGAAGACACTAATACTGTCTGTGGATGACAAAACTATTTATAAGGATTTTACTGTTTTAGCTATTTACGATGAAATCAAACATGAATATTGTGTTAGCTGCAATGTTTTTTTACAGTCTTATTGTAAGTAAATATACATTTTGGACAAATTTTAAACTATTTCATAATAAAATTTGAATTTGATCCTATCCATACGATATTTATTATACTTTTCTCAAAATTGTTATTGTACATACAAGATAATTCACTTACTATGAACCAGTCAATATCTTAAAAGATATTAGACTTTTTCAAATTATTATTTTTCATGCTTTCACAGTTATTAGTTTGCTCAAACTTGGAGGAATGGGGGGTGAAATAACTGACGACCGTTCCAACCCTCCCCCCCGTCTTCTCGGTTAAAAATGTAAAAAAAAAACATACTTGATATATTATTCAGCTATTTACCATTCGTTAGATGTTAAAATCCCGTGGAATTAAGATTCTTAAATGATAATGTACAAATTATTACAACTTTTTAAGTTAAGAATATTTTGCTGGACATTTTGATTACCATAACTAATTCCCTATAAAAGTTCACGAAAAATATTTTTTGACCTATCTTTACTGAAGACGTAAAACTATTATATTTGAATAGAATGGTATTTGACCGCAGTCAAATGAAAGTCAAATGATATTTGACTATTAAGATACTTGTAGTAATAATATTATGTGTGCTTTAGATTTCTGGCACTAGTGAAGATGATTTACCTTCATGTATATCAAACCTTCGCTATCGCTTACATCTTAGTTGGTTTGGATTATTTTTAACGGACCACCAATTGAAAAACCGTGAGTATTAGAAACAATATTTTGATTTATTTTTGTGTAATAATCAAGAAGAAAAACAGGTTATATTACTTATAAAGATCTATTTTTCTATTGAGACCACTGATTTTTTATTGGAGCTTTCAGAACACCTATATTTCTTTAATTCTCAGTTGTACATAGAAAATCCTAACAAAAAACATATTCATAAAGATATTGTTCGGGTTTAACAAATATTATGGATAATTTTTAAGTATAAAAAAATTGACGGATATTAGATTGAAAACATCGTGTTTAAAAACTTTGTCGATTAAAATAAAGAGGGAATTTATCCTGATTTTTTCAAGTTTAATAAAATTACAAAAATCAGAACTAGGTAAAATTAATAAAACGAGGCGATTTTTTTAATGGGGAATTTAATTTAGATATGTTTAATGCATCTTCCCCAAAAAAAAACACCATACCCCGAAATATAAAACGCAACTCTGTTCCTAATGCTTAATTTTTTTATGTCGCCGTTAACTTATAAATTATATATATAACTATTTTAAATTTTTTTTGGTTTACAGATCAATTTCAAGACACGTTACACACAAACTTTGTTAAAGCGGCTAAGGAAGCAAAAAGCTTAATAATAGCTAATAAAATTGACGAAGGACGTGCTTTTTTAATCAAATCAATAATAGATGAATCTATCAATAACCGAGATATGAACGTTGCACAGACAATACAAGTAGCTTTTAATGGCAAATCGGAAGTGGCTATAAAATTAATTGAAAACTTCGTCGAATTGTTCATATCAGAGATAATTAATGATAATACAAGTTTAGTTCATCAATATTACAAACAAATTGTTGATTTGTAAATTATATAATTATATTCCAGTTGATAGAATTTCTAATATTTTTTTTTCAAATTGTTGTTATTTTATTTTTTAATTTATTTTGTGTTGTTCTTTAAGCTATATATAAACATAAATATATATATTGAAATATTTTAAACTATATAACATTTTAAATTTTTTATCGAATATGTGTGGTATTCATCAGCAAATTGTACATTACTTGACTTTTCCAACTTGGATTTTGTTGTTTTTACACATATGTTTAAGAAACTTTTTTAACTTGAATACTTGAATAATATTGCAATATTCTTCATAATAAGTAAACTACGAACACAATTTTGTTGTAAAAAGTGAGAATTTGATGAGTGATAACGGATTACTTTATGATAATATCGTTGGTACGTGGTCATTATAAGGGTTTAGTCAATTTTCTTTTAAACATCGTATTTAAACTAATTTAGATTTGAAGGAATTACGTTTCTTTGTTAAGAAGGCGTCGTACCGCCCATTTTTAATGAGTAAAGTATAGGTAATTTCTTACAAAATCGTATTTTAAAGGTTAAACTATGATGTGTAATTATTAGTTCAATAACTAGGGCTCTATTTTGGTAGTTAATTTATTTGTTGGACTATCACAGCATCATTGAAAGCGATTTACAAATGTTTTTTCATCTCTACATGTTTAAGCAGACTGAAAATAACTCGCTTAATTTTGGTTTTAGAGTAAAAGCACACATTATAAAATTAAAAGAAAACAATATTCCGGAGGACAAGACGGTGCGTTTTTTTCATTATTTCAAGTATACCGCCCAATACATAGTTTAGAAATAACTACTATTTTAACATTTTAAAATGACTGTAACTTTTCAAAAAACAAATTTTTTTTAAAAAAAAAGCACCGCCTTGCCCTCCGGAATATTGTTTTCTTTTAATTTTATAATGGGAGCTTTTACTCTAAAACCAAAATTAAGCGAGTATTTTTCAGTTGGCGTAAACATGACCATTACCAAAATCGGGATCATAAGTATATTTGTTATACTTCATGACAGTTCTAGCTATTGTTGCGTTGAACAAAACTTTACGTGCAGATTCAATATCATTATTTTGTATTAAGTTTCTTGCCTTCAGTGCCTCAATAACATGAGCTGGGTGTAGTTTTAATTCGACACCTATACACAAATAACATTTTAAGGTCCGTCTCGTATATTTATATATATTAAAACTCCACTTTTCTTTAATTGATAAAGATGTTGAATATAATATTTTCAAGCTAGCTCATGCAACACTGTACTAGCAAAATACTAGTACAGTGTTGCATTCGGACCACGTTGTGTACCCTTATTTTCGCTTTAATTATTAGGGAAATAATTTACAATTATACTCACTGTATACATATTTTGGTTCTATCAAGCCAGTTGATAAATCGCGTTCTTTAATATTTTTTTCAAGGTTTAATATAGATAGGGGAAAGATATTTGAACTAACGCAAGATGGTATTTTCTCTGATGTATCGCCTTCGTCTGTTGTCACAGGCGAACCATTCAATGAAGTCTGAAAGCCGCACATAATATTAGTACTATGTGTTAATTGTTATAGAGTTCTAGTCGCCTGTCGTCACATTCGGGTATCACGCTTTAATTTAGGCAAAAACTTTTATTGACTTACAATGAGGCCGACAATATACATTGCGAATAACATAAAATTCATGTTAAATTTCATCGTTAATACCTAAAAAAATAAAATCCCCTTATTTGTTTATAGTTTTATCATCGACCACCATACTTGTTGGTATAATACATACCTATCTATGCTGATATTAATATATTAATCTTCAAGAGTAATCAGCCTAATTCAGTCTATTCATTAATGAGTTGGAAAAATATGTGTAATTTTTTTGATAATATTTAGCAATTTTATACTCATGTATTATGTACATATTCGGGTAACTGAAACTAATATTGGATTTTTTAATATTTGTTTCCAACTTTACAAAGCATTTTATCGACATTTGTACAATATCATGTTATAATTTCAGTTGTAATGGTATATTGACAATAAACAAAATACCTAATTATATAAAAGAAAAGAAAAACATATCATTGACTTACGAAGAATAATTTTAAATATTACTAATGTTTTTTTGCGTTTGATAAACTTAGCACAATTATACCCAAAGAAAAACTTGTACAGTTAATTTTGCGACTCTCTACACTTCGAAATTTCTTTCAATCGCGTGTTATATTTTTTTTGCACGAGTGTATTTTTTTAATTTAAACTTAGCTAAAAAACACTTGAGTATACGTAGAGAATGTAGTGTAATTATTGTTTTGTATTTCTATTCGAAGATTATAATATAAATCATTAGCTGACAATTTTATCGAAACAGACATACTATTATAGGATTTTGTGCACATAGATTTTTTTATTTATGTTTTACAGCTGCTGTTACAAATAGTATATTTTATTATTAACACAACTTGTGCAAACTATTACAGACAATGACTAATTTTATTTTGACTACCGTTCAATATTTGTATAAAAAAATTACATTTTAATAAAATAACAGGTACACATTACAGGTCATGACTATTCAAATTATCAAAATGCGACACTTTGTTGAATCTGAATAAGATATCGAATAAAATTGATTTGGAAATTACAATAGTTTATTAAACGAGTCAGGAATGGTCAATCTAAGAACCTACTTATTTGCCGGTTTTTAATTTAATTTTAAATAATAAACAATTAGCTTAATATTGTATATTCTTATAAAGAAAATATTATAGAATATTTTTCAATTATAAATTGATCATTATAATATGGTATCGAAACTGTATATAAAGCAAGCTTTGACAACTGAGGGTTGTTGTTAAACCTAACAGTCTATGTGCAATCCAATATCGTTGCTACGCAAACCAATTATCATTCTTTTCACAAGTTCCTGATACATTGTCTTTACCCGTCAGTAAAGGTCTTAATTTTTAAGCCCCATTACGGCTGTACATTTTTCTCACAACATTACTTTTTTTTAGAATAATTATCTAACATAATATACCATAATCATAGATGTAAATTCTTATACAATTATACATAATAGTCATAAATTTCTCTATTAAATATCATAATAATTAATTAATATGCCAGTTCATTGTTGTTGCGCCTTGTTGTAAATGCGAACATACAAATGTATCACAGCGTTTTATATGAATTAACAAAATATCCACAAGCTTTGTTTTGTATGGAGTTTCTAATAAATATATTTAAACGATTGGGAGTCGCATTGTAATTAGTTGACCAGAAGCTTTTTATGTCATAGCAGTTGTATTATAGTTACCTGGTACATTCTAGAATTTTCTCGTTTAGGGAATTATACTGTACTTAATTATTGGTGTAGTAATTATAATTATATACATTGAGATGTGGTCATCGGGAGGTTATGATCACCACGTCGTTATTCTTTAGCCTAGTTATCAATGTAACTTGCAAGTCAGGTAGCACGTTAAAACGGTGATACGACAATGTATAACTACGGAATTATTTACATAAAACAATTATTATTTGTTAAATGTAGTTTTTAGTATGTTAATTTATAAAAAAGTTAACTAAATTATCTTTTATTATGACCAATAATTATATTATATTTTGTAGTAGATGTTTACATGTTATTTAATAAGATGGTGGTCGCAACGTAGTTAAGTTATTAGAAACATGTTATGTATCGAAGCATAGAGTTACAGTTACCTAACATACCCAGCCAGTAATAATGATTAAAGCCTGATCATAATTTTGTTAACGTTAAAACACACATTAAGTTACAAAATATCAAGAAAGTGATTAATAAGAGTTTCATTTTATATTGTTAAATTTTGATTTGATCTCAACAAAAAAATGTATGAGGAAGTATCTAGAGATATAGATCTGGAATTTTAGGCATTTATTGTTTCTATAGGCTATTAATTTGAGGGTTCAGTAAACAAGCGGTTTTTTTTAGACACAGTCTAGTAAATTATATTATTAATTAATGATTAATTGTTTTCCAGCTTATGACAAGGAAATAATATAAGAATATTTTTGTATTACAGACATCAATTGTTTACTTAAATATTAAAACTACCTACCAAACTGTAAAAATTATCATGAATATTTTATTTTACATTTTTCTAATATAAACTTTATTCTTACAATTGCTTTTGCTTACGGTACGTTGAACACTATTTCGTTTTTGTATTGTAATATTTATATACTCGTAAGTCATAAACTATAAAAAATGTATTTAAAAGATTGAATTTTTATTTTAGGCATTTTTTGTCCCTATATTTTTTGACAATGAATTAACAGACCAAATTTAATTTTTGCTCCGATGTGAACACGTCTGGAAATAGTCTGGTGGAAAAAGGAAAAATGCTATAGAAAGAATACAACACTGCGTCCAGCAGTTCCTAAAAATTTAAATATCAATCCAATTGATTACAGGCCAACGCTATTAAAAGACTATTAAGAATGTACTTTTTAGTGTTGGGCATTATTTTTATATGTACCACAAAATATTTTCTTAATAAGTTTTTTTTTACCATAGTCATTAGTCTATACTCTATTCAGAGTAAACATCTTTGCACTGGGTGGCTCCCGGTACGATAGGTGCGGTTTACATATATAACTTCAGGTGTGTCACATTCATGCGCTAAGAGTGGTGGATAGTAAGGCGTGAATAAATTAATCCGATTGGTCAAACCTTTTTTTTTATCTTAAAAAAGCATATTTATCTTATGTAAACACAATAAACACAAAGATGGAGAGTCGCAAATGTAGCTATAAAAAGGAAACTTAAGGATTAACTGTAGTAGTGTTTTCTTGAGTCTCTATATTTTATCAATAATAAACAAGGTAAGAAAAAATTGTAATTATTCTTCGTAAGGCAATAGAATATATTTGTTTAAGTGTTCATATAATTTTTTTTTATGGACAATAAAGAAATGTTACAACTCTTCAGTTGTAACATTAAATTATATTATATTAACATTTAATTATATTTTTTCAAAAAATACTAAAAAAATCTAGATGCCTTTAAATTACCAAAACGAAGTCATTTTTTTGAAAAGTTTTTGGACACATGTATTTCAACTGCGTTGAAATATTGGAAACCAATTATTAAATTCAATATGGAGGTCTTTTTGACGCAAAAATATTAAATTAGTACAATACAGTTAAATATTGTCAAAAAAAAAATACTGTAATTCATTCAGTTTTAGCAAATCAATAATAAATAGGTAGGTGTTGCGCTCACATTTTTGTACTATTTATTTTTCTATTAGGTTATAACGCTCCATCTACTATTTACTATTAAAATTTAATTATTTTCATATTATTTCAGCAATAATATACATGAATTTATGTACTAATATTCTGTCGGTGACAAAACTATTTATAAATACTATAAGGTTTTTATTGTTTTAGGTATGTACAATGAAATCAAACATGAGTCTTGTGTTATTTGCAGCGTATTTTTTCGGACTTACTGTAAGTATATTTCGATTTTAGACAGAATTTAAACTATTTCATACAAATTTGCATTTGATCATTTTATTCCATATTTCTACCTCAATAATTAATGTGTATACATCTGGTGATTCATTATGGTTTTTCCTAAAATAACTGCAATTTTTTTAGTTTTCTTTCTGAAAACATTTTTGGTTTTGTTATTTTACAATAATATAAAATTACTAATTATTCACCTGTTTTAGTATTTTCCAAATGTCAATCAACTGTTGAAACTTAAAAGGGAACATATATATTTAATTATATTTTTGAAAGAAAAATAATTTACTGAAAATGTTGACCGGTAACCAGTTTTGGATAACTCTTCCTCGCGTTCTAAACTTAATAATTTAAAATTATTTCTCCAAAACTAATGATCACTACATTTTCAGAAAATTATTATTAGTTAAAAACATTATTTAAATATATACATTCCCATTGAAATTTCAAAAGTTGATAGCACTCTAGAAAAATTAAAAAAATTGAATAATTTCTTATGTTGTATAATAACGAAAATTAAAGTATACCCATAAGGAAAAACTACAAAATTGCAATTATTTTAAAAGAAAATAAGTGTCCTATCGTTAATGAATCACCCTGTATAATATTATGTATTTTATATATTTTCATAATCTCAATAATTAATTTTAAATAGAGACATCTTACATTCAATTTAAAATGAAAAAACAACATTTTTAAATTATGTTCAAATGTAAAAATTGGACAATATCTAATTCCTAGATACTCTAAAAGTCCATAACAACTTTTCTTTGACATATCTTTACTGAAAAGTTAAAACCATTTTACTTTAGTACATTGGTATCTGATGACAGTCCTCAGTCACCAAGAACTCTTATGGTAATTATACTATAATGATCTTATGTGTGCATTTTAGATTTCCGGCAATAGTGAACCTGACGATTATTTGCCCGTATCTGTACTAAATCTTCGTAACCGTTTACATAGTTTTAATTTTGTTAAATTTTTAACGGAAGAGCAATTAGCAGACAGTGAGTATTTAAAACAATATGTTGGTTTAGTTTGGGCTCATAAGCAAAGCGAATGAAGGTAACCTACCGGCCAAATATGTTTCATACAATTTTCCTTTCTAATAACACAAGTTTTATATTATCTTTTTTCGTCGTGGACATTTTGATTTTCTTGATAGTAGTTTAGATCTCAGCTAGTTAATTCTTATGATAAATTTTGTTTCCATCTGAAATTTTTTCATGTATTTCCTTAAGCGTGTTATTGCTACTATTTATACTAACTCTCGGGTATTTGAAACTATCCACTTTTTCAAAACTGAAATTTCTCGATTTTTGATGAGATTGGTCTACATCTCTTCTACACAATGCCAATTTTTAATTTACCAATTATACTATTCTATATTTATGTATAATCCCGTTATTTAACTGGCTTCTATTAGTTTGGAAAGTGAAGATACATTTTCCTGTTTTGTATTATAGTACTATAAAATTAATATATAAATCTAATCACTTTTTTTAAGTATTATATGTTTACAGAAGAATTTTTAGTTTCGTTGGACAAAGAGTATATTGCAGTATCTCTAGAAGCAAGAAGGTTATTTCGAGATCACAAATATAACGAAGGACGTGATTTGTTATTCTATTCAATAAAAGAGAGAACTATCGATAACCCAGCAATAAACACACAAAAGGTGGTACAGGATTATTTTGGTGGAAATCTGGACAACGTTGTAAATCAATTAAAGGACCTCGTCCAAATGTTCCTATGGGAAGTGCAATTTGCTGAACCATCAACATCAGCAGCAGCATGAGATGATGATGGAATGTTGAATCATAAATTCAAAATTTATCTTTTAATAAAACAAGAAAATTGTTGATTTGTAAACTATATAATTGTATTTCATTTGGTAGAATTTCTCATATTTTACAAATAAACTATACATTTTAAATCGTTGTTAATTTTTTAATTTATTATATGTTATTCTTTTAGTTATACATGGGCTATTCATCGGAAAATTGAACATTATTTGACATTTACATATTCGATTTTTTACGTAGTTCTATGGCTGAACTAAAATGTTTATACGATATAAATCAGCTTATGAATATTAAATACTACACGTTTTTAAATCATAGGACCCTTGACTGATGTGAGAAAAATCTAATCAATGTAATTTAAATTGTGATGCGATTCCTAATGCAAGGAAGATAAATAGCTTAATTTTGTAATAGTATATCACATGCCTGTTAGCAGAACATAATTATTTTTTAAAACAAGTTCTGGGTTTATGGTAAATTTTCATGTGCCAATGAACAAATTTAAAAGTTAAAGATTATTAATGTAAGTAATTTTCAATTATCGAAAAAATTGACTTCCAGCAGGATAAAGTTCTACTATGTGGGTTCGTTACCTTATCAGTAAGATAAGTGAACAGTCTGACTTCGTAATCATATTTGTGGTACTACATCTTCACAACTCAACCATAATAGTAATATAAAAAACAATTCAAAATTCATTAACCAATTACTAAGGTCTTCTTACTTTTATTGAAAAGAGCTTATAAAAACACTTCATATTAACTAATTGTTATAATTTACGCTGAAACTGTAGGTATATACCCTATAACTGATTTTTGTCAATAGACCTCGATGGTGATACATTGAATATGTCTGCACTCTTTTATGATAATAGTTATAAATCTTCATTATTCATTGTAAAACATCACTGCTATTATAGTATAACAATAATATTTTACTATTTAAAGCAATGAGTGTGTATATGCTACCAAACGGATTAATGTAATTTAAAAGCTAACAGACTGTTAGAAATATTTCAGCATTACATCAATCGGGTTTAATAAAAATGTTTTAATTTAGTATTCTTAGTGTTATGAAAACTTTTTAACACAAATTAAACAATTAAAATAAAATGAATTTTTAAAGCTTAAATTTCTGTTACTTATTAAAAATTGATATTTTTGTAGAACTTTGATTTTATAAAATCATCGTATAATTCATAATAATCACCCGCATATTTATTTTTTGGTTTTTGTGTCTGTAACATTTGGTAAAATTTTGTATGAGGACTATTATATGAGTACTATAATATAGAAATATAACTATAAAACAAATGTTTTTGTATACGTGGTGATTCTAGTAACGTGCTACACTAGTTTACTCAAAAACTACTTAGATTTTTTACAAAAAAAAAAAAGACTTTTTTATTAACGTAACCTAACATTACCAACCAGCACGTCAGTAAGAAAGTAGCATTATGATTCTTGGTAGTTGTTTTATTTGAAATTTTTTAAATCGCTGTTGCTACGATACAAGTTGGTAGATAATAAGTACACATTACAGCGAAAACTATGTTCCGTCTAAACTAGTGCAGTACAACCAAGTTAAGTGACTTAACTACTTTCGAAAGCTTCGATGAAAATTTTTTTCAATGGTTTTTCTCTAATGATAAAAAGTCTGAATCCCGATTTTTAAGAATCTTCTATTCTGATTGACACATCTGTATTATAGCTGGCATTGCTTGCTCGCCTTTGGCGAATCGACGAGCAAACGCTACTGTATTATGCTTTTACAGCTTGTATGTAAGCCGTACTTTCGAATAGGGTAAATCCACTGACCTAAAAAGGGGAACGCCACCCTTAACGGTACGGCGCTTGAAATACCAGGAGCACATAGGACCTACGCCGTCGTCAGAGGCTGGCCGGTATTCAAAATATTTTTAACTCTTTCCGATGGCGCTTAATTTTGTTACAATGAATTGTGAAAGCTTATAATTCTAAAAATCACTGATAAATTGTACATTAGACCATATAAAATAATGTACAGTATATATAAATAAAATAATTGTCTATTTATGAAGGTAGAATAGGTATTTTAACGTGGTCTTTTGCAAAGAATTTTTTATAAATAAATTATTTTTGAAAAATATGTAATCCATTTGGATGTTTTTCTTGATTTGAGGGGTAATGAATTAACTTTTTTTAATAGTTTGACCTGTAAACTACGTTTTGGATACAATTCATGATCTATAATCTTACTGCATAAAGAAATTGGTTCAGCAGTTTAAAATATATCGTATTATAGAAATTACAGACATTTTTTATTTTCAAATATTTTGTTAAGAAAACAATAATTTGGATTTACAATTGTTGACGCTTATGTTGCATCCTTAAAATACGATCGGCATAACTGAAAAAATATTCTTCTAGGGAAAATGAAATTCAAGGTTTTAAGAGGTAACGGACTGAAATGACACCTGAAAACGTACTTAGTGACGAATTAGAAACAATGGTAGATATCTTTCTCACGATGCCAGTAGTGGAGCTTACTCAAAATCGATTTTTTAAGTTTTGCTGTTTTTATGCTAGGGGTGTGATATTTCTATGTTATGATATATTACAGTCGAATATTAATTCGTTTTTGTATTGTACATTGAATATAAGTTATTACTTATATAAATCATTTTTTATAGTTTATTAACTATAAAAAAAATGTATTTAACAGATTGAATTTTTATTTTAAGCATTTTTATATCTCAATTTTTTTCGGTTATAAATTAACATTTTTGGAGGCCTAATTTAATATCCTATGTAGACTCGTCTGAAAATATAGTTTGATGGAAAAAAGAAAAATGCTATAGAGACAATACAATACTGTGCTCAGCATTTTCTTAAAATTCAAATATCGAGCCCATTGATTACAGGCAAACCATTAAATAACTATTTAACATTTTATTATTTAGTAAAATTATTTTGGGCATTATTTTTTATATACACCACAAAAAAAAAAATTTTCTTAATATGTTTCATTTATACTCACTCTTGAGTAATGCATATTTATTTACACAAATTGCGGTTACTCCCACTTGAGTAGTTTGCCACTAGTCTGCCAACGTTTCGGAATACATGTACGTGCCACGAAATCTTAGGTAAACACAATGAATTACAAAGATAATTAAACGTGACGTGGGGAGAGTTGTTAATCTAGCTATAAAAAGGAAACTTGAGCACTAACATTCATAGTATTTTGGTTTTTTTGGTTTCATGCTCTTAGTTTATCAAAAATAAAAAAGGTAAGTAGAATTTAAAATTAACCTTCTGCGTGTATTACTCAACCGAAATTTCCCAATAAATTGGCATCCTATTTTTATTGAAAGCAAGCGGTTTTTAACATGTTTATATGGGCAATATTTAAGAAAAAAGTAGTGTTAACAAACAAAATACGTTTCAGGATACAATTTTTAACGTATAAAACTTTTTTCTACTAGTAAAAGACATTATGTTCTTCCAAAAAACCGATTTAGACCTAAAAGCCTGACAAAATTACGCCTACTTAAAATGTGATAGGATTTTAGTTAAGTAAAAATACTTAAGCTCATCAAACTTTTTCCCAGGCCGTTGTGGAAGTTGATTTTTGAATATCTGCTTCGTTTACTTATAAAAAACAAAGATGGGAGTATTAAAAATTTGAGAAATTCAAAAAATTCAAATATATGGCTTAAACACAATTATAATATCATAGATCCATTTTCACAATTAACTTGGAAAAGAGACAAAACTCATATACTTTTACAGAACAGAAATGCGACATCTTAGGTAGGCGTATTTTTGTCAGGATTTTAGGTCTAAAACGTCCAAGGTCTAAAACTGTAATTTTGTCAACACTTTAACGAATAGGTAGTGTGTTGTGCCCCTTTTTCTGTAATATTTATTCTTCCATTTAGTTAAGATTCACCATTTACTCAATTTAAATTTAATAATTTTAAAGCAATAGTAATATGTTAAAAACTAATGCGGGTTTTATTATCTTAGGTATTTACGATGAAATCAAACATGAGTCTTGTGTTATTTGTAGTGTGTTTATTCGGTCTTATTGTAAGTATACATAGATTTTGGACTGAATTTTAACTTTTTGGCTTTTACTTTCATAAAAATATTTGAATTTTATCCTACCCATTTCTCTCTAAAAACTGTTATACTGTAATACATTGATAATATTTGACTACAGTCGACAATAACTATTGTCTATTACTACTATTATGTATGGGTGTCTTTCAGATTTTCGGCACTTGTGAAACTAATGACAAGCCACCTTCATCTGTACAACGACTTCACAGACGTTTATATGATTATAACTTTGGAAATTTTTTAACAGAAGAACAATTAGATAACAGTGAGTATTAAAAACAATATTATGTTGGTTTAGTTTTGTCTCATAAGCAAAGCGTCTATGAAAGTATTCAAAATGATTCGATTTTTATTCTGCAGAGACCACTGCTTTTTTATTTAAGGACCAACAAATCTTCTCGATTATATCAAGGTCTAAAAACTTGACAGATAGTAAATTTAGAGTATATAATGTGTTATACCAAGAAATTTAAATTTAGAATAATTTGTTCAAAAACATTTAATCAAACTTTGTACTAGTGAAGAAAAAACACGTACCGAATTCTTAACATTTTATGCACTTCACTTATATGAGTAAACATATTTTGGAGGGTGATTTTATTAATTTTAGATATAATAATTTCTAAGACTTGTACCTATTTTCTGTAACTTGTGTGAACTTTTCATATAAAATAGATTTGTCTAGCCAGCTTGAAAGGAATGTATTTAAAATTTTTGTTTATTAAATTAAAGCGGCCGTTTATCCTGAATTTTTCAAGTTTAATCAAATTACAAGTCAGGATATTATAGTGAAATAGTCAATAAAACGAGTCGAATATTTTAATGGCATATATTTTAATCTATGTTAATGTCTCTTACAAAATCGATACCCTGAAATTTTAAACGCCGCTTTGGTTTAAGCACTTTATTTTTTACAACGCAGTTTACTTACAAATTATTATATAATACAATATTATATTTAAAACTATTTTAAAATGTTATTTATTTACAGAAGAATTTTTGGATTCGACTTACAAAAAATTTGTTTCAACTGCTCAAAGTGCAAAACAGTTACTTCTAGAAAACAAAATTGACGAGGGGCGTGACTATTTAATCAAATCGATAAGAGATTATACTGTCGATATCCCAGGAATACACACACAACAGGTCGTACAGAAGTTTTATGGAGGAAATCCGGACAACGCTATAAATCTTATAAGATACGTCGTCGAAATGTTTATAGCAGACGTGATGGATTATGAATCATAAATTCAAAATGTATTTTTAAATAACATAAGACAATTTTTGATTTGTAAATTATATCATTTTTGTTCTATTTGGTTGAATTTCTTATACTTAGTTTACACACGCGGATGAGATAATATTTTATTACCAAATTATTTGAATAACACTTTTAATCTAGGTTATAACATACAAAATTTTATATGAAATCCTGAAAAAATTGAAAAACTAGAAAAACTAGAAAAAATTGAAAAAATTGAAAAACTAGAAAACTAGAAATCCTGAAAAAATTAAAAAACTTAAAAAACTTGAAATCCTGAAAAAATTAAAAACTAGGAAAACTAGAAAAACTAAGAAAACTAGAAAAAGTAGAAAAACTAGAAAAACTAGAAAAACTAGGAAAACTAGAAAAACTAGGAAAACTAGGAAAACTAGGAAAACTAGCAAAACTAGGAAAACTAGGAAAACTAGAAAAACCTTTTGCTAGTTTTTCTAATTTTTCTGGTTTTTATAGTTTTCTTAGTTTTTCTAGTTTTCTAGTTTTTCTAATTTTTATAGTTTTTCTACTTTTTCTAGTTTTCCTAGTTATCCTAGTTTTTCTAGTTTTTCTAATTTTTCTAGTTTTGCTAGTTTTGCTAGTTTTCCTAGTTTTTCTAGTTTTCCTAGTTTTCCTAGTTTTTCTAGTTTTCCTAGTTTTTCTAGTTTTTCTAGTTTTTCTACTTTTTCTAGTTTTCTTAGTTTTTTTAGTTTTCCTAGTTTTTCTAGTTTTTCTAGTTTTCCTAGTTTTTCTAGTTTTTCTAGTTTTTCTAGTTTTTCTGGTATTTCTAGTTTTTCTAATTTTTCTAGTTTTTTTAGTTTTCCTATCTTTTCTAGAAAAACTTTCTTTCTTTCTTTCTTTCTGTTTATTATAAATTCTTAAAATAATTATAAAATAATAATTGCTTTAAAGTCTTTTAAGTTAAAATGTGGTTTATATATATTCTCGTGGTCCTCAATTTTATGTAGTGAGCTCTGATTACTACAATAGCATATATTTAATCTATGTTAGTGGGAAAAATAAAACACAGCTAAATTGAGACCGACTTTAAATTTATAAATTATACGTCTTTGAACTGACGCGACGCTGCTTTAAATAGATATTTTATACACTATTGATCATGGTTTTTCCACGGCACGGGGCACCCGCTGCGCCGGTTACTGTTGTCACGCCCAGTGCCTTTCAACATACGATAATGCTCTATTATTGTTATTATTATTATTGTTATCAAACTTGCCAGTTGCCGGTTTTGGTCGCGGTGTCCGAACCCGGAGATTTCGGCGCGACCGATTCGCCGCCAGAACAAGGGACGTTTTTAATTACAATATATAACGGGGAATTACTTGACGCCGTTCTAGGGGGGCTAGGATTTTATAACACTAGAGATTAACACGTTCACTGTCCGATGACCCCTATGTGGTTCATGATTTATTTATAGATAAGTCCCTAATTAATTAATTAATTAATTAAGTCCCTATCATCTTACCTGTCCAACTGTGTTATTTCATAGAATGTAGTCCATACAAATAAATCTCCAGGGAAATAAATGTTTGAAATGAACCACATGTGGATCATGGACTACTAAAATAGGTTTAACGTGACCGCAATCAGCCGCTTTTTTATTGCTGGGTTGGGTTCGGCGGCTTCTGGTGGCCGCAAGACCCCCGGTGCCAACTTTTTTTATAGAAACGAATTTTTAGACATTTTAGTAAGCTTTCGATTGGTATAATCAAATTGAGGGGACCTCTTCCGGAACATTGTCAAAAATTGACATAACTGCCGCCGGTTTTGGTCGGCGTTCGGCCGCTTTTTTACTGCTGGATTGGGTTCGGCGGCCGCAAAACCCCAAGTGCCATTTTTTTAAGTTAAATAATATACTCTTACTGTTTTGTCGATAATTAGAATATATTTTAATTAATTAAGTCAATGTCGTATAATAATAATCGTCGGTGTACGTGGATATATGGACTGCCCCTTAGAATAATTAGTGTATTGGCAACACAACATACACCAACGCCATGACACTTTCTGTTATCAAATATTGCTGGCTCGTTTATGGCTAACTTCATACTCGTCATTTACGTAAATTTTAAATTTCTTGACGACACACCGGTCAATGATAATTCTGAATAATACTAATAAGTTTGTAAACAAGAAGTACATTTGTTAACGTTTCTACATAATTGTATAATGGAATATGTATACAATTTACCATTTCAAGTCTTAGAAGTACCTAATTTGCGTTTAAAACGACCGTCATGGTTAAAAAAACCGTCAGCTATGTTCATGTACGCAATAGTAACAATATCTTATTTTTTAGTTACTGGAGGCAAGTACATTTTTCATTATATTGTTTTCTATTTAATATTTATATTCTTACTACAATTTAATTTTCAAACTTTATTGTCTAAAAAATTATGCTATGTTTTCTTATTGTACAGGAATCATCTACGATGTGATTATTGAACCGCCTAGTGTTGGCTCTACAACTGATGAAAAAGGTCATTCCAAGCCAGTAAGAATGTGTTTAAATGTCAATTCTTTGTTGTGCATTGATTTATTTTTTAATACTCAATTTTAAATGTATTTTAGGTCGCTTTTATGCCGTATCGTGTCAACGGACAGTATATCATGGAAGGATTGGCCTCCAGTTTCCTTTTTAATATTGGAGGTTTAGGATTCGTTATTTTGGACTTAACCAATAATAAGTCAACGCCCAGATTAAATAAGACTTTACTGACTGCGGTTGGATTTGCGTGCATCATAGTATCTTTTTTTACATGCTGGACATTCATGAGAATGAAATTGCCGTATGTATTTATTGAAATTGATCAACTAAAAAAAAAAGGTGTAATTGTACCGTTTTTAATTCTATTAATTTTGATTTATTTTTAATCAATTTATTATATATCAGTGGAATAAATGATATTTTTCTTAATTTCTGGTTTTATGTCATAATTTTTGAGTCTATTAAATATGTATCAAAGCATTTAAGTTGCTATTTGAATTTAAATTTGATTAAGTTATAAAAATATGTTGTACAATACATTTTTGTATTTTATTTTAACTCTTTATAGGGCAGAGGGAAATAATTTCCCTCTGCCCTATAAAGGGTTAAATCTACCAAAAACAGGACAGGTTGTTTATCGCTGAATCTAAATGGCTTCCAAAGTTGTTAGCAACTAATGTCAATATGATTACAATAAGACTATAGTCCGCGACAAATGAGCTCAAGGTTTGGGCTAAACGCCACTAAGCAATCATCAAATGGGTATATTTTAGGTTTAACCTAAATATGTACCCTTGCGCCAGTTCATTTGACGCAGACTTTGGTTCTGAAATTATTAAACAAAATAGAATAAAAAACTATTTTTCAAACATACTGAACTTGTTAAAAATATTATCGTTTGCGTATTTTACAACTTTGGAGGCGTTTTAAATAATAACTACCTGCTAGAGGAATATTAAGGCTAGATTTGGATTTAGCAAAAAAAAAGATTTTGTTTTTGGTCCATGAAAGTCTTTATGATAACAATTTAATTGGATTTTATTTTTTCAGTGGCTATTTGAAATCATAAATTCATCATCAAGTGTATAAATATACTAAGTCATACACACGTATCAAAACAATATTGAACAATACAAATACTATGAGCTAGCTTTAATCCTAATTATAAAACAAATAATAAATAAAATATCTTATAATATAAATACAAAGTGTATTTTTTTTAGTGTCTTTGGATACTATTTTAATAGTTTGATTTCTTCTTATATGTTGTGCCTTTTAACAATTACAATTTATATCAAGTATTTTATTATTTTCTCTATAAAATCATTAAGTAGAAAAGTTGACACAAGTTTATATTAAATCTAATAATTATAAAAAAAAAATTTTAACTTTTTTATAAAGCAAAGCACATACACTATTATTTAGTGGAAATGAGACTTTAAAATTAAATATACATATGTTATTTATATATTTTTAACACTGTTTTGGGTAACATAAAGTAGGAAATATAAATAAGTCTTCATGTTTCTTGTTTTGTAGAAGGTCCTTCTGAACCACTGTATGGTGAATACGGCGGGGGATTACAAAATTCCTGAAGATGCGGTTCTACCAAATGTGGCATTGCTTGAGGTTGTGTTGGATAAGAGTATACTTGTTGCGGGTAGGGGTGTTGAGCAGGTACATGTGATGTAGGTATGATAGAAGTTGATGGTGCTGCAGTTCCATGGTATGGGCTTAGCACTCCAGGATTATTTAAGGTTACGTATGGAGGACCAGTTACGGTTATAGTGGCACCCGTTAAATTATTACTGCGATCAGTGGAAGCCAAAAATCTCAGTTCATCTTGATAAAAGCGTTGGACAATACTAATTGGATACATCAAAATTACTAAAACACATAAAAAAAAAAGAAGAAATTAATCAGAATAGTTACAGTAGAATTGAACTTTATTTATTCTATACAACATGATTATGTACTGTTTGATATTTACATGCTATTGGAATTCCGGTAATAACAAGTTCTAATGAATCTAGCCTTAATGCACCAAGTATGAAGATAACTATGGTAAACACCAAATAAATCTTGTTGTATATTAACCATTGGTGGATGTAATTAACATTATGCTGAAAAATAAATATTTATATATAAATTAAATGTATATATATATTTTTTTTCACCAAGTTATTTTTCTAGGACTAATCAGAACAAAAATAAACTAAACAAGTCACTACACAAAGTATTTTGAAACTATTTTTAACATGAAAAATATTTAAAAAATAGCTTTTATGTTTTTTAGTAGGATAAAATAGTTTTCGGCAACTGACTAACATATTATTTTAAAAATATAAAGAAATATATAATTTTAATAAAGGAAAAAATATAAATTTTAGCCAAAATGCGTAATGTACAGTTTTAGGACATTTTGGTGGACATATAAGAATAAATATTGATAAAGTGAAGCTTCAAAGTACAAGCGTCATTTGAAAAATATTTGAGTGATGGGATGTTGAAGTTAATTAGACTTATAATGACACAAGAAAAGAAGAAAACTTTAAACCCAAATGGAATACAATTGTAATATCTTAATGTATTTTTCAAATTCTGTTTTAATTAATTTAAATAAAGCCTTTTTTTAAAAAAAAAATTTTTTTATTGAAATATGGGCAATAACAGGTTTGTTATTGTCCAATGGCAATATTTAAGCCAATGGCCATCTTTTGATTTTTAAATTATAACTACATTTTTATTATGACAATATCACTGTCTTTAAATTAAATTGTTAACTATTTCTCAAATAAACGCTTTAAGAAAAAATTCCTAATGTTTTTTTTTTACCCATAATTTCCGCTTATAGAAGGTTATAAAAGCTTTCGCTCCTGTTCCAAGAACCAAATGGTTAAAATACTGCTAAATACTTGATACGTATAAATTTTAATTAATATTATGTACTTACTTCATAAGTAGCTTTTTGCAAGTAATAACTAACATATGCAGATAAAAATCTTGAAAAAAGTTGATAAAATACTGTGTTGAAAAGGTATTGTGTTTCTGTATTTATTGACTCCAATATATGATTATTGATACGCCCTAAGAACAAAAATGAATTTAATTATATTTTGATTGAACATATACATCGTAACTCGACTATTACACATACCAGTATAACTACTTTGGAAGAAACTATTATCCGATTTTTGTATGGTATTATGTGAGGCAGGTCGCATATCCATTATAGTAAATACCATCGCCAGTATACTACACCACTAAACATTTTTTTTTTATAAATTAGTTATATTTTTAGTTTATTCAAATATTGTGAAATGGGATGACTTTGTACTCGTTTAGGACGTAAGTGTGCTATGCATGTTTACAAAGATAGTTTGAGAAATTAATATCTAAAATTGTGCGCGTTTACAAAAGCCATGCCATTTCACATTATTGTCATATTCATGGAATGGATATCAACAAATTGTTATCATTAACGCAAAATGAAAAAATGAAGGTTGCTGTAAGGTAAAACAATATTTTCAAGTTGAGAAATTTATTAATAATTTGGTAGAACAGTTTAACAAAATATAATATTTAACTGGATTAAGTAAAATAATATTTAATAATATCATTAACTTATTCAACCTTGCATTAAGATACCCAACATATAATAGTGGTCACCTTTGGTAGGCTCCCAAGGAGAACACTTATCTCTAACACTATTATTCTCAATATTTACAATCAAACACTGTAGTAATGTAAATTAAAAAATATGTGTATTTGATCATTTTTAAGGATTGGAAGTTGACGATAAGTTGATTGTTTTATCTAAATTAGAGACGTGGTTCAAGTTACATTTAAATTACTATAGCGTATCATCAAATATATTTTGAAATATTATATTTAATATTATATTATTAGACAAATACAAATTATTTGATTGAAACCAGCTAATAAACAACATTAAATAAGATTGATCCAAATAATGATTAGATATTTTCCTTGTAAATGTAAATCATAAAAACATCAAGCTGTACAAAATACGAAATTTTAGAGATGTTTATGATTTATGGATGTATCAAGATTTTGTAAACTATATGTTTTATGCTAACCCTTCCCAAGTTTTTGCGAATTTCCAAGTAAATTAATTCTTCTGTTAGATGAAACATTAGGAACGAAATACATGCCATTTGTGGTGATTTTGAGTAAAAAAATATTATTGTTTAATTTATGAATACTTACAAAATACAAAATGGATATAGTCCGAGTGGCAACTCGATAGGTTATACAACCACAGCACAATAATGATTCCGCCATTTTTCTGAAAATAATAATAATAATAAATATGTATTTATAAAAGAAAACTAAAAATAAATAAATATAACACCGGTATGAACCGTAGGCTAAGGTTAAATGAACGAGAGGTGTAATAAGTGGTTTTAATAAATCTGCAATACACGCATAAAATAACTTTCAAGGGTCAATCCCCCCCCCTCCCCGATAACAACAATTGATCACCCTGTTGCTAAAAAGTGCACACAATGAAAACACATAGTAGATATTAGTGTTATTAAAGATATTAAATTTTATTTAAATTATGTGATATTAAAGATGTGTTTGTAGAATTAAAAATGGGCCGAATAATGTCCTTGAAATGATAATGGACCGAAATGTTATAATTTTGGAATTTTCGGAATCCAAGTCAGAGTACTCATTGAGCAGTTTTATTTTTTATGGTATAAAAAGATCGAACTAGAAGAGTTGTTTTTTCCGTATACATAAATCCGATATTTTTGTGTAAATACTTAACATATCATTTTGCCGGGCTTAAACAAATAACTCAGTTTTATTTTTGTTTCAGTAAAAAAAATTAATTAATTAATATTTTTAAAAGCAATCAGATGGGGCATCGTCAAACAATAATAAATAGAATACAAACAAGACAGCCAATAGAAAAACGTTTATTTCACGTACTTTATAAAAAAATAAATCCCCTAATTCATATTTCTTCAAGTTTAATGTAATTAATGAATAATGTTTCCAGTTTTTAAAATAGAGCGCTGATTTAAATTTTTAATGCTACACTAAAAATAATTGTTTAGAATATTACAACACCAACAGACGTGAAGAATGTAATAAATGAAATGATTTCCGTTAACATAACCAAGTTTATCGTGTCACAACCATATTCCCACGTACAATTTATATTTTACAAACGACATTATTTATAAAAGATAACAAAAACAAAAGTAACTACTGAATGGATCTGATTCAAAACGAGCATAAACATGCAAATGCATAATGATGATTATAGTAAATTAATAATAACAATTTAAACGTCAGTAAATTTCTAAGCTGCTATGCGTGAGAGCGCATTAACAGATGTTTGAAAATATTTTCATTATATCGTTTATTACTATAGATGGACAACAACGACAATAAATTATTATACACCGACAATCAACCCTAATCATAATAAGTGTTTGGACTTGGAGATGATAAGGTTGATGGACAGACCGTCTCAGAGTGACAATGAAGATACGCGACTGGCGCAGATGTTTCAGTGAAAATTGGAATGGCGGACGTAACAGCGAAATACTGTGGCGAATTTTCCAGACTAATACTAGAATGTCAGCACAATAGTAAGCGATGCATATGGTGGTGCGATGCTATGAGTTAAAAATATAAAAATATTTGCGTACGTCGCCAAGACACAATAGTAATATGCGACTAGCCTTTCGATTTACAGACGCCGGACGTGTCTAGGTGCATGCTAGAATAAGATCACCCGTGACCTTATCGTCGAAGATCAATGCGTGGGTTCCAATTAGGTTAAGCAAAAGTAGACTAGACATTTTACGGTGACCATATTTATTAAAAAAAAACGGGACCCCATATAAGATTAAGAAGGCGGTGGTGTCGTGACCTGCAAAGTCAATAGAAAAAAAAAATGTAAATAATATCTTTAATTAAATCTGTATAAGTTCCTCCACCGGGAAGCCTGTCACTCTGTCAATCTATTATACAATAGTATTATATGTACAAATTATTGTTCTTAATTGTAACAGATTTCATAAATACAAATTAATTAAATAAAAAAAATACCATCAATTTTGTCCGAACTCTAAATAAAGCCCCCAAAAATGTTTTTAATTTAGCTAACATAAAAATTGGTTCAAATCCATCAAATGTATAATAATTAACAAAATGAACCGTAAAATAATAAAAATGTTTACCATAGATATATTTTAGTATGGCTGATCATTTAAAATTATCTCTGAAAAAAAACCTAACAATTAATGAGCTCTTTGTCCGAAGAACGCCTTAATTATTCATATAATAGTATTAATGTGTCGGGATATAGGGACATTTTGCTCAAAAAAACGACAATTCCGTTATTAACAGGACGATGGTCACCCCCCCCCCCTATGCTAGCAGTATATGTGTTTAAACTTTAACTATAATTAGGTACATACAACTACGATTAAAGATATTTATCTTTAATCGTGTATACAGCAAACATAATTTTTAGCTTATTTATATTTAATCGATTATTACTCGTAGTCATTTTGAAGCATATCTACTTTAAAGTCATGGTCGAAATATACAGGTTAATGTCATTAACCACTTAATGCAGTCTCCAATAATTGTTATCTTCAGAAATAAAATGGCAGCGTAAAACGGCATATCAATTTTACTATTAATATACATATATATTTTATAGTGTACATACGCACTTGATTTTGTCTGCCGTTACGCTGACATATTTGTTTTTATCTTTAAACATTTGATGAAGACGGGGCATATATGTGCACATTGCATCAACCCTGTATATTTCAATCGTGAAGCCCGTGCGATTTTTTTCTTCAAAATGTGTGTTTTTTCCTCCCCCCAAAAATTATTGCTATAGAAACATTTTTATAGTAACACCCACTTAAATTTTACAAACAACCATTGATTATAAATACATATTATATTGTATTTATAATCAATGATACATCGTCCATCGGATACATAATATTTTTATTTCTAGACACAATACCAACGCACCCGTAATAGCCAACAGTTGGTGGTATTACCATTTCCGTCATTGCTATTATTTACACATAATAATGTAAAATGTATTTTCATTGTATGTTTAATACGGCCCGATAAAATACCCCATCTATTTATAATATGATTACAACAATCATTTACAGCTAGTTTTATACGCGCTAGGCGTATTAAGTAGCTTTCAATTGTTAACACAATGAAGTTCATTGAACCAACGAGATTATCTGCTTTTAAGACGTCATCTTACTTTTTGGGATTTTACACAAGACTTCAAATTTCAATACGGGAAAAGTAAAAATTGCTTGGTCAAAAACGGCGAAGCTATAAAAATCGCCGAAAATATGATGAGAAAATAAATTAACTGATAAAAAAAAACCAATTTAGAAAATATCGTCGGTGGAAAAATATTTTAGGCGATTTTGATTAAAATCCCTTTTACAAATCATATTTTTACTAATTTTGATTCTAATCTTTTAGTTAAAAAAAAAAAAATTGTATTCATAAGACATTTGACATTTTTAGTTTTTTTTTTAAATCACATTGTAAGTAAGACTAAAAGTTTATTCATTTTTTAAAAAAAATGGTGTATGCACTAATAGTGTAGTGTATTAAAGGAGGTGTAAGGTGAGTTGTTAGGCTTTACACCAAAAACCCGATACAACACCACCATTTCCAATGATGCGGAAAGTGTTTACATCAAATCAAAACTTTTTTAAAACAAACAGCGTGTACAGCTAAACTATTTTATAACAAACATTTTGGTGAACACTTGTAAAAAAAGTGTAAACTTTTTGTTAAAACAAACAAACTTAATGTGTCTGCCGTTAGTACCTATATGGATATCTATCCCTTGATTAAAAAATAATTTTAATGAACTCATTGTAATTTGAAGAAAAAAAATCGTTAGTTGTTGCCTTGAAGGAAAACCACCCCATCTTTCTCTCAATTTCTTTTTCCCTCCCCTCTCTTCTTCCCTTTCTTCCCCACTCTTCTCTTGATGTCGCAAATTTAGGTTAGGTTAGATCAAACTGATGATGCAAATTTTCAACAGATCCCTAGCCGTAAGACTTATTTATGTCAAAATAATTTTTGTTTTAGCAAAAATCTAAGGTGAATGTACTCAATTTTTACTGTAGTTAATACAATTCTTTCAATATTTGAAAGAAAAATACTCCGGAATATATTTGGACCACGGTAAAGCCGAGAAACAAATACGTTTGACAGAAGAAAAAATGAAGAGTTACAGAAATTATACAAAAGACCAAACATTCTAGCCTTTATCAGGAATTAAAGACTAAAGTGGTTTGGACACACTTGGAGGGCGGATGGTCAACTGATAAAAAAAGTACTCGTGGAAAAAATGAACAAAAAAAGACCGGTTAGGTTCGACCCGGTGGATCGATGTAGTTGCCAAGGATTTGAAAGCCATTGACCAGAATGTGACATATGAGTTGACTTACAATAGAGAGAGATGGAGAGACCTGTTGAAGGCAGCAATGGTCCTTAATGGACCGGTAAGCTGAGAAGAAGAAGAATACAATTCTAACAAAAACTCACACATAGCTCCATGTAAAAAAATATATGTAAGAAATAACGATAATAAATTAAAACATAACTAAATATTATAACCAAGTAAATTATATTAATGGGTAATAGTTTTGGATAACTTATTTTAGGCAACCCTAATTCTTATTAATATGGATATGTTTGCAGCCTGGGAGTCAACCCAACATTCGTCTGGAAATTTTCGGGTCATTGTTAGAAAATCTGGATACGTTTTTCCCATGGAGTGAAGAAAATCGATTTTTACTAAGCTCTTATCATGATTGTGGCTTTAGATATTGTGCATCAATTAATACAAAAAACTGTATCAGTTTTTCTCACAATTGTCTTTGGCAAAACTAGAAATACCTGGACAATAATTGAAATGTAATGTAGTGTTATGCACGTAACATATGCATTTATACTAAAATTAATAACCTAAACCTACCAGTCTAAGAACATGGGCTCACCCTTAAGGAAATAAATCTAGTATAAAAATGTTGCACATTTGACAAATATTAATTTAGGCAGCATGTGTTTCAAATAACATTAAGAAGCAAGCCAATCCAGAGTTGTATAAAAACTCATTATTTTTATGTTTTGATGTTTCCAAGGTTACAATATTGATTCCGTTTTTTTAATGCCAAAACAATAGATTACTTTAAAAACAAAACTCATAAAGCTATTTGTCATCAAACTAAATTTGTTTACAATAGTAATTAAAGTATGCAATTAAATTAAATTTTTATTTTAGATAAAAAACAAATTGCATGTAAATATAGAGAACATTATAGTTTAAAAACAGAAAAATATAATATGTAAAGATATACCATATTGCGTTATAAAAAATACATATACACCTAAACAAGAAATTTACCTATGGCTTTTATGCATAGTCTATCTTGTACAAACTCTAGGAAGTTAATAAATGTTTGAATTAAAACATAAACTGTCATTTGAATCTTCGAGCAAATTGTGTATTTTATGCACAATGTAAATAAACAAACAATAATAAATAACAATTACGGATCGATAGAGTTACTACTCGAGAAAATCAGTCGACAGGAAAAAAAGCTATTGTCACTTCAGAGTTCAGACACAAAAAAAAAATACCTCACTGTAAAAATAATATCTTCTCAGCTAACACATGAAATCTAAAAATGTAATAGATGTATAATAATTGGCGAGCGATGATTTTTTATGAAAATTAACACCAACATTAAGACTTAATTTAAACCCAATATCTTTTACTTATTCATTAGTTCACATTTAAAATTTAATATGAATAATAAGTTAAAAATAATGAGTTTATCGCTCAATAATTAATATTTAGAAGCAAAGAATATTTTTTGTTATCGTCATTATAAATACAATTGGTAAATACCTATTACAAAATATTTGTTAGTAAAAATACAACAGTTAAATTAATTCAAAAATTTAATGTATTTAAATACTAAAATTAATAATAAATAAATGATTTTGTTACTTACGTTTGAGAAACAAATCGGCAATCGCTGATATTTGATTTCGATAAATGAGACAGAATTGTTTTAATTTATAATTATATACTTTAAGGATGTTCAATTATACATTTTAGAAGGGACGGTCTTCTAAAAACGATTAATACTATTTTCTGGATAAAAAATTTGTTCTTTATCATTAAGTAGGTATATTTTCAGTTAATCCAAAACCTAACAAACAAATAAAGAACTTCAGAAAAACGTAAAATCTTGGAATGACCAACGATTAAATGTCGATTATTACTTATTATTATTAGTATTAGTCACCGAATAGAGTCAGGTCAGTTATTGATAAAACAAATGCACTTGGAATAATTTTAAATCGGCCAACAATAATTAGGAATCTTAAAAGTTTGCCTGGGGGATGTTATCTAATTGGTATCACTACAAAATATGTGGGTCCAGGACAATAGACCGAATATTAAACAAAAAATATGTACCAACTTAATAACGTTGTTTTTGATAATATTTCGATTCAAATTACCAATTTGGTTTACCGTTTATCCGCCAAATCATTATTTATTTTTTTTTCATAGTTTAGATATTTTTTATTTGCAAATATAATTATTTTTAAAAACAAATTTATGGATAAATCATAAATAGTTCCAATAGCTTTAGGTACCCTTACCATAGATTAAATACATTAATTTATGCCATTACAATCGTGGCCTAGACCTGATTCTCGAATTTGTCATTGCCTTAGGGTTTCGCCAAACTGGTACTAACAACTAGTAACTAGTAGGTCATCATTTATGATTTTTCAATGAAATACATTGTTGATATTCGCAAGTATATATAATATATTTGTTAAAATATTTACACATAATGTACAACATTTTTCTACCTTGAGCTGTAATCCTATTATATTCGTTAAAAAAGACGTAATCGCATAACACAACGTGCAAAGTAGGAGTGGGAAAACTGTACGTCGTTACTGGTAAAAAAATAAATTGGTAGTAATTTGTATTTCACTTTAACAATCATATAATCGAAAGAAATAATTAAACTATTGAAGTAAAAGGCACAAATAATTGCAAAGAATTTTTTCTCTCGAGTGGACGAATTTGACAGGGCCACTAGTTGACGTTGGAACAATTTGGTTCTTCTTCATAATATTATCATATTATTGATTAAAATAAAACCCGTTGATAAATATTGTTATCTTATCGCCAAACGCTTTTTGAACTCTGAAGTCCAATTTCCAAACTGCTAGATTTGCCGTTCTTTGTTATTTATTCATTATTGATAGATTTCTAATTTATTGCGATTAAACAAATTAATTACTTGTGTTGGTTACTTTTCAATCCTTTCTTTGATGTTCTTTTAATTTAATCATACATTCCTCAATTGTTTTAGTTTGACCTTACCGCTTAAATATTTTAAACATTTTTGTTTTACTCCTTGAAAATGTCTAATCCAGGAATTATTTTCGGTACGGTAACTTGATTAATAATATTTTAAAAATATACTATTTAAAATGTTGAAAAACAACATCTTTAATAATTGTTATAATATGCAATAGTAATTTAACATTAATATTTAGTCATAAAATAAACGCAATAATAATGCATTTTTATTTCAATCACTTGTATTTTTTTAAAATCTACATGATTATTTTTGTATCTTATTATTATGTTGAATTTATTCTTGTTATATTTAGATGAGTCACTTTTAGCTGATGTGAATTTCCAAGAAAACGATATAAACACTATTGTCGACGAATGTGACAGATGTACCAAAATTGGTTTTTTACCAGAAGTCGAAGCTTCCTATCTTGGACTTTTAATACACGTCATGGATCTTACATCACTTAATTCTACTGATAATAAAAAAACTATAGAAGCTCTTGTAGATAAGGTATTTAGTGTTCTACGATGGATACATATTTTACTAATGTCTACTAATTACAGTATTACAATCTAAATTGTATTAATTTGGTATTACCTTTTTATAGGCTTTAACGTATGCTAAGAAAAATTTGAAAAGCGACATTGAAGACATGGGATCTAAACATACATGCCCAATTTATAATTATTTATCTACTAGTACATTAATACCTCCAACTATCTGTGTTTCTTCTATTCGTGTACCTGACGCCGTTCAGCGTATCAAACACCAAGGCGTTCACATAGATATTGCTTCTGGTACGTTGTATCGGCAAGTTTAATGTTTACTATCGATAATAACCTATAATGTGGGTATTTTGTTTAGTGGCCGCTGGTTTTCCTCTTGGTCAAGTGCCATTAAGTTGTCGAATAACTGAAGTTGAATATGCGATTTCACATGGAGCCGCAGAAATTGACATTGTAATTGATCGTGGGATGGTTCTCAACGGCGATTACAAAATTCTTTATAACGACATTCGTGCTATAAAATGTGTATGTGCCAATGGAAAAGTTACACTAAAAACAATACTGTCGGTCACTGAATTAGGTTCATACCAGACGATTTACAAAGCAGCAATGACTGCCATGATGGCTGGGTCGGATTTTATTAAGACGTCCACCGGTACGTTTTACAAATAATATATCAATAAGTATTTATATTCTGAATATGTATTCATTAAAACAATAATACAATTCGAAAATGTTGACAACTGTGTGTTTTACTAAAATTAAAAAATACATATTTTATTATTATTTTCATTATGAACATATTTCGTTATTTAGGAAAAGAGGCTACGAACGCTACTTTATCACACGGTGTAGTCATGTGTCAAGCAATAAAAAAATTCCATGAAAAAACAGGTTTCCAGGTATTTATACATAATTTATATTTTATATATGTATTAAACAACAAGTTCATTGTTAATGTGTCTGGTACAGGTCGGCATAAAGCCAGCGGGTGGTATCAAGTTCAACGAACAAGCTCTCAGTTGGCTTGTACTGGTCAAAAATGAATTGGGAAATGACTGGTTGAGAGCAAGCCATTTCCGAATCGGAGCATCTAGTTTGTTGGAAGACGTTGTGAAACGATTAAGTGTTGTATTAAAAAAGTTTCGATAACTAACACATCACTTTTTTGTAATAGAGTGCTAAGTATTGATCTTTGAAGGATTTTTAAACTAATCATGTATTTAAGTTTCCATATTTTATTTGTATCTTAGAATGCTAAATATTTATGTACAACCCATATGTTGTTTTTATATTATATTTGTAATTTTAGTAACTCATTGGATTAATATATACCCATAAATTATTGTAAGGATTTGTATGTACCTAAAATTTGTTATTCGGATGAGGATATCTTTATTTGTGTTATGAATCTTCTCTGCGAGATTGTTAATTTGATTTATGTCGTTATCCTTCTTCAACGCGCTGCGTATACTATCAGCGTAATTCTCCAAAAATTGATATAGTTAACATCTTGTTGCTCTTAATAAATTCAAACATTTTATAAGATTGAAAAATACTCTCAAACAATTATCAAATATATTGAAATTTTTGTATGTAACAATCTTAATTATACTGTTTAATTATTGTATAATTCAGCCATGGATGTAATTAAGAAAATCATTATTCTACACAGTAAACCGAAAATATCTTGTATTAAAATTCGTCCAAATCGCCACCTTAATAATTTGGCATTTTAGCAAAGTACTACAAATAATTTTTCAAATCAGAAAAATTGATGTATTTTTTTTAATATCGATGTTTTTCCATTAATTATATCATATAATAATGAATGGAGAAAAATTTCACTGAAATGTAGGTATTGTCGATATTTGCAAGTATATAATATATTTATTAAATGTGTTATAAAATACCTACAACCTATCTACTACCACTACAATATTATTACTTGAGTTTTGACACATTATTCATTACAAATGTCATAATTATTCATTTTTTATTGTAATTTAAATATTTAAAAAAATGAATACTAGACCCCACTGAGGAAGTTAGTATTTATAGAAATTAATTGAATGGGTCAGTAGATAAAAGTGTTAACTGACAATTTTGGAATGGTCGAAGAATGTTATTTTTGCAACTAAAAAAATTTGACTACCACTTTTGGCTAATAACTGTTAGCTGTTAAAAGTTAGAACTTATTACTTTGGTCTCGGGTAGAAAGGGCTTAAGTCAATTTTCCACGAACAATTTTTTTCCCGTAGATTTAAAGGTTGATTTTTTCGGTTCAGTTAGCAAAATAATTGGTAAAATTGACATAAGCCCTTTCTACCCGGGACCAAAGATTACAGAAATACATTTTTGATAATGTCACTAGGGACCAAGCTATAGATCATTGAAGCTTTTATTTTTCAGAAGCTTATATCCTCGTTGAAAAACATTTTATCAAAAAAAAAAAACAAGTATATATGTAGATAAATTCTTAATCTTTAATTTTGTTCATATGCAAGTATGCGCTAAAACCACTCAGTTTCATAGAAAATTGCATCTCCCGAAACGTGTGGTATGACGCCTTCATAAAACTTGGAAATTTATTTACAATCCGTTATAGTATCACCATTGAGTATATATTGTACAATATATACTCAATGGTATCACACAGAAATAAACTAACAGTTAGCTAGACTACCGAGTACTTGTCAAAAGTAGGTCAAATTACATTTAGAACCTAATTCTATGACTTAAAGTATAAAATAAAAACATGTAACTGAAATTGCAAATTAATTAATTTTTATAATATTCAGTGTTTGTTATATCTGTATAAATGATGTAAATTTACTGTAAAAGATGATAAAATTTGAAACATTCACTTTGATAATTTATTAATTCGCTACTTGAAAAAAATAAATATATAAATTAGTAGGTATGTGCCCACAATAATTTAATAAGTCAATAAATTATTAAGTATTAAATTCGATTAATATACTCTTCTTTTGTCTTGCTGACCGATCCCTTCCTGAAAATTGACACCTCGGTTCACGGGTACATTTTCATCCCAATCTTCACAGTTCTAAAAAAAAAATTTAGATATGTATTAACAATTTCTAAAACGCAATTAACAAAAAAAAAATAGACTATAAGTCCAGTGATGAATTTTTTTATAATTACTCTCTGTGCTTTGTTTTCCATGCACATTGCAAAGTTTTTGGAAAATTCACATTTATTGCTATGAGAATCTGGGGAAAACCAATTCAAATTTTATATTATGTTTATTTACTTTAAAAAACAAAACCGGAAAAACGTTATAGGTATACCGAGTTCTAACGTATCGAAGCATTCGTCTATTGAGTCTTGTACGAATTCCTTAAGTTCCACGTCCTTAATTTGACTAGTCATTATGCTCACAATAGACGACTTGTCTGGACGGGCGTTGGAATTCAACTACATTAAAAACAATAAAAATACAATCTAGTAACATTGGCTTACTGTTGTTAGATTAAAAACCAAAACGAGTATCGAAATCAGTGTTGGCCGTAATTGATTAATTATAATATTTAAACTACATAACCTATTGCAAAAAATTAATCTTAAATGTATCAATAGTCGTTTAATAGTTTTAAAAGAATAATCAGTTGACTGTAGGTAATCGTCTGCAATCACCGGATTGCACGGTCTTGATACGATATTTGATTACAATTTTTTCAACGGGCTTCTTTATTACATTTTCAAAGATAATACTATATTAGGTATATAGTATTTAAGTCGAATCTCTTGAAATACACCAAAGTAAGTAATTTATTATTAATTAGTTGTTTTAAAGTATTATATTATCATGAATTGTCGCTGCACTCCGTTGTCCAACACTGAGTTTAAAATAACGTTTGTGTATATTGTTCTGTAAACTTACCATTTCTAATTGATTGAACACGCAATGTATTGTGCACTGAAAAACCATGGTATTTATTTTGTAAATTACTTCAGCTATTTCTATTAATGTAATTTAATTCCATAAACAATTACACGATATATCTAGATAATATTTTTTCCCTCGATAAATATACTAATCGAGTTGTAAAATAAAATTGTATACTTGGTACCTAATATTTGATGGGCGTTTATAATAATCACGTTTGATAGTTGTTAAGTTTACCAACTATCGAATTTTATTTTCCAAACACCTATACTCACGGCGTCCATTTTGTCCAGAATAGATCCTTTAGTTTGACTTGTACCGCTTTTCGTAGCGTTTCTAAACCGATTGTTGCCCAAGAGTTTGGAGCCCGCAGCCCGTGGGATCACGTGCCTTCGATATCTGTTCAAAATAGGCATGGTAGGGGACCTAGGGTTTGTCTGACTCATGTCGTAGTCGGGGCTCGTTTGAAACGGACTTCCTTGGTGGTAATAGTTTTGACCTCCACCGTTATTGTAGCCCTGCAAAAGAAAATAAGACAAACGATATTATATGTTTTGTAAATCTGCATAACGCAATTGCAATTGCAATTGTAGCTACAAAGTAAGGAATTGTTGTTGGGGATGGATCTAGGAAAAGAACGTATTTGCTGATAAAAATGTACGATTCACCATTTTTGTTAATATGTATTTTATTATGTTTTTTATAATTATATATTATCACAAACAGATACTGTAACAAAATATTCGGAATCTGTTTAGTCAGCGCACTGTATATGCAAAAGAGGTACACGAACGCATTTTTTTTTTATATTGCCTATAAGAATACAATATTATCGTAATAGTAATAATAACAATATAAATATAAATATATGATAATGTGATCTAATACACATATTTCTGGTAGATAAATTATAACAATTGAACAAATTGAAACAAGTGTAATTCAATTGGAATTGTGAAAAAAAAATGATTTGAAATGCTATATATTGTGTTTAAATAGTTCAGGTACTAAGTAGTTATAATAAATATTCAAATTTGATGTGTCTAATTAATTATTGACTGACAAACTGAATATCCACCAGCCTTAATCGTGATATTAAATTCAAATAATATAAGTAGTAAGTACATCATTGTTTAAACACTAATGACTAGTTAGTTAGCTATGGAATTTTTTTTTTTTTGCTTAAATAAAAAAAAACAGTTGGGTCAAAACAATGAAATCATATCTGAATGTGATTTTATCACAGTCAAACGCTTCAATGCGAATCTAGAAATAGTAAGAATTCAGCACAGTTTAAGCCAGCATAGTCCATACCAAGCAATATGCATTGTGCATAATAATATTATTATGTTATGTACATGATATAGGGTTTTGTCATTTTTTATTTGTAAGCAAATTTCTGTGTTTGAATGTACGAATTACGATACAGTTAAATATATTTAATCCATTTAGAAATAGAAATTATCCGAAAAAACTATTGCTAGTTTATGAAAAAAACTGTATAGTTGTTTTAGTATCGAATAGGCAATGTGCGTTTTCAAAATAAGTTGTAAACACATTATTAAAATCAGTTTTTATTCGAAAAATTATCCAATAATAATTAAATAAATTGCGCACAACTCTACAGACAACACAATTTTACAAGACGAGGAAACACTCAGAAAGATTGAATCTATTGTGGCTTGTACAACAAGTGCATAGCGGTACTTACAGGCCTATGTTGCGGTAGCGGCACGCCGTAGCCGCCGTCGCCACACGGCGTGGACGCCGGATCCTGATCTCTGTTGCTGTACTCCTGGCGGCGTACACTGTACTCGCGGTTGTTGTTCCTTCTGTCCGATCCCCTTCGATCGGTCGTGTCCCTCCTGTTGCCGTCACCGCGGTCCGTCCTCTGGCCGGCATTATACTGCTGCACCGGCGGCATGGACGACGAATAGCCATCCGTCCTGTCCGACGACGGCCGTTGCTCGCCTCTCGTCGAATTATTACACTGTTCGGCTATGTCGATGAACTCGCCGTGTCGCCTCGAGTGGTCCGTAGTGCGGCACTTCAAACCCTAAAAAGACACACAATTCAAAGATGGTAAAAAATAGTTAAATTTCAAAATATAGTATACATATTATAATATGTCTAGTTTTATATGGAAATTTTATGAAATTGTTATTGTGGAAATATTACTTGCACGTTGTTGTTAATGGCCATCAGAAAAATCCACGTGGTCGCGATTCGACGGACGGTGTTGGACGACATCGTTGTTGTTATTGCCTCGATCCCGATGACCGCAGGGTCTTATATGTATGCGGCAATCTTACTTGACGTGTGCTTCCTTTTCGGCTCTGACGGGCAATCTGTCCATCAAGTGACAAGTTTCCGGTTGTGTCAAATTCGTACTGAGGATTTTTGACACACATTTTTTTTTTGTTGTCGCCGGCGGAAGTCGGATTATGACGGTTGGCAATATTTATGAGACACGAACGTGGATAGTCAACATTATATTGTTTTAATTGTCCTTCGGGTTTTTTGATTTTTTTTTTTGTTACGCTTAATTACCACCGTCGGATAGTACACTTCATTTAGATATTGCTATAAGTTAAAAAATTTGCGATGACTCCCATATTTTTCATCTATGCCGTGAAATGCAGCGGCCTTGAAGATGAAATAGTCAAATTGTTAAACTTGTGTATGTATACCTACAAACTTTGTATATCATGTAAATGAACCCAATAATATAAATTTTAACTAACTTACACCTACACCATGTGTACTGAAAAGAAAATGAATTTAATATAAAACCGTTGAACGTTTTAAAGAATGTCGTTTGTTAATAGGTACAAATAATTTAAAAAAAACTATGTTATTTTCTATATTAGGTCACGGACGATAGATTTTAAATTGAATTAAATATAAAATAATAAATTTGCCCTTAATGTGTCATATCATTCCCAAGGACGTTTGTGACGAAACCATGTGCGAATGTCTTGTACTTTAATAAATTCCAGTTGGTAATAATCAGTAATTATCTTTACATATAAATATAACTACAATATTTGTAGAGGACTACAGATAGTTACTATAGAGTGACAACAAATTTCATCTTGTCTAAGGCTAAGTGAACTACCGCAGTACAATGTTGCGCCGTTTACACGGTTAACAATATAGTATTTTATTATAATATATTTTATTTCTTTTTATGTCTCGCATAGTATACATATAATATCACATTACATATTTTGTTAAATACAATACAACTATAATTTTACACGTCTAATCTAAACTAAACTATTATTTATCGTCGAGTAATGGAATCCATATCACCGTATAACCACTACCCTAACGACACCGGAAGTCCTAACGTTATTCCTGGAAACCGTGCAAGGTGACTTTAAAATATCGTCAGTAGGATTTGATTGTCCCGCGAGACGTGACCTTGTATAAGGCAAGTTTTGGATCAGTAAACCTGCAGAACGATCACAAATTTATCATTCCTGTATTAGACAATCCTCGGGGAATACTTATACATATATATAGGGATAGCACTAGGATTTCCGGTAGTGGCGGTGATGTTATCGACAAAATAATATAGTATACTGTTTATTACTGCGTAGACAAAATGATATATGTACAATATATCAGGGGGGAGTGGATCATTCACGTTTCGGGGATTTCGACTTTTTGCGCGTTGTATCCCAATTGTGGATGAGACGTGTAGTTGTACATTTGCAATTTACCATCATTGTCACGGTACCCGTAATGACCGCGGACGTGGCCGTTGGAGTCTCTCTCCTCGTACCGAAACTGTCTGTTCATTCTGTGTTTTATACAAACGGTACAACCCAATATGTAATGATGTTTAATAAAAAATAAATAGAATTAAAAATAAACATAATATAATTCTGCTATAATCCCCCCCCCCCCCAATTCGTTTTGGCCGCGCTGTCACCGGCTAACGGTTGCACTGTGACCGATAATTATTTTATTTAGATACTACTTATTGGATGTAAGACAACACTAACTAAAAGCGCCATCGAAAGCTTACCCTTTGCCGGTGTCGTAGCCGAACTTGTACGATTCCGGACCTCCCATGCCGTGCATCTGAAACTCTACTCTTTCGCCGCCACCGTCTTGGAAGTTCAAGTCTTCGCTAAAATGTTCAGTCATAGGGTCCTGCGGTCGATATAATGAAAATAAAATGAAAGGGTTATTATTTACACAACAGACCGGCGCACGTATAGTTTCGTAATATAGTATTGTAACTGTAAAATTGTGTGAAATAATAAATAACGAATCGAAATAAAAAGATAATAATTTATTAGAATTAATTTGTATTCGCATAAACAAACAACACAATTACACATTTAAATTACTTTACTGGCGGTTCGTTTGAATAAATGTTTATTCAAATAATCAACGAAACATTTTCCTATCTGTGTTAGTTTTACAATGTTTATTTTTTATACATTTTCGAGAGAAATATTAAGGAAAACGGTTGAACGCTAATTCATAATAACACATTGGAAATAATGTTTTGCGTTCCTGTAAAATATAATTATAAAATTCACTTATTGCTTTACGATTCTCACTACTTTAAATGATATTCTCTAAAAATTGTAGTTAGGATCTGAGTCACAAAAATTTTACTTAATCAGGTCCCACTGTAGTCCACTGTCCAGATAATAATAATAATATTGACCTTACAGCGGAAACATGGACACTATTATTATCATTGTAAATTTAATATAACAAGACTTACGGGTTGTTCTACATTCTGCAATTGGTCTTCTTGAATTATCATATCTTCTGGTAGCTGAAAATATACAAGTGATCCGCATTAATCGCATTTCCATATGGAGAATTTATAGACACCGGGACATTTTTTTGAATTTAAAGAACAATAAGAAATAATAATAGTGGTAAAAAACATTTTTTTAAAAATTGTGCGCAGTACAGTATGCGTATTTTTGAATTAAGTAAATAAATATTCAGTTTATGTTATTATTTGAACTTCATTGAAACACTTTGTTTTATTTCAATTATTATTTCTACATTTAAGTAAAAAAAAAAGTACTTAAAGTCGAAAATGTATTTAAATAATTATTTTATTCGTTATTAAAATTTGGTCAATTAAAAATAACATTTCACTTATATAATTGGAAGTTTTATTTAAATAAGAAAATAAAAAATGATTAAATTGAATTTTATCTAGAACGACTATTCGTTTTTTAATTGTCTTAAAAATTGTGACCAACTTACTAAACAAAAATCAGAATTTTCTAATTTACTTTTGTATTGAAAAAGACTATAAATTATACGTTAAATCTGAGAGAAATTTTGGATTGTGCAGAGAAATTGAACAAAAAATCGATTTGAAATAAGTCTTAGACAGTTCTGTGGTTTTTTTTGGGCAAAAGGGGATTAGTCAAAAAAAGCAAGATAAAGGCTGACAAGTTAACCTAAGTAACACATTAGAACTAGTACGCATCAACACTAGAGGCCAGAATCGGTTCAGCAAAGTAATAAATGTACCAATTTAGATACTTGTTCCGAAATCGTTTTTTACCTGTTCGTTCGTTTGTATGTTTTGTGTTTCTTGTTCTTCGGCCGAAGGTTCTTCTTGTTGCTGCTCGTGCCGGTCGTCGTCAAACGGTTTTTCCGTCTCTTCTTCTATTTCATCCTCTATCAGTGGCGGACGCGGCGGCGGTGGCGGCGCCGACTTCTTTTTCTTTCTTTTCTTCACCTTTTTTTTTCTCTTGGCCGGCCGAGTCGTCTCTTCCTCTTCGCCTTCGGCCTCTTCACGTTGGCCGTCCCGTTCTCGTTGCTTCAACAGTCTGTTGAACCTGGTCACGAGGTCGTATTCGCCGGGATCCAGCGGCGGTGGTGCCTGCACGTTATACACGACCGGTAAGTGCGTGTAACGGACGTCGCCGCCGTAGCCGTAATGTGGAGGGTACCTCCGGTGCACGGGACGATGAAGATGATGATAATGGTGCAGTGGGCCCTGCACCGGCGTGGTGTGTCGCTGCAACACGTAATGCGGCGGTGCCGGCACAGTGGCCACTGGTTTTCTGTGTACGGCGTACTGAACACCCGGAGAAAGACTTTCCGGTAACGGTTCGTCTTCGGCCGCGAACAACGGCAACTGTAGCCCGCCGCCCGGTCCCGGCTCTGTGTATTTGATCACCCGGGCCACGGGGCGCGGCTGGGGCGGGTATCGGCTGGTCACCGGTTCGTCGTAGAACAGCGGGTTCATCAGGATCGGATTGGTGTCCGGCACGGTGCTGTGCTGTTGTTGTTGTGGCTGGTGCTGTAGCTGTGGCTGTGGCTGTTGCTGGAACTGCTGAAGTAGTTGCGCCTGTTGTTGGAGCTGCTGATGGGATTGTGGAGGATGAGGCATTTCCCTGTGCAGCTGGTACGCGGCCGGTCGCGACGGTTGTTGCTTGAATACGGTCGGGGTCAAGAGGTCGCGGTGGATCAGCGGTGGCGCGTAGAACTCTATCCCGTAGAAATCGCCGTTGGTCGTCATACTCCCGTCGTTGTCGGCGTAACGCTTGGGCGGCACCTGGGCGGCCGTTGCCTGGGTACTCGTACCGTTCGTGGAGGGATTTGAGTACACGGTTTTCAGTTCCACTCCTCGTCCCCACAACAGGAGCATCTGTTTTGTGTAAAAAATAATAATTGCAATACAATTACACCGTGCCTGATTTGGGCAAAAGCTAAAAAAAAAAATCCAAACAAATTTTTTTAAGCAACTAAAAAAAGGCTTATCTCAAGAGGGCGCCGCACCGGTGATTTTCAGTGGTAAAAACATGTTTAAGCAGACTGAAAATAACTTGCTTAATTTTGGTTTTAGAGTAAAAGCACCCATTATAAAATTAAAAGAAAATAATATTCCGGAGGTGCGTTTTAAAAAAATTAATTTTTTGGAAAGTTACAGTCATTTAAAAATGTTAAAATAGTCGTTATTTTTAAACTATGTATTGAGCGTTATACTTAGAATAATAAAAAAAACGCACCGTCTTGCCCTTCGAAATATTGTTTTCTTTTAATTTTATAATGGGTGCTTTTACTCTAAATCCAAAATTAAGCGAGTTATTTTCAGTCTGCTTAAACAAGTTGAGCTGAAAAAACATTTTTAAATCGCTTTCAAGGATGCTGTGATAGTCCAAAAAATAAATTAACTACCAAAATAGAGTCCTAGTTATTAAACTAATAATTACACATCACAGTTTAACCTTTAAATTAGGATTTTGTAAAAAATTGCCTATACTTTACTCCTTAAAAATGAGAAGGTGCGACGCCCTCTTAATTCCTAAACCAAACTAAATACACGGTTCGTGTTCAGGAAATATTGCCACTACGGTGAATAGGCAATTGATCGAAGTTTTCTAAATATTTTAACAAATGTATAAATTACGTCATATAAGTGTCCAGACGTCTAAAAAAAAAAAGTACATTCTAGTTCTGTATTTTGCGAGCACATTATTTTAGGTATAAAATTGGCTAATTCTTAAACAGGTCTATTTTGTTTTTGGTTAACGAAAAGTTTTAAAATCGTAAAGGGTGTCCCAAAAATAGCGCAACCGTTTAAATGGCGCAACCATGTTAAAAGTTGCGCTATTTTTGGGACACCTATACAAACCTATTGAAAGCAATGTTATGCGCTGTATGCAGAATCAGGCCAAAGTTAATTAAACAACGGACAAAAAATAAAACAAATCGAATATCTGAAACACATGGATGTTACTAAATAAACTAAAAACCACTTTATTACAATAAATTACACATAAAATTACTGTACTCGGGTGCGCTTAAATCTTTTGTACTATATTTGTACAAAATTATGGTAAAAGAAAATCATATTATTTATTTAAAAAGTATTTGAAAATTATGTAACATAATTAATATTATCGTCTATACGCATAAAATTGTATTTAAATATAATAACGCCAAACTCTAGTTGTATCTACGTTGCACATTCGAATTTGAAATAATATGATCTTATTTGCAAGTTTAAAGGGAATCGAGTGGAGAAATTAAAAAAAAAAAAAGCTGTGTCACATATTTAGCGTACAAGCAGTGCGGCGTTAATGGACTAGAAATTAGATTAAAAAAAAAAAATAATCACAAGCTGATGGCAAACGGTGAAAGCAATCATCGCGGTCTCACTCGGATGGACATGACGCGCCATAGACAATAACATAATATGTAAACACCTTAAGCGCGGTAGAGGGTTATGGGCATTCCAGTAGGAAATTAATTAGACGGTTGGTACGTTACGGAAGCACGTGCACATTCAAGTACACGCTGCAGCCATCCAATCATGCATAAAATACCGGCATAAGAATACACGGTTGTAGCCCGGAACTGTTCCTCTTTTATATAATATCATTATACCTAGTCGTTTGCCCAAAATTATGTATGTACAGTGTACACAATGTAATATATTTACAGTCTGCAAACCCGTGTACCGTGCAACGGGTCGCCGTGCGTTTCTTCTGTCTGGTTTGTGTTGTCTTTAGTTATGGTCCGCGTTATGATCAGGCGTTGATTATTAGATAATAATAATATGTAATATGGGTAACGTAGGATGTTATATTGAAAATGCATAATGATAGTAATATATGTCGGTAATTTTTTTTTTTATACTCTATACGGTTTGATTATTAGACGGCATGGTGCACCGTCAATAGCCGTTAGACGACCGACTAAAAAAAAAAAAACGTATATGCGTGTCACAAAATTGCTACCTAATGTAGTATAATATGTACCTATTATACTTATGTAGTTTATCAATGTTTGCACCTATATCTGGACAGTGAATTCGAATGAAACGAATCAAAAAAAAAAAGGCAACTATATGCAAAAAACTTAACTTTTTAATGTATTTCACGTATCGACAACAACCGGTCGAGTTGTTATAATATAAATCAAAGTGGCAGACGATATGGCAGCAATAATGATCTCGCCGTAGATAGCTCCAGAATCAATGTGCAATATATTGGTTATTTCTTTGTCGTACAATATTTGTCTTAAATGTACTGTATTAATTGTTCATAACATTGTACACATTGCCACAGTACAACCGCAGTTTGCGGTGTAATTCTTATTGGGTAAAAAGTCAAGTAAGAATATCGTTATGAACTATCTCTTGTTAAATTTTCTTTCATATTATTGCATATATTGTGATGTCCGTTTTTACGGTTATGCAAAATCATCAAAAATAATTTGTATCATTAAGTTAAAATTCACATTTTGTTTGTTTAAAAAGCAGCCAAGTCTTAAAGGGTAACTTTTGAAAAACAAAAGAGTAGTCTACAAAAATGTATAATTCGTGTAACGGAAAAGATAAATTTATATTAACAAACTCGCGGTTTGTGTGTCGATTAATAATTGTTGTCAAAAATACTGCAATAGTACCTACCGTGGATTTTTTATTTCATTTTTGGGCGTGTTTACTTATCTACAAACAAGGCCAGCTCTATCAAAATACTCGGGGTTATTATTATTGATACATTTTTTTTTTTATAAGACTTAAAAATCAATTAAAATCCTACCCATTTTCCAATCAAGCAATAATTTCACGGCGTATTAATACGCGTAAATATACATGTTATTATGGCTAGAGTTTAGACATTCCTTAATACTCACGATACTGTATATAAATATATATAAACATACGGGTATATATTTTCAGGCTACACGGTACGCTGCACATTTAAATCCGAATCACTTATACCGAATAATATGCCAAGGAAACTGGTATTATTTTTTTTCTTGCGACAAAACAAAAACTGCATTAAATAGAATTCATTTTCTGTCAAATGTGCACGTGTAATATCGAGGATATGTTTTTTTCCAGTGTACAAAACGTAAGAATTTGACCTTATTTTTATTTTTACTCGAATTGCCTCCTTATATTTCCGTATGAGATACTTATGTAAGTAAAGTGTACTCGGAACAACGGCTAAACAACAATTTAATAATATCAATTTAATTTCTTGTTATTCAAGTAGAAATCTACAAATCCAGTCTACTGTCCGGCAGATGATGCGTTTTATAAATACAATTTGCATATTTTATTCAGATATTTTCTTTTACTAACTGAAAGACAAATTGAGTGAGTCATAATTTTTTATTCTAAAAGAAATGCAAGTAATTTTTTTTAAAATAAAAAATTAATAAGGCATGAGACAATATTAGGGTGCACCCTTATTTATTTATTGCGTTAAACTCAAGTAACACATTTATTTTTTAACAAACATCCCAGTAATAATTTCAAGTACATTTTTATTTAGACGACACATTAATTAAGTACATTTTTTAATTTTAACTAGAAATACTTTTCTATTAAAATGAAAATTGACATTCACACGATTTTGTCGTTAAGGCGGTGTTGTTTAAATATTTAATTATTTTATGATAGTAAATATAAAAAAAATAATCGAAATAACAGTTTGGTTAGTAAAATAATTCAAAACGACGGATTGTTCGAACGAGTCAAACAACAATGTATTTGAATAAAATATTATTTGAAACAGAAAATACAAATTGTATTTCGAACACAATTGAGTTGGCTGTGTGTTCTGGAGAAAATTAAATATTCAACAACTCGTTATTTTTTAAATAATTAACGCTATTTGTTATTTAAATAAAAAAAAAGCTCAGATTTGTCTTAATGCGGTCACATTGACTGACGTTTGAAGCTGATCCCAGCAACACTACAACAAATTAATATAAAATTGCATAATATTTTTTAGTCAAATCATTTGAAATCGCTTTGCGCACGTCTCCCGGATCGTTCTGCGAAACTAGACCGGACAACAACAACAAAAACAAAACCACAACACTGTGCATACTGTGTTATACATACTGTTTACCTAATACATTTCAATTGTGTTGCGCTCTTCCTCTGTGTAGGTACACTCCTGGTAAAAATGTGCACCAGTGACTGTGCACAAAACAAAAAAATGTCCATTTGTCACGGTTTGTGTAAGCCTTGTGTAGGTGTATATATGTAAAACAATAATAGATTTGTACACTTTATATCAATGACAATCGACGATAATAATATTATTATTATTGTTGACACGATTTTATGTGTTTTATTTTGTCGTCAGAAAAGCGTTGGATAAATAAACCAACAACCGGCAATGTCAAGTTCATGGTGTGCGATATGATCGATTAGTTCGAGTCGACTGTAGATCAAAACTTTCGGCCCCGCCCGGTCGCGGGTAATTAAACGTCAAACGATTCGAGAAAAAAAAAACCACCAATAATAATAAAATTCATAAAAAAATAACAATTGTTTTTAAGAAGATCCGCCCGGCGGTAACGGACGATATATTTTCTGGATGGTTCACCTGGCATACGCGAACAGGTCAAGCAAAACGGTCGGCGAAATCATCATCTCGGTCGGTTTGGAAATTCGCTAAACATGATTTTCTAAAATGGTTCTAACCCCGAACCCTTTGTACCGACCGTTAAGCTTTTCACCGTAGTCGTTCCGGATAATTGCCATTTGGGTCGTTAGCCGGTGTTAGCTTAAAAGATCTGTAAACGCGGTACGACCGTCAATAATATTGTTGTTGCATAGATTAATTTCATTTGTAATATCTCGATATTTCATCATCATTGGCCACAGATAATAATTAGAATAATAGTAAAAAAAGTATACTATATATGTTCTATGTACATAGTTTATAGAAGTATAAAAGTACAAGCATAAAAGTTTTAGTTGAAAATGAAAAAAAAAAAATATTAAAGTTAACTAATACTGTCAATAAAATATTACAAATAACGTTATTCGATATTGTATTTAAGAACTGCTGAACATAATATGATGACAACAGCTGAACAGCAAACGATGGGAATTATAAATGTATATGTATGATTATGGTTATCGGACAACGTGTATAAGCGATTGGGTTTTAAAGAAAAACCTCCATCACATTTGTATTTTAGTTTAATCGTTTTTGGATCTTACCACGTTGTCATTAGTAAGCTGACGTTAGTTCCACTGTCAGCACAGTGCCAGTGAAACGAAAACCATCTATCTAAAGATAGACCCTGTAATGAAACGTCAGCTAACTAATGACAACATGGATAGAATTGAAAATGAGCAAACTAATAGTTTAATCCGTGAAATTTTTAAAACGCTCGATTTGTATTTTATTTAGTTATGTATGGTACATTAACACATCGTATAGTTAAAAGTGTTCAGTTAAAATTGAAAATCGACAGTTTAGTTAGTCAACTTATCTAACTTTCATTTGCTCCATTTTCTTACAATAATCCCATTTGATCCTATCACTAGGTATTCCTATGAAAAGTCACAGTGACATTGGTAGAAATTACAAGTGAATCTGTGAATAAATTACTTAAAAGTCATGTAACAACCTAAAAGCTTAAAATCGCAACAGGAATCGAGATTCAAATATAGTGTGAATGTTAAATATGCCCAACTCTGCAATTATTTTGAATATTATAGCATAAACAAATTGTATGGAAATAAGAAAAAATTTAAATAATATTGCATGTTTTTAAAGGTATAAATTAAAAACACTAAATAACTTTGTATTATTTTTATTAAGTAGACATTTTAATAGCTCCATTCTAAATTGTAGTTAAGTTTTTTATTTATAGTGTAGGTCTCGAGGCTTTGACAGATTTTACACACATGTTTTATACAAATCAGTTTCTAATTAAGTATTGACCTAATCTGTAAATCGAGAATGGCCCCAATTTCTTACTATACTCGTATTATAATTTTTTGTTAAGACATAATAACTATTTCATTTTAAAAATGTAGTTCAGAAGATGCATTTTTCGATAAACGGTATCAAATTTATTGTTTATTTTTCTTTAAACTTATGCTTAATTTTTGTTCAAGTTATTTTATAGATGGGTAAATCTTCGTCTGGTCGTATACAAACATTTTAAAGGTGTATTTTTTCAATTGGTTTTAAGCACACGGAATTATTTTTATATAATATACACAGTCAATAAGCACATGAAGAGTTATTAAAGGTTAAAATTATGAATAAGATAATATGTTGGTTTACTTACAAGAATTATGAGCACCATATTCGAGGACACGGTTTACATGTTTGTTGACAAATAAGTGTCTGTGGTCCCGGTAGGCACGATCTAACCGTGTTGGCTGTGCGGAACAAACTAGAATGTGTGCGCCAGTGAAGTGATTTCTCAACATTAATCAATCATTTTAACGGCGTGTTCCGGATCGGATACGCGCATTAATAAAACAATAAAATTCGAACTTAGATCACGATCTAGCATTGTGGGCGAGAGGGGAGGGTTAGGGTGCCCTAGTGTAGCATTACGACCGCAGACGTTTGTTCTACTGTTCCATTTAAATTGAGCAACAAATATACATATTATGTGTATATAATGTGTTAAGATATATCTTCGGCTAGCGGTCGTAACAAACTAAGTCTAATTTTAGTAAAACATTAATTTCAAGTGAGAAAAAAATCTAATAAGAAAAAAGGACAAAAATATTTAAAGTGAAATTTCATTCAAGAAATACAGCTCGTACTCAGTGTTTAATATTCCAAATTGGTAAATTATTTGGCTGTGGTCACAATTGAACAGCCAATTTTAATATTGAAATGAACCAAAGCAACAACTGCTAAAAAAACTGGCAATCTTACTTTTTGTGATTTTTTTTAAAGGGTTAAAAAAATTCTCATTTGGAAACGACAGATCTTATTGGACTATAAATTTCAGACTATGTCACACGGTTTAAATGTAGTTAGTTTTAATTTTGTAGATAAATGATGAAGTTGCTGTGCTGTTAATGTAGGTACTGTTAATCAGTTAATAATAATAATTTTATATTATTTAAAAGTTTTCACTTTGTTTCATTAATATAATATGCCGCGATTGTGTATTCATATTATATATTATCTTTAAAAACTAAGCATTTGTCAGTAAAGCTTCTATGCTGTATTAAGTTCTTTAAAGGAAACACACTTCAATTGATAATAGACACTTAATGTAGGTAAACGTGCTGTATAAAAACGCAATTTTGCGCAGGATAGTATTACATGAAAATCCACGAATGCCTTCGCATATGAAGTGTGTAAAGGACCGGATGAGTGTTGTGGGAAAAGTAGAGAAACCCTTTTAACACCGCTAAAAGGGACATGTATTATTACTCAAGTTGTAAATACATACACCGCAACGGTGTATCAACCTTTTCATCGAGCTCAAGTTTAACATAGTGTAATGAAATTACCATAATTTAAAATATACAATCCATTTAATATTTTGCTAAAATCTTTATAATATATATATATATACAATATATAGTATATATATATTTAGATATTATGTAAATGTTAATGTATGTTTGTGTATAAGTCCATCACTACAGAACCTCTTAACAGATCAACCTGAAACTTTCAGGACTTATTGGTGTCGTCACAAAGAAAGTTTTAAGCAAACTCGGAAGACAATATAGCCCTCCGGGGGGAAAAGTTGTGGATTTTGCAAACAAAAATGGACTACCCCAGGTTGGTATACAACAAGTAACTAAATATCTATAGTATAACTTAAGATAATACTATCCTATTAAATATTTGATTGTGATGTATGCGATATTTTTAGAACCTATTGTGCTTATATAAGCTTCATTGATCATACATTACAAGCATGATATTAATTTGAATTATTGAATAGCGTCTCATAGTGTGGACATTATCTAAAAATCTTGAGTACTTCATTAATACTATTAAAATTGCCCAAGTTCATTATGCGAATTGCGAGTGACAAATTGGGACAAACCTGTCAGCCATAATTCTATATGTTATTTGTTAATGGTTATTTCCAGATCCAAGCAAAAGCCGAAGACCGATTATAACGTGACAATACAAGGAAGTAATACGGTGAGCAATGGCATCGCGGCTCCAGTTGGTGCTAGCAAGTCACCGCTGGATGACGTCTACGTTCACTGTTTTTCCCTTGTTGGCAAATTTTTTGTATGTAATGAACTTTGATAATAATACAAAAAAAACTTCCAACGCAATATGAAAATAATTTTACTTTATTAATTTACCAAAAAAGTTTTAATACCTATCTTTTCCAAAAAGAGAGAATTACTTAAAAAAGTTCAAGTTAATGATTAAAGTGTACCAATATTTTATTTAAAACTTAAAACTTTTTTATTTTATTTTCTTCTAACGAAAAAACTTTTTGTTTGCTTAAAACAAAATTCAATAGACTACTATTATTGGCTATAGTTTGTTTTTAATAAAGTTTTTGTACTGGTAGCGAGGATCTCATTTCATCCCAAGAGTTAAGACAGACTACAACGTTATAGAAATAGGTCATAGAAGCAAACCAAGACATTATTTAGAAATATTTTCTTACCTATTTAAAGAAAAACTCAAATTATTATTTAAACAAATTCAAACTAACAAAAAAATACAATTATATTTTAATTTGAACAATATTATGTTCAAAACAAGTATTTAATACTTATAAACTTGTATTCAAACGAATGTAAATACCAAATAAAATGTTATTTAAATATACATTCAATTTTTATTTAAATAATATCTAAAATAAAAAGAATATTAAAATAAAAGATCAAATAATTCAATTTAAAAAAAAATGTAATTAAAAAAAAATAATACGAATAATAGTTTAGTTGAAATAGTCAAATAAAACTGTTTTAAAAATATTTTATTATTTTTAATTAGTTATTTAAATAAAAAATAACCATATGGTTTGAATAGTTTTTTTTTTAATATACATACATCAATGACAATATTTTACTGTAAACTGTTATGTATATTATTGTAATTTGTTTTAATGAAGTTTAATTAAATTAATATAGACATTAAAACTTATTTTTTGTCTATTTTTTAAAATCATAATTGTAAAGAAATTGGTTTTTAATTAAATAAAACTTTACGGGTATTCTTTAATAATGTTTTATGGGATTTTTTTTATAAGAAACTTTTAGCTGTTTACAAATAAATTGTATTACCTTTTAAATTAGTATTTAAGACGGTCATTATTTTATCTTTTAGTACTTTTATATTTATGCGCAGGTCGTATAATACCTAAATCTTTAAATAAATGTAATTCCTTAACAGTTTTTCTTAAAGTTTCGCAGTACCACGAAACCTTGTCTTACAATATTGATTATTTTTCTATGAGATATATTATTGAGTACAATAAATTTCTACATTTCATATTACCTAATCTATACTAGGAGACACTATATCGAGTCAAATAACTTTTAGGACATAAAACTACAGTGTAAGTATGTATACTTGAAGTAGTGTCGTTTGTACCTATTTTTTAATTTGACGTTTATGGTTAAACTGATGGAGTACGACTCATTTTGAAAGCAAGGTGTTTAAGCTGTGTAGCTGCACAGAAAATGCCCTTTGGACCGATCAATCAATATGAAGGATAGTGGTAGGAAAAAATATCTTTAGCTTTTTATTTGGGAATTCCATAAGGATAAACGGACAGAGAGAGAGGCCGGATATCAATTTAACTTTAGATTAAGTGAATTTCGTCATTTAACTAATAGGAAATCGTTCAGCCTGATGTATCACTTGACCCATGTCAACTGCAAGCATATTACAACTTCAGTGGTCCAGCCACTCGAAATATACAAATTATACGTATTATGTAATATAAAGTAGAACAGATATATGAATTAGTTCAAATAATTTTACAGTCAAAATAGTAATTAGCAAAATTGGTATTCTGATCACTTTTTAACTTACATCGTGGCTTGGATAATGTTATTGTAATTTAAAATGGGACCTTAAAAAAAGATAATTAAAAATAAATTTATGTATAATGAAAATCAACTACAGTATATAAAATCACCTCGACGTAAGCCGTCTTAAGACTTAATTTTTCACTCATTGTTTGCCTTATTTTGTAATCTGGCGTTTTAACTTGTTGACTTTGATTGTAATTTTATTAACTATAAAAATTCAAAAAGTAAGTTGTAACCTGTTAGATCCAAATATGTTTGAAAAAATGACTTACTGTCGACTAGTTTGAAACAATACTTTCGGAGCTTTTAGCATTATAATGTAATAGTTGTTCGAAACTGGCTATGGACTACTGAATGTTCAGTACATTTTACTGAATTTATACTTTTAATAAAACGGTAGCTATGGTATGCGGTAACGCTCAAGTGTCAAAAGTTGAAAAACTCATGCCCATCAAATTGATCATCCTGTATAGCTTCCGGGTAGGTTTCACACGGTTACTATGGTAAACGCGGTTGCTGGTTAGAACATGATCTGAATCGAATGATATTAAATTAGCTCGTGCATTGTCATTGACGTCGAGCAACAGGTAAATCAGCGTCAATTTCCGACTAAATCCTAAAATACCGTTTTGTACAACGTCTGTTAATAGTTGGGCTAATAAATTGTTTCATTAGTTCTGAATGACAATATTATTATTAATGGACTCCCTTGAATTTCCTGGTTGAGCAATTTATCGGACTAAACAATCGAATACATTCCGTTCTATGGGTACTCTTCTAAAACATTGAATATAACACAAGCAATATGAGTGTGTTCAATGAAAACAATTTGGTGGTCAGTGGTCTTATATTATTATAATGTAATGAATTCAATTAACAGCTGTTGGTACAGCGTTACTTCCAATATATTTCAATATCGCAATAATGGTGGCCGATATAGTTCTTATCATAATATAGGTAACCAAAGGTATTACTTATAATTACAATAAAAGTGTTAACCATAAAAAAAAGTTTAAAGTTTACCCGTAAAATAATTGGAAAACGATAATATTTTTAATGATAAAATTGCTTTTAAACGATCAAGAGAAATATTTTGAGCAATAACATATTTTTTTATATAAGTGTGTTTTTCACTAAAATAATTAATACAAATTATTGTCGAAAAATATTTAAAATAAAGCCTTAACCAAAATAATCTAACCTAACCTAACCTAACCCTTAATAAATAATTGTGGTTATATATTTAATAATATTAAATACAACTACAAGTGTTGCATACGTTTTTTCTATGGATATTGTTATAAGAATGGAAGTATTTAAATTTTCAATAATATTTGAACAAAAACTATTTTTTGTATGTTAAAATCAGAGTGGAAAAAAATGATCAAACAAAAAAACGAATCTTCTCCTGTAATAAAAACTATAAAATGAGAGTCCAGTTAATAATAACGTTATTAATATTTTGTCTGCTTTTTCGCCGACCTCTCGTTATGTTTTTTTTATAATTGTTGTTGTACTGAAAAAAAAAACGGAATAATTATTTTTTTTTGTTTTTGGCTGTCGCTCGCCGAGTTTTTACAGTTTCCAATGCGGTAACAAGCCGACCGTAAACCCTTGGGTCTAGTACACGAATAGGAAAACTAAAATCGATGTCGTGTCAAGGTACTCGAATTAATTAAATGACTATTGCGTTTTACTCTACAACGGTTCACTAGTTCACCTGGAAGTACTCGATTGTCATACGACTATATTGTATTTAATGCAGCACGTTACAATTATTTAATTATGCATAAATGGTCAATTCGAAATGTGTACTTAATCGCTTTTCGTAATAATGTTGAGACTAATTTTGAATCATTTTACAAAACAAATCGTTTAAAAATAGTGAAACAAATGTTTTTAATGCGGTTTATAAAAAAGCTAAATGAAAGACCGGATTTTAATGAATAACTAAACTCTCCAATATTACAAAACCTATGACAAACTACCTAACGAAAAAGAGAAACCAAAACATTTGTATTAATAAAATATAATGCGGACATGGGTATCTGTTAGGTGGGATACATATCTGTTATTGTTTGTTAAAAAAAAAAAAAAGTGATAGAAATGGTATAATGATACTTATTTTCCGTAATATATATTTTTTACTTCAAATTCAAAACCAACCTTACCTAGACTGCAGACAGATGTCATCTGAATATAAACAACCTTAACGACCACCGAAAACCATGGTAGCGGCCCTTAAAGCGTTTCGCTCATCCATTTATCAAACCAGATCCATCTGTCGTTGGCAGTTTTTCAATCATCTTTTATAGTAACATTTTTCGATTCTCTTCTCCTACGCTATCTATGCCTTATGACGTGTGCAGTCACCGAACGATAATAATTAACATTATACTACTTACCGCAAGTACAATTTTTCGTAAGAAACAAAAATGATAAGTATAGAACTATTGGTGGTGCAAAGTTAAAAAAGCTGATAGACAAACGTTGGTACCAATAACATAAAATGTTGTTTTGTATTCGTAGTATCTCCTTAATACCCATCATTGAATTACGCTGTACATATTTGAAAAAACGTTTCAGTTAAGCTTTACTATATCAAAATGTCGTCGTTAATCCTTGCCCCCGATTACAGTTAAAAATGTTTTTTATTTTTTGGAGGTGGTTTTGAATTGAACATTTGACAAAGGTAAATCTGTTATGGTTTACCAAAAAATATCGTTGCATTAATACAATATATAAAAATGTCAAATATCTAGCCACGGCTTCAATGTTACTTAACAACTGAAAATATATAAAAAAATATATTCTACCTACCTTAAAGATAGTTTTATTTTGTTAAACAAATATCACAAAAAAATTAACCAAGACCAAGAGTATTTTTGTACTTTTGAAATTCCTCATTTTGGTCGGGTCCCGCGTCGCAGTAGGTATATATGTACCATTTAATATGTAGAATATGATTGTGATTTGATGATATATGATATTATGGTATGTGGAAAATATAAATTGAAAACCGAGCTCGACAGCGACAAGACGTGTGCGTGTGGATCACAATGGGTACTCGGGAAATTACTTCCACGTTATTAGACGGCGTTGATACATATACATATACTTACATTACTTCGGTCGTTTCCCGTCCACGGCGCATTTTTAATTTATTCGGTAAACTCACACGACGGGAGACGCGTTTTGCTGTCGCGCCGGCTATACTTTGCACTTGATAAACGCTCCCGTTTTTCGTTTTAACTTGCCCAATATTAATGTTACTTTGCCGGCGTTTGACTTTCAAACTTACATTTTCCAACTTAAGTACATGCACAAGCAGCTGCAAGACAAACAGAATGCTTGGCGAGCCAAACGTATTGGGTTTAAGCTGTGTATCAGCTGTATAATAGTTGTTTGGAAATTGTGTATGCCAAAAGAATGATCAACTTGCAAATAATATCATACCGTACACACACAATCCGTGTCCAGTGTTTATAAGTATAAGAGGGGGGGGGAGGAGGATTTCGGCTGTTGAGAAGCGATAGAGACGGTGTTCGGTCATAGGTAGTCCCATATGGTCTTACAAGTTAGAACTTTGCCGAGTTCACTAGGGTTTAAAAAAAAAATATGTCGACATAGTTCTACATAAAAGATATGGTTTGAAATCCAGTGACCGTCGACCGTCCCTTCACTATTTTATTGATCGTGTCGTCATAGTTTATATTGAAAACAATACATTTGAAAAAAAATTAAGAATATTTGTTTTATTTTTCATTAGATATGATTCGATATTTTATCTAGTAAGTTTCAACTCTAAGATAAATGTTATTATAAAAAAAAATGTACATAGAAACAAAGTATAAGACAGTTGGTTAATATAAATTATAATATATCAACATATACACCAAAATACTACATATTTTATACACTACAGGTAAGATACTTTTTTTTATAGTACCCGTTTAGTTTTTAGCAATAAAAAAGTTTTTCTTGTTTTTGATGATTGGATCCGTCCCTGGTTTCGTTAAGTGACCTAGCTGCAGCTGTGGCCAGACTTACAACTGTACTAAACATTAATTGTAATATATTATGTTATAATAATATAATCTAATATTAAACAACACTTACATCGTACAATAAATTCCGTACAATGTCTTATGTTATAAATATGAACTCTTTTCCGTGTTGTGTGTTACACATAAAACAAGAAATACAAATTCGAGATAAGAACAAACGATAATATTATAATAATTTAAAACTGTACGCTTACAATAACATAAATATTAAAGAATCACACACACACAACATAATGTAATGTAGTAGTAAATACAGAATATATCAATCATAGTATAAAGTATAAAAAAAGAGAAAAACCAAAGTTGTGAGCTCAAAAAGAATGTAAATGTATAAAAGATTAGAAAAACCTGGGCCGATTGCCGGATGAGCGGTCTCTGGGGAAAAATATATTATATGATAATTGAAATTACCAAATGTGAAGTGTGCGGGCACTCGGGAAAAAGAAAGGAACAGAATTTGGATTTCGAAAATCGGACGAGAGACATTTGCACTTGCTTGAGAACACCCGCATCACTGTCACGTTTTGGCATGGGAGAAGTAGGTATAAGAAAGTGACCTCGAAAACGGCCGTGGACATCATTCGGGAGAAGAAGAAAACGCCGGAGTTTCCCGGTGATAATTATTGTAATAGTTTGGTTGATAGCGTCTGTAATATTCGTTTGGAAGGTACTCGTGACTGTTATACAACCGGTTCATGTTGATGGCGGACAGGTCTTGCAAATTTGGATGTGACGAATGATAATCGTAGACGGGGTCCCGGCGGTGATGCATTGGGAATCTGTTCATTGAACGTGTCTAAAAAAAATATAATAAACAGTTGAAAAAAAGATTTATATTTATGGCCAGGTGGCAGATTGAACTTAAATTGCATTCACTTAAGACTGTTATACCATATAATATATGTTCAAATACGGATGTACCGCACTATACATTCTCAACTGCCTAACGTTGGTCTGCTCTATTGGTCTTCGATACGTGATATGATGGATGATACAAGTAGTGTAATTATAGATAAACTCACAAATTGGGAGAGTACCGAGAAACAAACATTTTTAAATCGTTTAAAAGATATGAAGCCGATGAAAAATTAAAGACACTACTACCTGTTTCAGAAGACTATGAAATAATCCTTGACAACATCAAGTCCAATGCCATTATGCTAGACAAATATACTAATCAGATACTTGTGGCTTTACAGCCAGCCGACGGCGCATTTTATTCACGTTAACTTAATGTTTCGTTTTATGATACTTAGGTATACATAAGCTTTTCTTTAGGGGGGAGACAGTGTTCAATAGTTTATCATGTAACGCAATATATGTAAAAAGGTAGACAGTTTTTCGAATTTCCGAAAGTGTCAAATCAACATCCGATCAACGTTAACGACATGCGATAGTATTATAAAAAATTCTACATAATAATATTATGTAGTTGGGTAGGTTTAAGGGCGGACAGTAGGCACTGGAAGAGTCGAGGAAATGCAAAAATGCTTACAGTTTTCACTTTGAGGTCTTTCACTATCGACTTCAGATTTAGTTGTTGTGTTTTTGTTTGAGGCTCTTTAATCTCTCATCATATAATTTAAACATTTTGTAAGTACATTTTTAACAAAAATTGTTTACTGTTTAATCGGATAAAGTATAGAAAGGTTTTGGAAAACTTGGTCCATAAAATAGTCCATATTTTAACTGATAAATAATGTTTAAACAGTTCTGTATACAAATGTAGCGAACAATTTTTAAAATGCTCGTCTCTAAAATCTTAATTTCATACATATTATACCAATTTTAAATTTAGCAAACGATATTATATAACATTAACTAAAATCTATAATACGTCGAGCACTTATAAGATTAAAGATTATTTTCTCGCTTGGCTTATAGTTTATACACATTTTTTATCGGTCACTGTTATTTCGTTTTATCACACACATCTATGTTACAATTCCCAAACTTTTTCTTATCTTCTAATTCCTTATTCTGTTTAACTTGGTCACTTCACACTTCCATCTCGCTTATTCAATGCCCAAAACTCACTACCATACACCGTTGCTGGCGTTTCTACAGTTTCGTGTAATTTACCTGAAATTCTAGTTGGTCTAGTTGATCAACTCTTTTTGATCGCTGGCTTTAATGGTTAAACAATATACCTGTTGCCTCATTCTATCCTGTACAATCATACTTTATTTTATAGTCGTCACATATTGATAAGTTCCTCCATTTCCTTGCTTCATTCTATTTCCAAACACAATGCACTTTCTATCACCTTCTACCATACTATATTCTAATATCTACTAATCCATGCTACACTATCTCAAGCTATTTTTCTCCAATGCTTTTCAGAGTTCCTTCGCGGCTCCATTGACAACCTCAAAAACAGTTGTACTTACCCGCATTGATGAGTGTCGCATGGAATAAGCTGGTAGGCAGACGGGTGGAGGTGGTGGCGGTGCAGCCAACACTGGATCCGGCGAGGCTCCTGGCATGACCGTGTCTAACGTGTACGGCTCCGGGGACCATCCTACAGTCAGCCATCTTCCTAAGGCGGACACACTGGAACAGCAAGCATCGGCTGCGGCCTGTCTGAGACCCCGGTGCAAAACTAGGAATAGCATAGCATTCACGAACGAATGACCATTAGCCACGTGAAGGGTTACCTGTAATAAATTAGGGAAAGAAATAATAATATAATAATTATATGTAAATTTACCGATGATCAAAACCGCAGCAATAGTGAACGTTGATTATTTTAATCTCAATAAAGAATTATACCAAGAAACATAAAAATGCTTTTAATTCTTCTTTGATAGCTCGAATATTTTAATTTCACCACGTACAACTTTTATACTTAAGAACTTAAGCTTTCTGATTATTAAGGTAGAGGAATTTTTCAAGACGATCCAGCGGAACTAATTAATCTTAACCGAAGCGATTCATTAACTAATCATATATTTATATGTCACAATATTAGACTGTTAGTACCAACAACAGAGTGGGTTTCAGTGGAAATGTATACATGCCGTGTTTAAAACGTTTGCTAGAAGCTTAATGCCTTTACATGACTGAAATAATTAATTAATTCTTTTAAGACTATAATATTTTATCTAACTTTTCAGGATACGCGTATCCTTAATAATCTTTAATGTTTTTAATTTCTTTGACATATACATGGAGACATATTGCTGAATAAAAAAGTAATGGCTTATAAAAGGTGTTAGCCTAAATAACAGGTCATATGTTATTAAATATTTGAAATTAGATTTTTTAGTTTTAATGCGTCGCTGAGGAGGTATTGTTTTTAAACAGATATGTTTTTGGGCTGGATACACAACTGAAATTTGTGAAGAGTTTTTGTGTCCCGGTATTTTATATTCTTACCATCTACAGATTCACTTAATTTTAGAGTGATTTCATTACTCAGTTGTGATAAGTTCTACAAACTAATTAGACTACACAGATGTCATTATGTTTCTTGTCCACTATGCTCGACCCCACTGTGTTGGCTAAAAAAAAAATAGCTTTAGCTATTCGCTACGAAATTAACTAAAGCAGCTATGTGCATTGTTTTAGGATAATATTATGATCAAATTAAGTTACAGCGGTATAATATTTTATACATTTTTACTAAGACACACTTAGTGTTGAATTTATTAGAGTAACCTAGTTATTTTACACGTCCCCTTCAGTAGTTTTCATTGTTCAACATTTGCATTATCTTATACTTGACAAAGTTGTTTTATACTAATGGCGTATAAAGTTAATTTAATAGCAACTAAAATAAAGTAGGTAAATTAAACATTCTAACTCATCTACAATACTGGTTGGATTTGTTGAACTTACGATCAATTAAGAATAAATTGTTGTTTTAAATATTTAAACTTATGAAAATCACTTTTGCTCCATCTGTTTTTTAAAATTTTGTTGCAATCACTATTACAATAAAGAGAAAGGCTTAAATACTTTTTTAGAATATTTTTTTTTTATTTTCATCGAATATTGGTTAATTTCATATTTTTTTTAAAATTAATAATATTTTAATTAGAATACCTACAAATCTATTTTAGGTTTTAATTTACGATTTCTTTTCATTACATCATATAAAAACATTACATTTTTTAATTAATTCCGATCATTTTTCTAGGTTAAACTTTAAACAACGTGTACGGTTACAAACTTTATGAACATATATTTTTTTGGGTTTAAAAATGTCTAATATCCATACACAGAATGATTGTGTATCTATTTTTGTTTGCTATCAAATATTATGATTTTGAAAAGTCCTTTTGTCCGTTTGCATGCATGCAAACAAGGTCAAGTGTTATTATTATAGTTTAACAATTTCTTGTGGATTGGATATAGACTGCTACAGTTTATCTCTGTGATACGATTGCACGGAAGCAGAAAAATTATAAAAAGATAGACGTTAATGTAATCTTAAACGCGGGCAACTATAAAAAGAAGGAAAATAAATTGCCAAGAAAGCTTTTAGACATATTTCACTCTAAAAGCATTTATTCCAAGTCTATTAATTTTTAATTTTCAAAAATACATGTCGGTTAGAAATGGCTCCTATAGAGCTGCGTTGATCGATCTACGGTTCTTCGATTTACCGCTATAAGTTAATTTTATAAAAAAAAAAAACTGGATTCATTTGGTCTCTGTGGTTTATTATGGGGCGAGGAGAGTCGAGGAGAGATGATTTACTTTGGCACGTAAAACGGAAGGGACGTGTACAGGAATCACACAGACCCGGATTATATGCGGGTGGGCCGCAAAAAAACGTAAAAAGGTCGTTTCTTTATTTTTTTTATTACATTGTTGCCCGGTAAAAGGAAATTGAAGAACATAAGTACACCGTGTTAGAGACAAACTAAATTAAATTAGAGAGCCTACACACTATCTGTTTCGTTTTAATAGGATTCAATAGCCAACACAAAAATTATTTTTAAAAAAACAAATAAATATATATATATATATATATATATATATATATATATATTTGGGTAAATTTTATAAGGAATACGTGGTTACCTCTGCAAAAGACATGTTCGATACCGGAAACTTTAAAAATGGCACAAGTGCTACATTAAAATTTTCTTAATGGACACCACCAATTAGTTTCTTGATGTCACTTACTAATGCATTACCATCGCGTGGACGAAAATAGTATTTTTTTTAGTTTTAGAAAACATATTTTTATACGTAATAAATTTTCGATCGACCACTGAAAATGTATGTTGATTATTTACAACAACAAAAAAATTACTAAAATCATTACGTTACTAAATTTTGACTTTAAACATTTGTAGGGCTCTAAAAAAAATATAAAAAAGTAAGTATTGAGACATTTTATAAAATTAAAAAAATTACATAAAGAATTTTTAAAATGAAAAAAAAATAGCAAAAAGAATTATTATGAATGAATATGACGTGAAAAAAAAATTAACTCTTTATTTAAGTCTCGAAAAATCATAATACATTAGGGTTGAGAATAGGATTTTTGTTATACCATCATGTTTACCTTTTCTTGAGTTTTATTACATAATTGTTATTATTACTTTTTTATATGAACGTAGAAGTACAATGCTTCAATCGCATGACTTGTCAATTTATTGATCACTTGTTCATTGCAGTTTGTTAATAAATGAATTACTTAAAAAATCATCAAGTCGTCTTTCCAACCTGGTAATTTTTTTCTCAAAAAGCCAACCGAGATATCTTATTAGTTAATTGAGGGGAGGGGGCGGGGAGAAAGTAATCTTATTGTCCTCTCTACTTATTTCACCCCTGTTCTACCCTACGAATTGCAACACCGATGGTGTTACTTGGCCGATATTGTAATTCTTACCTCGTAGTCCGAATGGTTGCCAGATAACGGGTGTTGCACCAATGTGACAAAGAACAAAGGTCCCCAGAATATTACATATGCAGCGGTGATCACCACGAACATTTTGACTTTTTGAACGCCTTCTCTTTCGATGCGCAACAAGTAGTTTCGCATTCTCTGGTGTTCTTCAACCGCGCCCAAGCTCCTCTGCAAACAAAACAATGTGTTGTGGGTTATTGTTGTGTTTACAACCACCACGAAAAACAAGTATAGTCTAAACAAATTATTGTTTTAAACTATTATAGAGGTTATCCGGCCGGCATCTGTGTACACAATGTTAACGAAATGATTACTCTATGCTTTATAATAATATGTATAGTATAAGTATTGCGTATACTTTATACTAATAATTATGTTGCCTAGCGCAAGAAAAAGGTACTCGTAAAAAAATGTCCCTTGTAATCCATTCCAAATGTTTTTTTTTTTTTTTTTTAATGACGTTTATTAGAAAATTTACAATCTCTACAGCTATATGTACAATAAGTAATTATGCGATGAGAAACAAAAAGAGACAATGACAGGGCGGTGAGGAGGAGGCTCACATTAGAGCCACCTTTACATAAGACATTTTAAATTATATTCCAAATGTTATTAAAAATAATCAATTAGGCCTTATTGCTAGTACTCGATTACCAGTAATCTGGTTAAGTTTCTTATCTTGTTCTCTCTCGAAATTATGTAAAATACTTAAAAAATGAATACATTTTTTAGATGGCAACTTCAGAAAAGTACATAATATATAATTTCTACATCTCTTTAGTAACATTTTTCTTATAATTTTACCGCTTTCGTATTATTTATTACTAGTTATTGATTTTTCCCCTGAAATCAGTGATCGCCCCGAACCCCCCACTCTGCTGACAAACGTGGTTTGAATTTTGTATGGTGTTTGTTATAAATTATAATGATGTCTGTACTGTGGGCTAGTTTGGAGTTGTTCTTGATTCAATGAACACTGATTTCAGCTTTAAATTGATATGATTGTAATATTATTGCTGGTCTCAGTGTTGGTTTTCGTTTTCTTGTCATGTCGGTTTTGGTGTTTTGGTGAACTTTTGATACAACTGTATTAGTATTAGTAAGTTTTTCCACTAAAAAGTTTACAATATTGCTATTAGGTGGTCTGGTCGAACTTTATAATGTATATATATATACAATGCTCCTGAATCGACACAAAACAGGAATATTACATTATATATATTGAGGCGATTCGAGTGCACTATCGAAAACTATAAAAACAAACTCGCCGTAAGGGACTAATAGGATTAGTACACGTGCATTAACCATCACATAGTAAGCGGTTGATTTGATTTTCTGTTGTATAGGAATAATATATTCCACGTGTTGCAGATATTCTGTCCTTGCAAAACATTTGATAACAATTACAATCATATACGTACCACCTTGGTAGAGTTAAGCAAATTTGTAATGGAATCATTTTAATAAAACCTATATAAATAATGCCCAAAGCTGTTTATGGGGGTTTTTTTTTTGATACAGTTTTTCAACCATTTTATATTGATGTAATTATTACTTAATTTTCTACGGATTACCAAAATTTAAGAAGAAAGAAACAGAAGGGGCGAAGGTAGGTAATATTTGACATAATTTAATTTAGGTGTCATTTTAAATATGACCGATAAATTAATTTCAAGTTTTCTAGTTGCTTTCTAAGTAATTTTTATGTTGCGGTGATGAGTTATGGCAGAAGTTTGATAAAAATGAATTTTGTAGCAGTCACTTTCTAGCGTATCTTTTGGATGGATTACAATTGCTTTATTTATGGAAAAGTTACAACTTTCATTTGGGGACAAAAGAGCAATTTTTAAGTGAGCATTAGAAAATTAGTTAGATTCGTTGGAAAAACTAAAGAAAAATAAAATTATAAACGCGTAAAACTCAATTTTGAAAACAAAAATAAAAAATGGGCCTTTAGAGATATGTTAATCTTTATCATTTTTCTTAAAATCGGTTTGGCATGATGCTTTGGCAAGCGAGTTCGCGATTAGTCTTGTATACAATTTGGCTTCTTTCCGTCCCCCTTAACAACTACTACGAAACAATAATAGTTTCATTTTTTTTGTTCAATTTTCACTTACCCTGGGTCCATTCCGAGGATCCGAATTATAATTGTTACCAGTAACGTTGACAAGGGTGGTTACCAGGCCGGCTACCCTAACGGCCTCCACGTTTGCCTTGGTCAAGTCCCTGTGTAGCTTGCGCAAGTGAAATAGCGTTAACATTACACACAGCAAGTTGATGATAATCCAAAGTGCGTTAAGTATGTAATGTCTGAACGGACCGTGTACCAACGGACAGCCAGGTCGATCCCTTGTCACCTCGGAGCCGGCCGCCAGGGCACCGCTCATGAAAGTCGGTCCCAGATTGATTGTTATTGCTGCAAACCATATCATGAACGTACCGAAGACAACGCATTGCGGCGAGTCCAACAGTAACGGCACTGAGGAGACCTAAAGAAAAAAAATAAACCCAATGTTTACAATGTAAATGCCATAACGTTATTCTGGTCAGGTGGCACTGCTGAGAGCCTTCTTATTCTTATATTATAGTCACCATGTCTTTGTCATCAGACTTGCTGATTATACATATTTTGTATAGATTGTAAATAAAGACAATTTTTAATAAAAAAAAAAAAAATGCCATAACGAGATATTCAGAATTGCGAAAAATGTAATTAAATACCGAAATAAAACTAAAACAAAGTGAATAGCGTAATAATTGAAAAAAAGACAAAATTTGATTAGAATAATTTTAGATTCGATACGAAGCTTAGAAGGTTTTGATTTTGCAATGATGTGTTTTTATTTTTATTTTTGTTTGTACCCATAATGATGTTGGATTTCTCTATGTAGCAAATCTAGATTGGAAATCTTACCCAAAAAGGTTTTTAATAAGTTAAAATAACCTAGTCGTTAGAAAAATATAATGAAAACAGTTAATAAGTGATTTTGTACAAATTATAAATTATTATTCCAAAGTAAATAGTTTACGGATAGTACTGTATAGTCAAAATATTGTTCTTTATACCCTTTTGGTTTTGACACTTTCATAGTAATTCTCAAGTGGGCTAAGTTGACAGCCGAAGGCACTTCACTTGTACTGTACTTACCTGATATCCGTCTTCTTCGTCATCTTCAGGAAACACAGGGGAATCGTTGAGCACGATGGTCAACATATTTATGGTGGAGACGGTTACCAGTAGCAGAAACGCCGTTTCGACCAGACTGCATTTTTTTACCGGTACGCAATAGAGCAAACTGTGCGCCAACGGTATCAAAATAGCTGCTCTGGCGCAGTCTACCATGGCCTGGTGGAACAACAAACCCTGCGACCACCTGCCGAATGATATAATATTAATATGTATAATAACTTTAATATAGTATGTAAACACAATACATAACAAAAAAAAAACAACATGTGTCATATTTATTGATTGTATATATCTCTATGTTAAGTTATAACAAAAGCTTTGTAGGTGCTAAGAAGAATTATAATTTTTTTAACTAGTATAAGCTTAGTTAAAAAAAAAAGTATAAACAGAAAGTTGGTCACAGAATTCACCACTCTTAAATATTCACTATTATTAAATTCTATCCAAAATATGGCAAAATGGCAATCATGGTCTCCTGTCCACAGTCTTCAATATTATCCTCTATACATATTAATACTCATACTATATTTTTTGTTATTGTGTCAACTTAATAATAAACTTATAATTTTATTGTTAATTGATAAATTATTTTGTAACTGTTGAGCTGTAATATTTGTTTTATACAAAAGCTAATTAACATAATATATAAACACATAGTAAACACACATAAAGTAATTTGTAGAATTCAATTAAATTGCTTTTAATTTTCCAGTAATTTTAATCGAAAATGTTTAACTTATTTATTCACGTTAAAAAATAAAAAAAAATATGTCAATATTCAGTATTATATTGGAGTTGCAACCCAGGAAATTAATTACGAACTTTCCGGTATTCTCCCGTTGGATCAACAGTTATTTAATTTGATTTATTTCGTGTAATGGTAGCGATAGTAAGTTTAATACAGAGTGGGTCAAAAAAAAAATAACGAATAGTTTTAACCATAAAACACTACTATTACTTACTTTTGAATATTTCACAATATCTATGTTTTTACAGCACAAAAATGAAAATGCTTTAAAACGTTATGAAGATTTAACACATGTTTATTTTTGTGGTGCCTGATTAAATTAATATGAAGAAAAGTTGCTAATAAACAGTGAAAAAAGCTAAGAAATAAAATTGAAGAAAATATAGTATAGTGAATATTTTATCATGTTTTCCTTAATCTCGGTGTCAGTATTTTAATGAAATCAATTAGTTTTAATTTTTTTTTTAATTACTAAAAGTTTATCATAACCACGAGGAGACTAATAAGAGTAGGTATTTGTGGTTGCATTATTAATCGGAAACGATTTATCGACAGTAGGGATTTATGTAAACCGTAAGATGCCAAGAAAAAGTACACTGCAGTATTATCAAGGGTGTATTTTGAACGGTCTACAGTGGCCTCATTCTGTACCAAACGAAAAATACAAAACGGTTAAGTCGCTGTTCTATAAACTTTTTTGACTTAGTAATAATCGTCGTTGGTGATCTTGGTTTTAAGCGTAGCCCGTGAAAAGTTGTGCCCAAGTTTAAACTTGCGCCATAACGTTAACGAGACGAGACGAAAGGTTTGTTTATTTCGAAATTACTATATAGTTGTAGGTAGACTTTAAATTGCCACCGAAACATAAGTGTTTTTGTTTTTATAGTCACACATAAACCTTTCCCGGTAAAAATAGCTACTTGGTTGGTTTTCGTCAGTATAATAATATCCTCTATTATTTTTACACATCCATTCTTAGGAAGCTTTTCTTTGTCACAACAGCTGCTCGCGCACTACCTGGCTTTGCACCTTATCAAACGCGCTTTTTCCAGGTCTTTAACTGCTGTACTCAAAATTTGTCTTCGACCTTAACTTTGGTTGTATGCCGAGACGACGTTATGAGAAGGTTTGACGACACCATAACAGCGACATAGAGAAAATGGCCAATGTGAACCACGACGACGAGTGGGAAGGAAGGCAGGTCGCTTAAATGATAAATGATGACCGGGTTATGATAGATCGGATTTTAAGCACCGCCGTTGGTTCGTCATTGTGTCTGGTGGTAGTGTTTTGATATTGCGCCATTGTAACGGTGACACACAAGAAGCAGCCCAAAGGAATGACCGTCGATTGTCTTGAAAGCAAATAAAATTTGTGGCAAAAATGTACGTTTAAATTTTTTTTAAAAATCCAAACGTGGAGTGCTATGCGCGGCATTCGTCATTCCAGGCTATAGTACGTTTGTTGTAGAACAAGACTAATTATCTTTGGATCGTTACACTTATGTGTACTTTACTGTAATAAACTACACCGATAAGGTTTACATCATCCGTCTTCCGAGTACAACCGCAGCTACCATTAAATGTTAACGTTATATGTATTAGTCGACTCCGTTGCTCGCTTATAAATAATTTATGAATGGAAAGTGGAAACCCTTTTGCCGAACATTTCGGGTACGTTTCAAAGGATAATACAAGCCTATCGGATCCCATCGACTTTGACGAGCTCTGCGTATAAACAGTAATAATTATCGCGACAAATTGAAAGGAAGACGTAGTATTAATGATAACCAGACTTACACTGATAGTACTAATTTCTAGCTAAATGTATAATAAAAATAGATTTATAACATTTAAGAAACATTATTCTAAATTAACGGACTCGCCTGTACTTGTACCACACCTTAAGATAATAGAATACAGGTAAAGTGTGAGCGTTGCTTAGAGAAGTTTACGAGAGGTTTATTTTCAGAATCGCTGTATATAATTCAATTAAACGGGCAAACGGGCAAATGGTCTATTTAAGCGGTGATCGATATCCCTGTTCGGTTCATCAGCCTACTGTATGAACAATCCACGGTTTACAGTTGTAAAAAAACGAAGGTCAGCAATATGATTTGTCCAAAGCCTGTGTTTCTAGTGGTCTAGTAATAAAATTGGTCTTGAGATGTCGGAGAATAATAATAATGTGACGTGCAGACAAATATATAAAGCGACCAGGTGAAAATGTATTAAAAAAAAACATTTTTAAGGTTTTAAAACAAGCTTACACAGTATAGGTGTTAGCAGCTGTTGTCGTTCTAATCATGACTTATGTTGTCTTAGTTATACTACTGTATAGTTTTATAATTGAAACAAATGAGACATCAGGAATGTAAGTTTTAAAAATATACTAAACGTATAACTAATCCACTTTTCCGAGATAAATGTATTTAATAACAATTTTAATAGTATAATACTGGTTATGTAATGTGTTACTATATATGTTGCAAAATTAATTTTTTAAGTATAATTATATTTATATAATACTAAAAAACCACAGCGTCGGACTAGCTCAAAAGGGCATACTGTGCTTTTTAATTTGATTAAAGAGCTCACCATTAAAAAAAAAATAATTCCTCTCAATTCCATGTAGGAACCCATTTTATTTAACGGTTACTCCGTAAACATTGCAAATGTCTTGAACAAGTAATAAATGTACTGTTCGTCGCAAAATACCCTCTTTCTCTATGAAATACAACTAATTTACTCAAGAATAGATTGACATGCAAATAAAAATACAACGATTTAACTTAAACAGGATCACAAAAGATGCATCGAGGTTTGGGAGTAAACAACGGAGAGGAATTGGCTCAAGATAGAGTGGAGGCATTTGGTTGTTGCAGCAATGGACCTGAATGGCCCGTAAAAGCCAATCATGAAGAAGATAATTAAACTTAATTTTAATGGTTTAAAAATACCTTTTTATTATTTACTGTTTTAAATAATAAAATCATTCGTTATTCATAATTAAAAATATTATATTGTTTAAGTACGATTGTATTGGTTTAAACCAATCTAAATAACTTTTTTTATTTTAAAAATTGTTTCTATTTTTATTAATCAGATTATAATTTGTTATTTTCTACTGTGAACAATTTGAACTCAAATGTGTACTTATAGTAGTTTAATAATATTTTGTGCTACTATATTATAGCGTTGCACGTGTTGGATCATTAGATGGCTGCTGTGATGGACTTTACAGCAAAATAACGTACTACTAAGTCACAATATAATATAAAACTAAGTAAGAGGATGATATCTTTGATGAAATTACTGCTTCTGTACGCATCAAAATGTAACAAATAAATGAGTTTAAAAAGTCACTGTTATTATACGAATAGTTTTGAGTTGGACCTGAACTGGAAAATAATATGGTTACCTCAATTCCGATTCGATTTATGTTGTACATGATTTATTACATCTACCCTCGGGTCATTAGAACCCAATTTGTCAGGACTTAAGGAAAAAGTAATATTTTTTGATAATAAATAATAGCTTCTTAAGTTCCCCGACATATTTTCAAGTTCTTAATCTTGCCATTTTCACATTAATTAATGTGGTAAAACCATAGACTTAAATACTTGACACGAATCGATAGAACTCCCCAATTAGATTGGAAAATCTATAAGTACGTCATAATTCATAATAATTATGTTAATCTGTGTATATTAGAATTTCAACGTGACTTTAACACCAATTGGAACATTTAAATGTCGGTTTCAAAAACTATCTACGAAAAAACATATTATATTGCACTGAAAGTAAGGTCATAATTATATTTTGTTTAAATTATGAGTTTTTCAATTCAAATAAGAGATTTTTTGTTGTTGTTAAATTTTTAACTGTTGTTTTTTACTTATAAAAACAATATATTTGAAAATAATCAACATTACTAGTTTCAGCGCGGACTTCATTACGCCTTGCCGAATGATAGCTTGCATTTGTTTAATACAAAGTGTACTTAAATAAACATCAAATGTAAAAAAATATAAATACAAATCTATAATTCCAAATAATCTCATTGCAGTAAGAAAAAGTTTCATAGAAACTGCAGTTATAAAAATAAAAACGACGGTTATGGTTCAAATTGAAAACATTTTCTTGAAGAGTTGTATCGAGAGTTTAAAGAGTAAAAAAAAAGTCATGAAGAAACCAGTTGTTGGCAAGTTTTAGTTTTATTGTTATCTAGTTTATTTTTAAGAACTTTTACATATGTTTGCTACACAATGCAAATTGTTTAAATACCTCGTCGTTTCATTTGAAAATTCATGATGTTGTTTAGGTATAATAAGTATATTATAGATTATGTACCTACAATAAAATCTACCTATACAATAATAGCTAACCTAACCTACCTATAATAAAAACAAAAATTACTTAAACCGACGACTAAAGACTATTGACTATATTTACGGTACACCATGCGGTGTGATGGTGTTATTAGAGCGATACATTTTTTTTATTTAGGTTTTCGTTTGAATACTTTTCAACCACAAAAAACTTGGATGTCGACGTGAGCGGTTCACGGACGGAACAAATCAGACGAACTCGTTGTAAATTCCTCTTTTTATGTAAAATTATTACTAATCCTGCCTTAGCTCTGACACAGACACGCATAATACACAAGCACATATTATAGTTTAGTACCACAACAGCAGCTGTAGTACTGACGTGAAGCTTTTATTATTTATTTTCACACACGTGCTCCGTGCAAAGTTCATGTATTGAATTTTGGAAAAATAACCGTAAGTGTCTGCACATAAATAAATGTATATATTTTTTTATATAAATAAAACGGCGCAGGTAACGAGAAACGTGCGCCGAAAATATAAATGGGACGAGCGTGTTTTGTATAATGCATATCGAATAGAGTTTCAGTGACAAGCGAGGTGTACAGGGTGATCAATTAAGGCTAAGACACTCGTTTCCTCATAAACAGCGACTTTGTAGTCGTAACCGACTTTATAAGTTAAAAATAATTTGCTTAAAATGTTTACTGGTCGATAACCGCAGTTTTGGATAAACACTTTTGAAGTTTTTAATGTTTGAAACTTAGGACGCGACGTGGAGTTTGTTAGAGTGATGTAAATAATTAGTAATTTTGTAATATTGTATAGTTATGTAAAATGTTTTGCAAACTGAAAAACTACAAAATTATGCAATTATTTTAAAATAAAATGAGTGTCTTCTTCTTAATGAATCACCCTGTATAAGTGAACAAACACGCGGTTGCCATTTTGACATTGCGGCAAATAGGCTTTCTGTCGCAAACGGAATTAGCTCCGTTTGATATTGCATACATTATAATATAAACCGAAACTGCCATAGCATACCTTTGCTATATATTTGCACACCAATCATTGATATTGTAAAGTGGATATGCTTTCGAGTTTCGTGTACACTGCTCATCGTCCACGGTTCGCTCGCCAAATAATAATCACTACGTATCATCATTAATTTAAGCAAACACCAAGCCCCACCCCTCTTTGTTAATTTGGCTACTCAGAGTTACCCAGAGTTCATAGTATAAGCCCGGGAAGGGCACTAAGTCCTTGAGTAAACGGTTGAACTTCATGAGATATTTAGAAATAGGTTCATCTCTTCTTATTCAGCATCTTGTTTCGTTCTAGAACTAATACTCAAGTGCCCATTAATTAGACGGGGAAAATATCCCAAAGCAAGCGAGTCTGGTTGAATAAATATTACCTAATTTTGCTTCGATGCGAACACTGCAAAAACTGGACAGTTAACTTTACTAATTGTTCTGGAATCTTCTCGAAAGTGTGTGTTTATAATCATTTTTTCTATTAAACTAATAATTTACATTCAATTGACAGGTGTGTGATTAATTAAGCCAAGAATTACAACAGAAAAACAACTAGAAAGTTAAAAAATTATTGAAACTCGAGTGGGGTATTATATTTACCCTATTTACATGACTTGAGGTTACTCCTACTACCGAACTACAAACACCGGGAGTCTACGAACTTCAGTGTACCTGTGGTCATTCATACATCGGTCAAACAAAACAACCTATTGAAATACGTGCAAGAGAACACGAAAAAGACGTGGACTACAAAAGAACTGGAAAATCGGGTAAACTAGAAAATTCAAAAAATTAAAAACTAATTTAATGTTTTGGTAATTTAAGAGGTCCGTTTTTGAAACGGGCATTGAGATATTGTATATTATTGTAGAAAGAGAACATTTTTAGGTAACTTTTTAAAGAACTAAACGCGGCAAAAAGAAAATATGAAACACCACTTTTGGAAAAAAATTAAAAATCACTAAAAACTAAGTTTATACCAACACATTATTGATATTCAGCTTAACCTTTGCAATAATAATATCGTAATTTTAATTTATTCATTAAACCCATTTTGTAGCTAGTCAGATAGCTTTAATATGTTGCTGCCTTGGTGTAGCTGCTACAAACCATTATATATTTTGTCTGCAGCGGTGGTCATAGATTCTTGTTTCCAAAATTACTACTACCAAAAAATAGGAAGTTTTAGGATGTAGCTAGTTCTCACGCACATACACGAGTCGACTGTCGGACGACCTGGGCCATAATTTATCTGTATTAGGCGTATTATTATATATTGTAATAACTCCCTAACAATATGACGATTATGATTATTATACAAACTTGAGCATAAACTTTGTCGGTTATAAGGTTTTTTTTTTTTGCAACAGCAATAGTAAAACAATAACCAAGCGGAAAACGGTTTCGGTTAACGTGTGGTCGGTGGGTAGGCGTATACATGTATAGGTACGCTTACACAAAGTGTGTAAATGGTATCCGTTGTGGCCAGGCGCGAACCAGAGTGACGGCCTCGGTGGTTTTGTTGTGTGTAATTAATGGCTGCCATTGTCAAGATTGAATGACGTGTCGCCGTGTGTATAAGAAACGAGATCATATACTGTAGACGTTGTGTGGATGCAGCGGACCAAAGCGATAATAAACGACACGGGAAGATCAGTTGAGAACAATCGCTTTTGCAGTGAGCAAACCTCAGATTCGACTCAAAGACTCCACACATCGAGTCACACAGAAAACAACCATTATACAGATCATTAATAGTTTCATGGTTTTTACTGGAGTGAGTAAAAATAAAATAAAAAAATCTACATAAAAAGAATATTTGTTGACTACTATTAGATTAATATCAGTCTTCTTCTTCACCTTATTCCATTCATAACACATGCATTTTATTGTTTCTTAGTCCACTCCACATATCTCCATGTTTTTTTTTTCATGATATTATAATATATCTTCGATCGTGTCTCTTCCAATATTTTTCTTCACGGATTTACTTTTTTATTTTCCTCCCTTGTTATTATGCCCAAATCGTCCCAATTTAGTCTCGACCTTTTTCGCTGCCATTGGCATAACTAAAAACATTTATTTTAAATACTTAATAATTGTCTCCAGCCTACTCACTTTACGTGACATACATCTCAACACGTTCATATTCTATCATTTCGTCTTATTTTGCTGGTCTCACTAATGTATATTAATCGATTTTCCTTTTACATTTTTCTGTTGCCTCCTTACACTTTGTCTGACCACTATATAAGCTCTACTATTTAAAAACGAATTACCTCCTCAAGTGTTTGTTGAATACGATTAGAGCCATTAGCACCGAGTTGGCTATTATTCCTAAGCCGACCAACGTGAGCGTAATGGTAGCCTCGGATTCGCCTTGTGGATGACATTGAAAAGCTCTGCTGCTGCCGTTGTACAGGGTTCCGTTGGGACCAGGACCTCTTAAATTCGGTGCGCCGATCATGACAACCTGTTAAAATATAATAACAAAAATACAAAATTTGTTAAAATATAATATGTTAATGTTAAATCAAACAATACATTTTCTATAATACATTTTCTAGATATATCTAAAATTACAAATTATAACGTTTCTGATAACAACTGTCTGTTTGTGTTTAAAATTTATTATTAGTTGTAAGTTATTAAAAATAGGTACATACAGATTTAGTACCACCGGATAATATTAATAAACTTTTACCACTTTAATGTATCATAACCATCAATTCGGGTTTTAATATCGTCGGTTCCAAAAGTTAAAGATTTTCTGAAATTTTTAAAATCATCCTGCGTCGCGCTAAATTAAAAAAAAAACACCCTATTATAAAACTAATACAATTTCAATTTCACGTCGAATTTAAAACTTATTTTGCAGAAATATTTACTGCACAAATAATGTTAAAAAGTTGTAAGCCGTAAGACAACTGACAAGTGATAAGCAGTAATTAAACGACGACGGTTAAATTATAAAAAAAAATGTAATGCTTTTGAAATATAGTTTATATGATATTACAGTAGGATGTATAGTGCGAATAGCATCTTTTATTTTTTAATGAGCTCTTGCCACTGTAATAGGAAAGGTCACGCCGAAAAGCTTTTACGCAGACGCCGCATCGCGACAACACCGGCATTCGAGGATTCTTTTGCCGTTTAACAGAGTTAACTGGTGCAGGAGCTGCCAGTAGCTTTTTTTTTTTAGTCTCAGTACTATGGCACTATAAGTGCTCGGTGACTCGATAACAAAAGGACGAAGAGAAAAGCTATTGCAGTAGACGGTTTTCAGCTGGAAAAACGGATAATATCGAATAAACGAAAAAAAGAAAATCATTTTATAAGCGATATTTTTACATTCTGTGTTAAATGTACATACGTGATGAGTTCAGTGTATTCAAAGTTTGTGAGCTTGGCGCGGAACTTGGGCAATACACTTTAAAAAAAACCCGTGTTATTGTGTTGGCTTTTTGACGTGTAAACGGCAGCGTTTATGTATGTGTAAAGGTCAAGTGGGATCATTGTAAACAAACGAGCCAAAGCACGTACACGCGGTATTTAATTTTAATTGAAAGGGTTTAATTACGAGAATCCAATTAAACAAAAACCCGCAAACTGTTGATTTTTTTTTCTTATAAAAAATAGGTTGCAAAAGCTGAGCATCGTAACTCGTACGCACAGGTCGCGGCCGAATATAATATACACCTTTATCAAGAACTAAAACCCTTGCCTGAGATGTTTTTTTTTTTAAAAACAGCAGATGTTGACCATAAAAAAAAGAACTTAAAGCTTTTACACAATCACTTCTGCTCGAGCCTGTGTTGCTTTTGTTCACCGTATCGTTCGAAATATGACATACATAGAATATGTTCTATTTTTATGTTAGTTTAAATTTATAAACTTAAAATCAACAAAAAGAAAATGTTGAAATGAATGACAACCCAAGATGAAACATTTCGTGATCAACATTTTCATGTTTTTAAGTTTTAACTTTAATAATTTCCCCTGCTTTTTTTAACTAAAAAATTATGTAAATAATACCATTTGTAACGCTTTTCAAAAAGAATATTACCAAAGCTACTTCCTTTAAACAATCGTGCCTATGCCAATAATTTTGATTTTATTAAATTGAAGGAAACATATTCATCAGTTGATTTTTTATTGTTTTCTATTATTATAGTTACATATTTTTTAAAACATATTGATAATGGTGTGACAAATTTGTATGATGAAATAAAACAAATAATTGTTTTATTCATCTGAAACAAGTAGTTGACATTGTTACAATAGTGTGTCTATGGGCGTTGTTTAGGTAGGAACTCGAATTTAGGGATCATATTATAACTGGTGTCCTTTCAGTCGATGTGTAAGTATAGCATACAACCAACAGTCCGTTGAATATCAACTGTTGAACATTTATTCATCCACAGAAAGAATATAGTGATTGAATTGAAATTGAATAGGATATACAGTAAATATTTTATCAGTATTCACATTTTTTAGCTTTAATGTAGAGCTTAAAAAGTATCGTTTTTACAACCATGTATTTTATATTTTATTTATATATATTTTTTTATGGTCCTACGATATTTTCTAGACAGTTGAACCGATTGCAGCAAGTCTATAGATCAAAGTTCTTTATTTCGATTTTTAGATGTAGTTTGACTAGCTTGACCTAACCGACTTCGCTCGAGATAAATGCTATGGTCGATTTTATTTATCAACAACAACAGGTGTTATTACGGTTTACTATTTTTAGTTGGCCGACTATCAACGGGCGACCTAACCTCACAGTATAAAACTATCGTAGCTCTAAGACAAAGGGTGTAGATCCATGTGGCTAACAAACACATACAAACTTTATACATAATATAATAATAATATGTTCTAGCGGCATAATAATAATAACAGTAACGATAATGATGATAGTAACAATAACAATACGAAAAGGGTTCAGGGTTCGTCACACTTGTTGAATGCGTATCCCTAAGGACACAATATATATGTAACCGGGTAGCGGTCCTTCTGAGTTCTGCGAGTTTGCATTATTAGCATTCTCATCTCCATTGTCACCTATAGTTATGTAAATAGTATGGTTTTCTCTTTATATGCTATGCTGTAAAATAAAATATGTCTTATTTTTTTGGAAACCACAAAACCAACGAACAGGAGGCCATATAACAGTCAAGTTGTACAACGACCACACAAGCATTTACACTTATATCTGGATTAACAAATAACTCATTTAAACGTTCTAATACACAACTGTTAACAGAAAAGTCTGAAAAGTTGAAAATCTGTCTGTTTAATTTTACGGCAAGAAATTATGTAATTTTTAAAAGCTCTATTAAATTTGATTTACAAATCATACATAAATGCATTAACTAACTAGCTATTGTGAATATAAACATATTGATAGATGTTTAGGCACTACTACTTGTTTATAATGTGATGTTTTGAGTATTATCAATATTTGGCACGGTACAGCTTACTTTGAGACTCGATGCCCAATTTAAATTTTAGTAGTTTTTGCAAACGAACTAAAAAAAAAATAATATATTATAGTACTCCTATTGTATGTAAGTTATTAGAAAACTATTCAGAACTATTTCAACTTTTTTCATAGGATTCTACATATTATTATGAAGAGTGTTATGCATGGAAGTTTTTTCAGGTAAATTGCAACCATCTTGTACTAATCACGGCAACGAGTGAAAGAAATGGGAAAAAAGTTTGCAGGGGATTAAAACTTTCCAGAAAATCCAGTATTCAACTGATGTGGAAAACTTACTAATGATTCCGTTTTACCATTTCGGACGTGTTCAGCCGATTTATGGAACGTTCGTTTAATCCGTTTAAATTCGCTCGAATAGCAGCTTATGTGTAAACTTTTAATAATTACAATTTAATGGTAGATTAACGCAAGACCGCACACAAGACCTACAATAATAATTACACATTAATTTTCAGATTTAAATTATTTTGTTTACTATTGTAATAGTATACAAAAACAAACGATTTAGTAGCAGCTTCCAAATTTGCTCAACACATTTTTAAATAGGTTTAATGGCGCAATAATTAAAATAATAGTTTATGTTTGGATTTTAGATAAAATAATGAATTTGTATTATTCAGATATTGCATTTTTACTAGATTATAATGGGGAAAGGATACACATATATTTACTATATTTTACATTTGTAGACTGATGAGAAATATATTAATATTATTACAATCGGATTGTATAAATATTTTCCATGATAAATTGCTGCTTTCTTGTATGAGGTTTGTACAAAAAATAAATTACAATTTACTGCGAAAAGCAAGGAAAATCATTGTAATATTATTATGTAGGCGCATGACCACTCAAGTAATGAAAAACTAAAATAAAATAACTTCATTAAAAAAAATAGTTTTATGGGAATATTTTTGTCCATCTTTCATTAATGTTCAACTTTATAGGTTTTCAAAATAAAAACATGTATTTATGAAATTAAATGTTCTTTGCATTTATTTGCCAATTTTTCTTTAAATAATTCCTATAAACAACAATTACTGCAAAAAAAAACATAATACAAGTAATATTGACATTTTACCGCATAGATACAAGTATTATTATTATTATGTTTAATAAAAAGACACAAATAACTATTTACAAATGCTACAAATGTGTATATTGAATTTGTGGTTCTGGCATTTCTAAAATAAATATAAAAAAGAGTTTAGCGGCCACTCTGACAACGCAAATGGATATTCTAGTACTTTTTCTTTTCCGTTGGGACGCTGTAATATATTTCCCAAAGGTTTTTTTTTTTGTGCGTATGTAAAATTATTTTTGATAATATTTAACTCGAATTTCGTCGAAAAGAAAACGCTGCCTCTTCAATTGTAATCTGTATAATGTATAATATTATGTGTTTTATGTATATATGTTTGATGTTTATGAAGAGCGATGGAAATATGAAATAACGACGGGCACAGCGTTACCGTTAAATGGAAAAAATCACATTTGACAACAAACGAAGTTCCCAAGAAACAGATAAAAGGGAAGTCATATACCTACATAGTATTTGTGTTTTGCACCCTGCGGCTAAAAGGTTTAACCATTGGAAACGGCTAAAACCACACAGAGGTAACAAAGTATATAATATTGCCCGAAGCATAAAGTGTGTGTACAATGTACATTTCATTACACATAAAAATATAAAATGAAATAATAATATAATGTTCCGTGCAAAACCGCAAGAAAATTTGAATTACAAAATACTTTTCGAGATTTTCTTTTCTTTGCTTTTTTTTTTACAGTTGAACAAGTTTACTTTGTTGTAAACACAGAAACTTTTTTTAAACAGTCATAAATTTGAATTGAATATATTACCTATTTATACTGGTGAAAACTGAAAACTGTTATTTTAGTATAATATATTATTTTAAAACGTCCGATATACTAATGCAGTGCTGTATAAAAATGAAGATTTA